GTACTTCATCACTGGAGGTTTTTAAGAAGAGACTGGACAGCCACTTGTCTGAAATGGTATAAGATCTCCTATTTGAATAGGGGGTTGGACTAGAAGACCTCCAAGGTCCCTTCCAACTCTATTATTCTGTTTTTCCTCCCCTTATTTATTTATTTATTGGTTCAATTTATATGCCACCCTTCTCCGGAGACTCAGGGCGGCTTACAATGTGTTAAGCAATAGCCTTCATACTTTTGTATATACCTGCTTAGTAGGGCTTTTGGCCCCCCCTAAGCGGTGTTCTTTTTTATTCAAAGTCAGCTTATTGCCCTCACAATCTGGGTCCTCATTTTACCTACCTCAGAAGGATGGAAGGCTGAGTCAACCTTGAGCCTGGTGAGATTCGAACTTGCAGTAATTGCAGGCAGCTGGTGTTACTTAACAGCACTTTAGTCTGCTGCGCCACCAAGGCCCTTAACTCCTGTTCATTAGTTCCAGGTGGATTGCATCACTATACTGTACATGTATTCTGCTCAGTGGCACAGTCAAATATTTTTTTAATTTCGTTGTACGAGGTGCAGTGACAATAAAGTAAACGTAAACTTTTTGTTGTTAGATGATGTTATTCCACTGAATAACAATTTTCACTGTTCTCCTACCTCGCATTGACAATAGCTGGGAGGATTCTAAGTCGGAGTCCACATATCTTAAAAGTAGTTAAGGTCGAGGAGACACTAGGTTGTGATAACTTCTATTTATGATCTACAGCCAAACGTAAATTACAATCACGCCTGAAAAGAAGAATGCAAAAAAGTAGGCGAACAATGAAAACAAAGCTACAATGGATTAACCTCATCTAAGATCAAGGACATCAACAGATGCAAGTGCATTATAACTGTTGCAACTCTTCTGGAGCAAATGAAGAAGACGAGTTAAGAGGAGGAGAACAATGGTTGGAAACTAATCAAAGAGAGAAGGAACCTGAAATTGAGGAGAAACTTCCTAACAGTGAGGATAATTTAGCAGTAGAACAGCTTGCCTGCAGAAATCGTGGGCGCTCCATCACTGGAGCTTTTTAAGAAGAGACTAGACAGTCACTTGTCTGAAATGGTATAGGTTAGAATAGAATAACAGAGTTGGAAGGGACCTTGGAGGTCTTCTAATCCAACCCCCAGGTTAGGTACCACTACACCACTTCAGAGAAACGGTTATCCAACATCTTTTTTTTTTTTTTATTGAAAAAGTTTTAAAACAAACACAATTTCCCCACATCTTGAAAACTTCCAGTGTTGGAGAATTCACAACTTCTGCAGGCAGGTTGTTCCACTGATTAATTGTTCTCACTGTCAGGAATTTTCTCCTTAGTTCTAGGTTGCTTCTCTCCTTGATTAGTTTCCACCCATTGCTTCTTGTCCTGCCTTCAGGTGCTTTGGAGAATAGCTTGACTCCCTCTTCTTTGGAGCAGCCCCTGAGATATCGGAAGACTGCTATCATGTCTCCCCTGCTCCTTCTCTTCATTAAAATAGACATACCCAGTTCCTGCAACCGTTCTTCATACGTTTTAGCCTCCAGCCCCCTAATCATCTTGGTTGCTCTTCTCTGCACTCTTTCTAGAGTCTCCACATCTTTTTTACATCGTGGCGACCAAAAGTGGATGCCGTATTCCAAGTGTGGCCTTACTAAGGCCTTATAAAGTGGTATTAACACTTCACGTGATCTTGATTCTATCCCTCTGTTGATGCAGCCTAGAAACTGTTCTCCTGCTTGAGCAGCGGACTGGGCTAGAATACCACGAAGGTCCTATTCTATTCTATTCTATTCTATTCTATTCTATTCTATTCTATTCTATTCTATTCTATTCTATTCCATTCCATTCCATTCCATTCCATTCCATTCCATTCCATTCCATTCCATTCCATTCTATTCTGAACATCTGCTAGGGCTATCGCACAAGAAGAACCAATGTAGGGAAAAGTCTTCAAGCCCGCACTATGACTATTTCAGAGGATGGCCTGGGGTTCATGAATGTGGGAAAAGAATTTGAGCGCTTCAGAAAAATACTACATTGTAATGCTAAAAATATTAAAGACATTGGCCAAGATCCTTAAAATATAGCTATAGGTATTTATTTATTTATTTATTGGTTCGATTTATATGCCGCCCTTCTCCGGAGACTAAGTTCAAATCTCACCAGGCTCAAGGTTGACTCAGCCTTCCATCCTTCCGAGGTAGGTAAAATGAGGACCAGGATTGTGGGGGCAATAAGCTGACTTTGTATAAAAAAGAACACCGCTTGGGGGCCCCCCGAAAGCCCTACTAAGCAGGTATATACAAAAAGTATGAAGGCTATTGCTTAACGCATTGTAAGCCGCCCTGAGTCTCCGGAGAAGGGCGGCATACAAATTGAATAAATAAATAAATAAATAGACTTGAAGTCAGAGATATTTTTGTTGGGCATTCTACCAGAAAAATATGATAAAAAGACTGCATATTTGATCCTGCATATATTAACTGCAACTAGAATTGTATTTGCGCAACAGCGGACAAATGATGGGATCCCATCTGAGGGGAATGTAATTAAAAAAATATTAAGACTGTGCAGAAATGGATAGATTGACACTTGCTATTAAGGATAAAGAAGAAACTGAATATTTTTTTATATGGGACATATTCTATCAATGGCTAGATAACAGAAACAGAAGTTAGAAAGGAGGAGTTATATAAATGGAGGAAATGGTATAGAGGAGAGTTGTTAAAGAAGATGATATTAAATGTTAAGTATTAATGTTATAATTATGTTACTATATTATTTATATGATGATGATGACCTGTCACAACAAAGATGTATAAATATGACTATTTAAACATAATTGTACCAAGAATACACAGTTTGATGAAAATTGAAGGATATATAAATAAAACAAATAAAACATGAAAAAAAAATTAATCTACCTCTTCACAATCAAATATGCTCTTGTTTTTTTGAGTCTTATCTCCTTTTTCTCTCTCTTTTGCTGAGAGGATTTGTTCGCCCAAGCTATAACTCTGTATTTTATTTGAGTTGGCAAGAAGCAGAGAAAAATGTCAGACTGACCGTTGCCCTTCTTTCTTCACTGCTCTCTTTTCTCTTTCTGTTGTTTTATGGTGCTAGCCAAAAGTTTCCTAAATCTAGGCTTTGATATTCCTTTCAGAACAATGGGCTACTTCAACCCACCCCATCCCCTCAAAAGTCAATCGCTTTTTAAATTTTTCTGAAGGAGCCCGAAGGCACCTTTTCCAACTCCCAAATTTTATGAAACTTTTTTTTTATTAGAGGAGACGGGCAGCGCCCAAATCTAAATAAAAATAAATAAAAACTGTATGCCTTCATGAGCTGGGAAATTTTCAGCTGTGTGGATTTCAACTCTACCGGTTCTCTCCCTACTGGAGAACCGGTAGCGGAAATTTAGAGTAGTTCGGAGAACCGCCAAATACATTGGATGGGAATGGGGATTTTGCAGTATCCTTCCCCTGGAGTGGGGAGGGAATGGGGATTTTGCAGTATCCTTCCCCTTCCACGCCCACCAAGGCATGCCATGCCCACAGAACCGATAGTAAAAAAAATTTGAATTCCTCCACTCTGTACATTCCCTTTTCTTTCGAAAGGAGTGTGGAAAGCAGATTTGAACGAGGACTAATAGCAAAAGATGAAGGGCGATTTTACTGCACAATCCTAGTTCAGAGCAAACCCTACATCCTTCTAACAGTGATGATGTTACCTAGCTTGGTAATGAAACCCTTGCAAAGAAAACAACCAAGCTCAGAGAGCACTAAAATCCCTACAGTTCAACCTTGAGCTACAAATATTCTCTTCTATGAGAATCCTAGTTTATTTTAAAGCTTCACTTGAGCATTTGGGGTGAACGTCGGTTGCAATCTATGGCATAGTGATTTATGCAAACTTTGGCTATTGTGGTTTTTAAAAATAAACCATGTTTAAGCAAACCGCGACGTGTGAATTCAGCTGAAAGCTTCTGCCATCGGCCTCCTTCTTTGCAATGTTTATTCCGCATCAGATTACTCCTTGGGTTATCTTTGGGGTAGTTTCAAGCCTGCCCATTTAATTTCTTTCTTTTTTTCTGGCAGTGCTTCAAGGGTTAGTAACATCCCTGAATTCTGACAGTGAGTTTTGTTCATTTCCAAATGGCATGTAAATCAGTTGGGGAGACAGTACAGATAATCCTCAATTTCAGACCACAAGTGAGCCCAAAATTTCTGTTGCTAAGTGAGACATTTGTTAAGTGAGCTTTGCCCCATTTTACGACCTTTTCATTAGGCAGTTGTTAAGTGAATTAGTAATCCGGTTGTTAAGGGAATCTGGCTGCCGCATTGATTTTGCTTGTCTGACAGTCGTAAAAAGGGATCATATGACCCCGGAACACTGCAACGGTCATAAATACGAGTCATTGCCAAGGAGCTGAACGATCATAAGTGGGGAAAACGGTTTGGTTTTTTTCAGTTCTGTTGTAATGTCAGTCACTAAATGAACTATTGTTAAGCCAAAGACTCCGTGTATGTTATTAATTGCAAGGTCATAAAAACAGTAACAGAGAATTATTATTGTTATGTCTGTACAAGGTGCAACAGGCACGCTTGATCAAAGGATCCATTTTAAAGGCCACTCCAATGCCACTCTTAAAGTTCTTTATTATTATTATTATAATTATTATTTTGAAAAGATTTTTATTTTTATTTCTTATACACATATTGTAAATGTACATTCTCTTATCCATAATTAATCATACATATACATATTTTTGCTAAAGAAAGCATAGCAATAAAACATTTTAATTACATTCGGGATTACTCTTCTACCCTTTCTTTCCCCTCATTTTACAACAAACCTTCTCCTCCTTCTTTCTTTCCCTTCCCTACCTCCTCTCCTCTCCTACTTTCTCCCTTCCTCCTCTTCTTCCTCTTCCCTACTTCCCCTTCCTTTCCCCCACTTCTCCCCTCTTTTCCCCCTTTCTAACCTTCTCTCCTACTCTTTTTCCTTCTCTTTTCTTCCTCTCCTTTCCCCTTTCTTCCATTCCTCTCTCTCCCTCTCCTCTTCTATCTTACCCTCTACTCCTCTCTTCTTTCTTTCCCCTTTGTTGTCCAATATTTCCCCTATTTGGTATCCAAGCATCCCCAATGTTATATTAATATATACTTTCTTTCAAGTTCCTTTCAGTTTTACCTAGTCTGTTCACCTCTATCATCATAATTGTACATTTATATTATGATATTCTTTCTTTTTCATCATTAAATCATGTCTAGAATTTTGCAAACCAACTTTCTTCTGCCTCCGGAAAGTTGTTGAAAAGCAGGCTATGAATGAGATAACGCAGGTTGCCAGATTGAATTCTGAACGTTTTGTCCTTGCTCCAGAAGGGCCTCGAAACCCACACTCGGGGCGCCTAGCTGAAACTGGGGATCCACTCTGTGTGGCAGGCGCCGATCTTCACGGTGTCACGGGGAACAAAAGTCGAGTTTGCTCTTTGGCAGAAGTGCTGCCGTCGATCAGCACCAGGGGGCGCTCTGAGTACTTCTCGATGATGCTGGAAACGCTGTCAAACAGCTGGCGAGGGAAAGACAAATCAACATCTGGTGTCCCCAATTCACTCCTTTCCCTACTTTTGGATCTGAGTTCCCGTAAATCAGGGGATGTCGTGGGGCAAAGTTGGGTGCAGGGCTGACTTTGGGGCCAGGCACTTCATAATTATCCCTTTCAATGAATGTTTGTTTATATAGAATAGAATGGAGTGGAGTGGAGGAGAAGAGAGAATGAATAATGGAATGGAATGGAATGGAATGGAATGGAATGGAATGGAATGGAAGGAATGAAGAGAAAGAGAAGAGAAGAGAAGAAGAGAAGAAAGAGAAGAGAAGAGAGAGAGAAGAGGAAGAGAAGAGAAGAGAAGAGAAGAGAAGAGAAGAGAAGAGAAGAGAGCTGGAAGGTACTTTAGATCAGGGGTCTCCAACCTTGGCAACTTTATGACTTGTGGACTTCAACTCCCAGAATTCCTCACCCGGAGTTGAAGTCCACAAGTCATAAAGTTGCCAAGGTTGGAGACCTCTGCCTTAGAGGTCTTCTAGTCGAGCCCCCTGCTCAAGCAGGAGAACCTATACCATTTTAGATAAGTGACTGTCCAGACTCTTCTTTAAAATATCCAGTGAGGAAGCACCCAGAACTTCTGGTGGCAAGCTGTTCTGCTGGTTCATTGTCCTCACTGTTAGGAAGTTTCTCCTTATTTCCAAGTTGCTTCTCTCTTTGATTAGTTTCCAACCATTGTACTTCAAGTACAGGATATCTGCCCTGTTGTGTTTGGATCAGTGGTGAAATCCAAATTTTTTTTACTACCGGTTCTGTGGGTGTGGCTTGGTGGGTGTGGCAGGGGAAGGATACTACAAAATCCCCCTTCCCTCCCCACTCCTGGGGCCAGCCAAAGGAGGTATTTGCCGGTTCTCCGAACTAATCAAAATTTCTGCTGCCAGTTCTCCAAACTGCTCAAAATTTCCGCTACCAGTTCTCCAGAACTTGCTGGATTTCACCCCTGGTTTGGTTTCCCCCCCCCCCCCGGTCCCATCTATCGTGTCACTAAGAGTATTATTTCATTGTTGTTGTTTTTGTGGTTGCTAGATGTTGCTTTCCCTTCAAGATGTACCCCAGTACTGTCCAACCTTTTAACTTTAAGACTTGTGGACTTCCAACTCCCAGAATTTATGAAATCTGGCTGGCTGGGGAATTCTGGGAGTTGAAGTCCACAAGTCTTAAAGTTAGAAGGTTGGACACTCCTGATGTACACTGTACCCCTTCCTCCAAGTTAGTCTCACCCCAAGGATCTTGGTTGGACTGAGAGGAAGTGCCTGGTTCCAAGACCACCACCCTTCCTGAGTTCCTATGGGCAAGTCCCTGGCCCAAATTATTACACCTACTTGGGGATGAGGGATGGAGGATTGGCTGAGCCATTCGGACTGGTGGAATGGTTCGTGGTTTAGCATGTTGTGTGGAACCTGTCAGCAGTGGCTTATTCAACCAATCCTAGTTAAATAAAACGTGGCTTACTGCCATGAGCGATCCAGGCCTTAACCTGTCAATTAAAAATGTTAAACCCACCCATTTCCTTCAGGGATGGACTTCAAAAATTTTAGCAAAGGGGTCTCTGCCTGGTTGCTGGGTGGGTGTGGCCATGGTGGGTGTGGCCAAGTTGGCCTCCTGCACCACGGGGGTGGGGTGGGGCGTTTTTGCCCTCCCTGGACTCCAGAGGCTTTTCTGCCAAACAAAGCGCGTATTGTCGAGGCTATGGTTTTCCCAGTTGCAATGGATGGCTGTGAGAGTTGGACCATAAGGAAGGCTGAGAAGGCCAAAGAATGGAGGCCTTTGAACTCTGGTGCTGGAGAAGGCTCCTGCGAGTCCCTTGGACTGCAAGGCGATCCAACCGGTCAGTCCTAGAGGAGATCAACCCTGACTGCTCTTTAGAAGGCCAGATCCTGAAGAGGAAACTCAAATACTTTGGCCACCTAATGAGAAGGAAGGAGAAGAGCCGAATGCTGGGAACGATGGAGGGCAAAAGAAGAAGGGGACGGCAGAGAAGGAGGTGGCTGGATGGAGTCACTGAAGCAGTCGGCGTGAGCTTCAATGGACTCCAGAGGATGATAGAGGACAGGAAGGCCTGGAGGAACATTGTCCATGGGGTCGCGATGGGTCGGACACGACTTCGCAACTAACAACTACTTCCTGGAGATCCAACTTTCCCTTCAACTCACCTCATGCCTCTTGGGATCCTTGCCAAGAGCAAACTGGCAGCTGCTCTCCTGGTAGTGGATAGGAACATTGTAGACCCGATTCTTGTAAAAAACCACCAAGGTGAAAGGCTGGCTGGCAGAGTGGTGGGAACTCTGTCGTACCATGAAGGCACTGTTCTGCAACAAAGAGGAGGGGAGCAGAGGAGAACAAGAGTTAGACGGGACCTCGGAGGTCTTCTAGTCCAGCCCTCTGCTCAAGCAGGAGACTTTATACCCGTGATGGCGAACCTATGGCACGCTTGCCAGAGGTGTCAAGCAGCGCCCTCTCTGATGGCACACAAGACGTTGCCATCAGAGACTCAGTCTTCTCCGGAGACTCAGGGCGGCTTACAGTGCTTTTAAGCAATAGCCTTCATACTTTTGTATATTTTATACAAAGTCAGCTTATTGCCCCCACAAACTGGGTCCTCATTTCACCTACCTTAGAAAGGATGGAAGGCTGAGTCAACCTTGAGCCTGGTGAGATTTGAACTTGTAGTAATTGCAGGCAGCTGATGTTAATAACAGTGCTTTGGTATGCTGCGCCACCAGGGCTCCTCATGATAACTCTGCAGATAACTCTGTATTGCAGGATAACTCTGCCCACTGCCAGCAGTTCGATCCTGACCAGCTCAAGGTTGACTCAGCCTTCCATCCTTCCGAGGTGGGTAAAATGAGGACCCAGATTGTTGGGGGGCAAGAGGCTGACTCTGTAAACTGCTTAGAGAGAGCTGTAAAGCACCGTGAAGTGGTATATAAGTCTAAGTGCTATTGGTACAATCAGAGTTGCTATGTGATGGGGTTGCATTGCGGTGACATTTCTCAGCCAGGGTGGACAAAACACGACCCCGGGGCTGAGACCGTGCAAACCAGAGATTGGAATTTATAAAAATCATAAAACAGGCCCAGGCTACCTTGTTAAATTGGAGGAGAGCTGCTTCCGCTGTACGCCGGTCACAACTGCCTGCATACCATGGAGCATTTTTCATATCAGGATCCTGCAGAAATATAACGGAGCCAGTGAAACGGATCAATGCAGGTTACGGCCAAGGGACCGAGGGTGCCAAACCGACTAGATCAGTCCCATCACCGCAATCCCAATCCATGGGTTTCAGATTTGGATCCAGGAGTGAGGACTAGAGAAGAAAGCACCTGATAACAGCAACAGCATCTTATATGCCGCTTCACAGTGCTTTTTCCAGCCTTTCTCCTAAGCGGTTTACAGAGTCAGCCTCTTGCCCCCAAAGATCTGGGTCCTCATTTTACGAGCCTCGGAAGGATGGAAGGCTGAGTCAACCTTGAGCCTGGTGAGATTCGAACTGCCAAATTGCCGGCAGTCAGCAGAAGTAGCCTGCAGTACTTCGCTCTAACCACTGCGCCACCGCGGCTCTTTATAATGTTGTAATATGGGCAACCATCAATCAGCTGTACTGTATATCACTCTTTGCTCTTGTTGGGGGGGGGCAGGGGGAGGACAACCAGTGCAAGTGGAAATTCAGTGCTCTCTCTCTCCCTGCATTTGAGAAATGCATTGAGTGAAGGCCACTTGGGTCCTTCCGAATCTTTAGTAAACCTTAATAAGCATCTTCATCATCATCAAAAGAGCCGTGGTGGCACAGTGGTTGGAATGCAGTATTGCAGGTTGACTCTGCCCACTGCCAGGAGTTCGATTCTGAGCAGTTCAAAGTTGACTCAGCCTCCCATCCTTCCGAGGTCAGTAAAATGAGGACCCAGATTGTTGGGGGCCATAGGCTGACTCTGTAAACCGCTTAGAGAGGGGCTGGAAAGCACTGTGAAGCGGTATATAAGTCTAAGTGCTGTTGCTATTTTCCTTCCTTCCTTCCTTCCTTCCTTCCTCCCTCCCTCCCTCCCTCCCTCCCTCCCTTCCTCCCTTTTTCCTTCTTTCCTTCCTTCCTTCCCTTCCCCCCACTCCCTCCCTCCCTTCCTCCCTTCTTTCTCTGTCTCTCTCTCTGTCTCACTCTTCCCATCTGACAGGACTGTTTATTGGTGAAAATGCAGAAGGGAGACCGCATTTGCTGCTTGTGGATGGAGAAATGCTCTCTTAGAAATCTAACTAATAAATAACACCATCCAGTCCTGCAGTTCCGATAATATAGACAATTAGTCTTTCTCAGATGGATCCTTGGCTCGGGATGTCCAAAAGTGTACAGTAATCCAAGAGTTGGAGAGAAGACATTGGCTTTCCCGGATTACACCCAGACCCGGCAAATCTGTAGCCCGCCCATCCCTCTTCTACAGTGATGTCTCTCCACAAGTGTTTCTCATTCTCAGCACTCTAAAATGGGTAGACTTCAACTCCCAGAACTCCCCAACCAACTATGCTGTCTCCTTTCTGTTATATTTGACCATCTAGATAGTAGGGAAGCTTTCTTTCTTTCTTTCTTTCTTTCTTTCTTTCTTTCTTTCTTTCTTTCTTTCTTTCTTTCTTTCTTTTTCTTTCTTTCTTTCTTTCTTTCTTTTCTTTCTTTCTCTCTCTCTTCCTTTCTTCCTTTCTTTTTTCTTTCTAATTTACTTTCTTCCTTTCTCTTTCTTCCCTTCCTTCCTTCCTTTTTTCTGTTTTTCTTTTTCTTTCTCTTTCTTTCCTTCCTTCCTTCCTTCCTTCTGTCTGTTTTTCTTTCTTTCTTTCTTTCTTTCTTTCTTTTTCTTTCTTTCTTTTTCTTTCTTTCTCTCTCTCTCTCTTTCTTTCTTTCTAACTTTGTAACTCACCCCACAGTCACCCCTCTGATAGCTCAGCAGTTATGCTCACCTCTGGAAGGTTATCAGTTTTGAGGCGCCTACCTAGAAAAAACAACAACAACAAAGCATTTCATGGGTTCTGTAGAGGTCACAACCTATTTTTTTTTCCCAATGCCAGGGCCAGGCTTAGGCCCAGACAAGAAGCCTATCCAAGGTGTACCACTTCTATCTTTATTCTAAGGTTTCCTGAACAAAGTCCAGAAAAGTCTGAAAGTACATCATTCCCCTCCCTCACATCTCTACTTCCCTAGAAATGAGGGAGGGTCCCTTCTGAGACTTTTGCCGTGCCCCCTCCCCCACTTTTCTTTTGTGGCCTCAGCCATCTCTTATCTGACTGCTCCTAGTTTGCTCTTCCTCCCCTCTTCCCAGGTCATTTCCCCATACTATTACAGGCAGACTGGAGGTCATGAGTTTGCAGAACAAATGAGTTACGTCAAGAGAAATAAAGTAGGAATAAAGTCCTATCTGGAAGACGGTCTGGGGCAGTGATATTTCTGCAATTCTGAAAAAGTGGAGGAAGGGCCTCCTGTTGTGGCCCGCCAGTGGATCTAGCAGCAGATTTGGATAGTGAGGAGGTTGGGGAGGAACATGGACCAATCCTGGAGTCTGGGGAGGACTCTGATGAGGGCTCTGCATCGGAGGCAGAGAGAGGGGCCAGGGCCATATGATGGGTATCAGCTGCCTTCAGAGTCAGACATCAGTGAGGCAGATGAACAGCTGGAGCCTGTTCCCAGGGTGCGCATGCACAGAGTTGCCAGACGAAGGGAAGAGCTAAAGAATAAGGGTCGACTAGGGAGTAATGCCATAGGTGGACGATGAAGGGCCCCTCCCAGAGGGAATAAAAAAGGAGCAAAAAGGGAGTGGAATTTGCAGGAAACAATTAATTCATTCCGCATTCTTGCCAAGTATTGCGAGAGTCTGAAAAATATCAGCCTGGCCACTCTCCAAGCCTGATAAAGGTCGGTCATGGTGAACTATCTTGAAAGGCTGTGGGAGAGGAAAGACTTGGCTGGAGAGGAAGTCACTGTAAATTAAATAAAAGGGGTTTATCGGGACGAGGACTCGGCTTCGTGCTGCTGGGGAAGTCTAGGTCAGAACAGTTCCTCGGATGAAGCAGCCCTTGTAATAACAAGCATGATTTTTTTGTTTTGATCTTTCTCCTCCACTGTCCATGCCCACATCCATCCATGTAAAAGCATAGACTGTTACCCTCAGTGTTGTCTTCTGGACAGCCCTGGGAAGAGAAAAGATGGAGGAGATGGTTATATTCCTAATCTGGATCAGATACCTCTCTTTATCTGTTCCTTTACACAAAGTTGGGTTCACATCCGGGGTGAAATTCAGCAGGTTCTGGCAAACTGGTAGCGGAAATTTTGAGTAGTTTAGAGAACTGGCAAATACCACCTCTGGCTGGCCCCAGAGTGGGGTGGGAATGGAGATTTTGCAATATCCTTCCCCTGCCACGCCCACCAAGCCACACCCACAGAACATTTGTCCTACAAATATTTTTTTTAAAATGGAGTCAAGGAAAGAGTGGCTTGCTTTGGTGTAATATAAACTCTGCAACAGAGGTGGATTTCAGCAGGTTCTGAGCAGTTCTGGAGAACCGGTAGCGGAAATTTTGAGTAGTTCGTAGAACCGGTAGTAAAAATTCTGACTGGCCCCGCCTCCATCTATTCTCTGCCTCCCAAGTCCCAGCTGATTGGGAGGGAATGGGGATTTTGCAGTAACCTTCTCCTGGATTGAGGAGGGGATAGAGATTTTACAGTATCTTTCCCCTGGAGTGGGGTGGGAATGGAGATTTTACAGTACCCTTCCCCTGCCACACCCACCAAGCCATGTCCACCAAGCCATGCCACGCCCAATAAGCCACACTCACAGAACTGGTAGTAAAAATTTTTGAAACCCACTACTGCTCTGCAACCCAACTATGCCCATAAACCTACAAATTAAAAAAAAAATAGTTTAAAAATATACCCAGGCATTTATAAGGTCAGCTGCCTGATCCGCTCCTTATCTCAAGCTTATCCACTCACCTGCTGAGATCCCAAAGAAGAAATTTTGGACCTAATAGAAAGAAAAAGAGAGAGGATTATGCTACATGGGATCCATACTATAAGGAAGTATTTATCGACCATGTCAACTTTTAAGACTTCAACTCCCAGAATTCCACAGCCAGCACGCTGTGCTGATTTAAAGTTATGCTGAGGCTGAAAATCATTGGTATAATGCAGGGGTCAGCAACCTGTGGCTCTGGAGCCGTATGTGGCTCTTTCACACCTCTGCTTTCACCCCGTCACTCAAAATATGCGTCAAAACCGCCAATGTGCGACACCCGCCGGCACACTTTGAGCTTTTCAACCCCCCGTAGGCCAACCATGGATAAATCCAAAAAAAGAAAAGTTTCGGAAAAAAACAGAACGTTTAATTCAACTACATATGTTAGTTTTGTGGCCGCTCAAGAAATAGTCAGGCACGGGAAGGGTTTTGTGGCTCCCGGTGTTTTCTTTTCTGTGGGAAACGGGTCCAAATGGCTCTTTGAGTGTTTAAGGTTGCAGACCCCTGGTATAATGTGTAAGAGACAGATCTTACATGATGCATTACATCAGAGACATCAAAGGTTGGGTGACAACATTTGGAATTTTGAGAACACGCTAGTGTTCTGTCCCTGTCCCACATGCACACACACCAACAGACATTCAAGAGTTAAAGACCAAACCAGCCGGCAAAATCCTTTTCCTTATGATAACGGAACTTGGCAACAACCTAGTGGCTGCCTGCCAAGAGTTTATTACTTACGAAGAGGAGAGATAACTTCTCCCCACTTCTGGTACATCAAAAGAAACAGCTCAATAATTACAGAGTCAATCAAGTCCAAAGATAATCCAGCAAAGTCTATAGCAAAAGTCCAGCAATGCAGAATGGCATGGAAGCTTTCAGCTTTGTTTGTCACAAGGTTTGACTGGCCACCACGCTCCTTTTTATACCCTGTGGGGTGTGGTCCAGTGACTCAGCCTAATCTCGGGCACGCCTTTTCTTCTGTTGCGCGCGCTTATCTCTGCGACGCTGTTGAGGATCCAGCCAAGACTCATTACTCTCATCACTGTCCACCTGTGACTGCGTGGACTGGCTTGGCCCCGGCCCTATCTCTTGCCCTTCGGCGGACACCAAAGGCATTGCCAAAGAGGAGGGTCCTGGAGAGGGAGGCCTTGCCAATTCCTCTCCTTCACTCTCTGAGTCCTCTCCTGCCGATGACACAGGCTCAGGTAACGGAGCCACAACAGCTAGCATGTTTTAAATAGCTGCCACGCAAGATAACTGTGTGTATCGGCCCCCTTTACACAGAACTTAAAATAACTTTATTGTTACTTTGAATGCACACTAATCCGCATGCATTAAAATATTTCATTGCATCCAGCTCTCAAAGGGTCACCACCTCCAATATTACACTACATAAACATAATAGACAAAATAAAACATCTTCTTTTAACAACCCCATAATCCTTATGGAAGGGCGACGTGCGATCCCTTGGCGAACCGGTGGTAAAGGTAAGTAGAACCCACCCCTGACTCACTTGGCTTGTTTCAAGAGGCAGGTTAGAGGATCCAGGGCTGAAGAAGTAGATCCTTTACAGGGAGCCAAGCCTGGCAAGAAATGAAAAACAGATCAGCTCCAGGAGAAAGTTGGTTTACAAGAAGCTCAGGATCACAATGTTAAGATTGGAGCAGGTTTTCTCTAATTAAGCTTGAAAAGGGCCAGGTTATTTAAGAAAATACCTCTTGCTCCACACACCCCATCCCCACCCTAGCTTAACTTTTACCTGTGCCACCCTGGAGTGGGCGGGGTCTTAATTAGGGCTTATTTTGGACGCACGAGTAAAAATCAAGGTAGGATCAGTGGTGGGTTGCTCCTGGTTCGGTCCGGTTCTATAGAACCGGTAGTAAAACCGGCGGGAGGCTCCGCCCACCCGCTACGACATCATTATGGGTGATTTGCAGAAGCGTGCAAGCGCGCACAGTCCTGTTACGAACCGGTAGTAAAAGTAAGTAGAACCCACCCCCGGGTAGGACTTACTTTCTGAGTAGGTCGTATTTTGGGGGTGGGGAAACGGTAGGTCACATCATTAATTGAATATTCCACGGAATAGTTTGTAACGTAGCGATAGCCAAAGCATATGGGGTCCCACTGAGCTCCCCAGAAATGCTACCTTGGAGAAGATAAGGGGCCAACAGAAGAAACTTCACCTGTGGTGGCCTCACATTCCAGATAGATAGGTTGATCTTCAGGTTCTTCCTGCAAGAGGGAGAAAGAATTTTGAGCCTAATAGAAACTGGAGCATCGTATTGTGTTAAGAGTAAGAGTACAGAAGAACTCTTGGAATGTTCCAGATGAACTACAAGGAATTTGTCGCTTGATGCAAAGTTAGTTACCTTGTCATCTTTTGAAGCCAGAAAAAGATCTGCAAAAAAAGTTCAAAGAATAAGAATGAACAACACCAAAAGAAGAACGTCCGTGGAGATTCTCAGTCATCCAGGTCATGGTTGTCCCAAACATATTTTATCAAGAGGCAACTGGAATTTCTTCTTTGAAGACATTTCGCTTCTCATCCAAGAAGCTTCTTCAGCTCTAACTGGATGCTCTTCCATTCCCCACCATCCAGTCAGAGCTGAAGAAGCTTCTTGGATGAGAAACGAAACGTCTTCAAAGAAAAAACAGAAAATCCAGTTGCCTCTTGAAGAAGCCTTGGTACTACAGTGGTTTAAAGCACCCTGTTATTAACACAGCTGCCTGCAATTTACTGCTGGTTCGAATCTCTCCAAGGCTCAAGGTTGACTCAGCCTTCCATCCTTTCTAAGGTAGGTTAAATGAGGACCCAGTTTGTGGGGGCAATAAGCTGACTTTGTATAAATATACAAAAGTATGAAGGCTATTGTTTAACGCATTGTAAGCCTCCCTGAAGATCCGGAAAAGGGCGGCATATAAATAAAATTAAAAAAAAAAAAAAAAAAAAAAGCATCTTTGGGACCAAAAGAAGAACTTTCCGAGAGTTGATGTCCACAAGTCTTAAAGTTATCAAGATTGGACAATCTTGGGCTAGACCACATAACAGAACCAGGGCAGTGATGGATTGCCCCCGGTTCAGACCGGTTCGCAAGAACCGGTAGTAAAACCGGCTGGAGGCTCCTGCCACCGCCCTGGATGTTGTCATCAGCGATCTGCGCGCGCACAGAAGCTTCATGATCCTGTTGCGAACCGGTAGTAAAAATAAGTAGAACCCATCCCTGAACCAGGGATGCTAAAATATCTTCTAATCTGTTGCATCTTCAACATAGGATTGTCCATCAAGAGTTCCAACAGACCCCAAATAAAATTTTTTGGTGAAAATCTTTTAACCTCACCTTAAAATTACAAGAAAGATATATAACATTTTAAAAAATGCATAACATTAAAAAAAAAAGTTAAAATAGCAAACTCCAACTTTGTTTTCCAAATTTCCGGTAAGTTGTCAGCATGTATTGCAGTAAAATTCTTTAATTGCTGATGCAACTGGTTGGTTTAGTTCGTTAAAGAAAAAATTAATATGTCCCAAATCCTGGAAATTTCCCTAGGTGCCAATCATTAGGTAATATATGAGGCGTAGTATTCACTTACCTTCGCTACCGGTTTGCAAATATGAGCGTGCACGGCAGTGGTGGGTTGCCCCTGGTTCGGACTGGTTCACAAGAACCGGTAGTAAAACTGGCAGGAGGCCCCACCCACTGCCCCAGATGTCGTCATCGGCGATCTACACGAGCAAAGCGCGCGCGCGCTCGCGATCCCGTTGCAAACTGGTAGTAAAGGTAAGTAGAACGGGGTGCATGGGGCCTTCCGCGCATGCACAGAGCATAAAAAACGGGACGTGATGACTTCCAACCGGGTGGGCGGAGTTTCCTGGAGCCGCCGCTACCGTTTCGCCCGAACCAGATAGAACTGGCTGTATACCACCACTGTAATACACCTTGTTACAATTCTACCTACCGTTGTTTATGGCCACTTTTGCTGGATGTCCAGAGAAGACTGAAGCAGGCAAAGACACCCGGCGAGCTGAGGATGGGAGAGAAGGGGGCTGAGGAGGCTTCATCAATCCCTTTTTCAGTGCTGTGAAGAGAAAAAAAAAATAGTTATTCAACTTGCACAGTGTCGGGGAATCTTTAGCTGCTCAATAGAAGCAGAAAAAAGTGGGTTTTATAGCATATTGAAATATATGAAGTATGGTGTGCTGTCTTGTCCTTCTCTTACAATAGTCCCTGCCGTTTCCTTTGCCCCAGAAGTAAATTTCCCCCCCTCTTTATGACACTGTAATCCTTTGATTTAAGATGGAGTTGGGGCGACTGAATGGAATTGAGCATTTACTGGCCAGATGCCCTTCCTGACACCTATGCAGAGTTCACAGCAGATATTTTTCTCTTTTGGAGAAAAAGAAGTTGAAGTCCACAAGTCTTAAAGTTGCCAAGAAGCAATGGTTAGAAAACTAAATTAGGCCACCTTAAAAGATGCAAGTCCCTCCGTCACGGTGTTGCATCCCACACAGGCCCACCCCCTCCAACAGCCCCTCTGGCAGCCCCTTCCTCTGACCTTCCTCGATGGCTTTGATGTTGATTGTCCCTTCATCACCACTGTCTTCAGCTCCGGCCTTTGTGAGCAACTGTAAGGCACAAGAGGGGAAATTTGGTAGGACAAGCAAGAGAACTCTTCCAAGACCTGAGGACTCCAACTCCCAGAATTCCCCAGTCAGCTATGGGAGCTGAAGTCCACAGGTCTTAAAAGTTGCCAAGGTTGGACACCCCGGGGTTTAAAAATGATGTGAATAGAAGCAAACACTGTCGGCAGTGATTTTCATTTTGCAAATGATCAAGCTTCTTTTAAAGAGAAGACCGAAAGGACTTTGCAATCGGCTATCTGGCTTTTTTAAATCGCTCGTTTGAATAAGCAAAATATACCGTATTTTTCGGAGTATAAAATGCACCAGTGTATAAGACGCACCTTAGTATTTGGGGAGGACAATAAGAAAAAAGCTGATTGGTGGGTGGATCGGCCTCCCGGAATACCCCCAATCAGCTGTTCCCAGAGGTGAATTTTAGCAACAGGTTCTTTTGTTGTGAGCTCTGTGCCTTGCTTTTTTTTTTTTTCTGCCTCTGAAACTTCTGAAACTCTGTTTCAGAAAAAACTTTTTTTTCTGCCTCTGAAAGCCTCCGAAACAGAGCTTCAGAAAAAAAGCCTCTGAAACTTTGTTTCGGAGGCTTTTTTTCTGAAGCTCTGTTTGGAGGCTTCTTTTCTGAAGCTTCATTTCTGAGGCTTTTTTCAGCCTCTGAAACCTCCGGTTGAGAGGCTGGACATGGCTACATTTGGAGTATAAGATGCACCCAGATTTTCACTCTCTTTTTTTGGGGGGGGAAAGGTGCTTCTTATACTCCAAAAAATACGGTAAATAGAAAATATATTTATAGTTTAGCAGCAATATCTGCATTCAGCCCACAAATCTCTCGTGTTACAGTTGTAAATCTTGAAATCTCGGCTGCGAAGGGAATTTCAGGTGAGGTTGGTTTCCTCTTACAGGTTGTCCTCAACTTACAACCGTTCATTTAGTGACTGTTTGAAGTTACAATGGCACAAAAAAAAGTGACTTAGACCATTTTTCACACTTACGACCATTGCAGTATTCTCAGATTCATGTGAACAAAGTCCTTGGCAACTGGCCTATACAGACAGTCCTTGAGTTATAACCATTCATTTAGTGACCGTTCAGAGTTACCATGGCACTGAAAAACGACTCATGACTGTTTTTTCACCCTTATGACTGTGGCAGCATCCCCCAACTGACTCGTATTTGTGACGGTTGCAGAATCCTGGGGTCACGTGATCCCCTTTTGCGACCTTCTGAGAAGCCAAGCCAACGGGAAGCCAAATTCACTTAACAATGGGGTTACTAACTTCACCACGGCAGTGATTCACTTAGTGACTGTGGCAAGAAAGGTCGTAAAAATGGGGCAAAACTCCCTTAACAACTATCTTGCATATCAATGGAAATTTTGGAGCTCAGTTCTGGTCATAAGCCGAGGACTAGCCCTAATTATATGAAAAAAAGTTCATGGTTTCAGTCAGAGGAGAAAGTGGAATACTCAGCTGATACAATGCAAAGATCAAAAGCAGGTTTGGGGAGGACACAATGAAATTATTCAGGACAAGATTATGGGATTCAACCCTTTGGTTTCACTCTTGAAAAACATAGTAGTTGAGTGATGGATAACTAATAATAGAATAGAATAGAATAACAGAGTTGGAAGGGACCTTGGAGGTCTTCTAGTCCAACCCCCTGCTTAGGCAGGAAACCCTACGCCGCTTCAGACAAACGGTTATCCAACCTCTTCTTAAAAACTTCCAGTGTTGGAGCATTCACAACTTCTGGTGGCAAGTTGTTCCACTGGTTAATTGTTCTAACAGTCAGGAAGTTTCTCCATAGTTCTATTCTATTCGGCTTGATTCTGATCATTTTCACAAATTCCAACAGGTCTCTTACCAAGCAGGGCTTCGCATGCAAACTGCCGAGCGGCACAGAAAAGCGCCTCACATTTGGACAATCTATGGACAAAGAAATGATCCGAGATGTTATAGGACCTTCGCTCTTCCTCACTTCCTCATTTTCCGCTGCTGCCCCTTCTCCTCCTCCTTCTCCTCCTATCCCATCTTCTCCATCCGTGAAACCTCTTTCTCTGGTACACAGAGGTCCTCCGTGGATGATTTGAGTCCAACCTTGCTACGTCATAATGTACGTGTCTTAAATTAGAGATATTGTCTTTTGTCTGGAGCAGGGGTCGGCAACCTTAAACACTCAAAGAGCCACAAAGCTCCTAACTGGAAGCCCCCGTTCAATTCTGGAGCCAACCGGAAGTCCAGTTCGCCCACCATAGTCTCTCCCTCCTAGTGTGGCATCCTTTTTCCTCTGGTGACCGGAAGTCCGGTTCCCTCACCATAAAGTCTCCTCCTAGCGTGGCGTCCTTTTCCCGCTACTTGTCCTAACCGAAAGCCCTATCAATTGTGGAGCTGACCAGCAACAGGAGAGGGATGAAAGAGCCACATGCGGCTCCAGAGCCGCAGGTTGCTGACCCCCTGGTCTGGAGGCATCTTTGACTTCAGCTCTGGGCCACCCAACAGTTGCCGCCAACATCAAGCCAACTTGTTTCCCGACCTCTCCTTTTTGACAGACCTCCAAGCTCCCATGTTTCCCTGTCAAATACCAGTGATATGATTTTCCATCAAGTTTCACGAACACCAGGAAGAGTTGTTTTTACTTAACATATTGATCTTATTAAAAGAAAAGGACCAAAAGTGCAAAAAAGAGATTGATAATCCATCTCTTGCGGGCATGTGACTGAGTTTTTGCCTTCTGCCACCTGTAACCCTTGACCCCAGAAAATGAAAAAAAAAAGGAAGGAAGGAAGGAAGGAAGGAAAGGAAGGAAAGAAAGAAAGGAAAGAAAGAGAGAAAAGAAAGAAAAGAAAGGAAAGAAAGAAAGAAAGAAAGAAGAAAGAAAGAAAGAAAGAAAGAAAGAAAGAAAGAAAGAAAGAAAGATGAGATGGATCATTCTTGCTCAGTTTTGAAGAGTTATGTCATTGACATCCAGTTTTAATTTTTTTTAGAATAATGTGAAAAGAGAGCTGGGGATTTGAAGGAATGGCTGATCTATAAGTAGCACTTGCAAACAGTTGAACAACTGCAGAGTAGACAAAGATTTCCTTGCTAATATGAGCCTTGTTTTATTTAAATTATTATAATTAACTTTCATTCATTGGCATCCTTCAGTCTCAAAAGACTATGGTATCGTGCTCTGGAAAGAGATCCATTAACTCAGTGACTAATTAACCTTAGTCACTGAGTTAATGTCAAGTTTCAAGGTTTTTGGTCCCCCAAATAAGGATCAAAATAGTAACCTGTAGAATTGAGAAAGAATTGAGAAAGAATCAAGCAGACAAAAATCCCAAACCATCAAATCAAACTCAGTTCCTGATGACCTCATGGATATATCTGCATAGGGTTGGCTGTTTTTTTTCTTTTCTTCTTGCAACAGAAGTAGTTTGTCATTGCTTTCTCCTGATCAACTCTGTTATTTCATAGAGATCTCCCATCCAAGCCCTAACCAGCTGAATCCTGCTTAACTTTCTGAAATCAGTCAAGGCAGCAATTAAAACATAAGTGGGATCTCCAAAATACTAATTTGTGGCATGTCTCTTTATTTCAATTGACTTCTCAGGGATTTTAGATCAATGAGCCAAGTCTATCTCTCTCCCTCTCCTTCTCTCTCTCTCCTTCTCTTTCTCTTTGTTTATTGTGTGTGTGTGTGTGTATGTGTGTGTGAGAGAGAGAGAGAGAGAGAGTGGGAGGGAGAAGAAGAAAGAAAAAGAGGGAGGGAGGGAGAAAGAGGGAGAAGAAGGAAAGAGAAAGAGGGAGAGTGGGGGGAGAAGAAGAAAGAAAGAAAGAGAAAGAAAGAGAGGGAGAAGAAAGAAAGGGAGAAGAAAGAGAGAGAAAGAGAGACAGAAAGAAGAAGAAAGAAAGAAAGGAGAGGGAGGGAGGGAAAGAAAGAAAGAAAAGAGGGAGGGAGGGAGAAAGAGAGGGAGAAGAAGGAAAGAGAAAGAGGGAGAGTGGGGGGAGAAGAAGAAAGAAAGAAAGAGAAAGGGAGAAGAAAGAAAGAGAGAGACAGAGAGACAGAGGAGAAGAAAGAGAAAGAAAGGAGAGGGAGGGAGGGAGAAGAAAGAAAGAAAAATAGAGAGAGGGAGGGAAAAGGGAGGGAGGGGGCAGAGCGCCTGACCGGTTTCCAAAATCTACCATGTCCCAAAATATCCCTTGCATAGCATCACGATTTGGTCTGCCAAAATCCAGTAACTAAGGTTAAAGGAATTCCCACCCCCCATTATTATGATAATCCTGGCATGCTTCTCTCCCCTTGGCACCTTACCCAGGTAGATCCCCTGTTCAGACTCTTGCGGTGGGACTACAGGCGTTTTCTTAGTCGGCTCTTCTCTTGGGGGAGGTTCATAGGTATCCTGAGCTTCCTCCTCCTCTTCAGCAGGGCTTGCCTGAACCTGAAGGAACATCCCAAGAAAATGGCATGAGGTCCTGATGCTTTCCCAGTACACCATGGCTTCTTCCAAACAGGTGCAGAGAATCCACGAGAAGAACAAAACAGAGGTGGGAGGGCAACTATCACAGGCCAGAATTCAAGGTTGCAACCTTCCCAACTCCAGATAAAGTAGGTCCTCCTTTTGGATAACCTGGAGAATGGAGCACTTCCAGAGCCAGCCCTTCCCACATGGGATCCGTCAGATGCGCTGGGCCTACAATTCTAATCCCAGCTCAGCTGGAGAGAGCGGTGCTGTAGAGAAGGCAAGGGAAGAGCATAGAGGTGACCTTGGAGAAAGTGGTGCGGTGACCTAGGGGTGGAGCTCTCGCCTCACAATCAGGAGGCTGCAAGTTCGATCCTAGGTAGAGGCAGATATTTCTCTCTCTGGGCACACTGAGAATATATCTGCTGAACAAAACTCCTCATTGGCAACAGGAAGGGCATCTGGCCAGTAAACACTCAGCTCCATTCAGTTGCCCCGACTCCACTCCGCAAAGGATTAAGGGGTCATTAAACAATATTGAAGAAGGAGGAGGAGGAGGAGGAGGAGAAGAAGAAGAAGAGGAGGAGGAGGAGGAGGAGGAGGAGGAGAAGAAGAAGAAGAGGAAGAGGAGGAGAAGGAAGAAGAAGAAGAGGAGGAGGAGGAGGAAGAATAAGCATAAGAAGAGGAAGAAGAAGAGGAGAAAGAAGAAGAAGAAGAAGAAGAAGAAGAAGAAGAAGAAGAAGAAGAAGGAAGGAAGAAGGAAGAAGAGAAGAAGAGAGAGGAGAAGAAGAATAAGAAGAAGAGAAGAAGAAGAAAGAAGAAGAAGAAGAAAGAAGAAGAAGAAGAAGAAGAAGAAGAAGAAGAAGAAGAAGAGAAGAAGAAGAAGAAGAAGAAGAAGAAGAAGAAGAAGAAGAAGAAGCGGCGACCTTGGAGAAGGTATGAAGTACAGCTGGTCTTCAACCACCATAGAGTCTAAAATTTCCATTATTAAACAAGGCCATTGTTGAGTGAGTTACGCCCTGTTTTACAACCTTTGGGCCACAGATGTTTAGCAAATCACTACAGTTAAGTAAATCTGGCTTCCCCCACTGACTTTGCCTGTCGGAAGACAGCTGGGAAGGTGACACATGGCAATCGCATGACTTCAGGACAGTGCAACTGTCATAAATACATGCCAGCTACTAAGCGCCCAAATTTTGATCACCCGATCGTGAGGATGCTGCAACGGTCATTAAGTGTGCATAGCTCTTGGGGAAATAGGTTTTGGGGAAATCCATATACTTACCACCTCTCCTTGGATGTCTGAAATACACAAAAAGAGTTTGGGTCAATTGCATTCATTGCAATGGTGGGATTCAGCCGGTTCGGACCGATTGGGACAAAACGATTGTTACATTGCTGGCTGGCCCTGCCCATCCCCTCCCCTCCCCGCCCCTTCCAGGTGTCCCCATGCGCCCCATTTTGGCTCCCAGATAAATGCAGGGAGGCCTACTAGGCCCAAAACGGGGTACGAGGAGGTGGCATGCCTCCCCCGCGGCCTGTTTTTGCTCCTAGAGGGGTGCAGGAGGCCGAGTGCTGTCTGTCAACTCCCTGGTCACGCCCACCATGGCCACGCCCACCGAGCTAGTCATTAGGGCAGAGAACCAGTTGTTAAATTATTTGAATCCCACCACTGATTCATTGCCTTAACTCGAGCAACACAATGAGGTTTTTTTTCACTCTTCACACTTATAATGACTCTTCCCCCACACACACACCCTTGTTATGCTGGTTTATGTCTGTCATAACGCTTGACGTGATATACCCAGATCAGAACAAGTACGCAGGCCACTCTGATCAGCTAGGGAAAATATACCTGGCCTTTTATGTGTTAAACATTAAGCAAGCAGGAGAACAGAACTAACTTAGAAACGGAACAAAAGGCAGGGAAAAAACAGGGAAAAAGAAAGACGTGAACAAAGTCAGCAATTTGCATTATCTCTATATCAGAAACGAGAGAACTTTCCAGAACTACTGAAAACAAATTCCAAAGTACTCAGCCTGGGAAAGTCCCGAACGATGCAACCTTTACGTATTTCAGTTTTTAGGTCCGTAAAAGCAGAAAGAAGAAAGATAGAAAGGAGAATGCAAACTGTGCTCGTCTAAAGTCAGGCACGATCTACGTGTGAAAGTCCAATTAAACTAATGTATTGCTAATCCTGTCAATCTTTTCAACCGGCATCTGCTGAGAGTTAGAGAAGGATTTGTGGAATTCATGGGAAGTTGGACTTTGCTTGTGACTATGTAGGGATTCTAGGCTCATCCCTCTTTTAACTCTGGCCCCAGGTTCTGCCACACCTTCTACTACAATTAGGTGTCATTTGAGAAGTAATTTTGCAGGACGGGCATGAGGTCGTCAACAAACATTTCTGACTATCATTTCCCCAAATCTTGGGCTACAAAGCCTTTTTTTTTTACCTAAGGTCCCCCTAGTCTGGTGGTATCGCTTAGAGCAGTGTTGGCGAATCTTTTCGGCACTAAATGCCAAAATGGGAGCGCACGCTCGCGTATGGAGGAGCGCCAGAACCGGAAGAGCAGCTCCCCGGTGCGCATGTGCGTGCTGGGAAGGTGAGCTTCCAGTTTCCGACGTGCGCATGCACGCCAGTCACCTGGTCACCTGGTTTCTGGCGGAGATGCACGCATGAAGACCAGCTGGCCGGCACGCATGTGCATGCCGGAAACTGGAAACTCAGCTTCTCGGTGCGCACATGTGTGCCAGAGAGCTACTCTTCCGGTTTCCAGCGCTCTCATGCATTTGAAGAACAGCTGGGCGGTGCATCCGGAAGAGAAAAGGACGACGGCTGGCATGCCTGGAGAGATGGCTCTGAGTGCCACTTCCAGCACGCGTGCCATAGGTTCGCCATCACGGACTTAGAGAAATACTGCAATTTTGCTGACTGGGATCCAAGTCTGATTTTAGGAGGTCTCTTAAGCGGTTAATGAAAAAATGAAAACTTTTCTGTAAGCTGTGGAAGATGCCAAGTATGGCACTTGCTAAGGAAGTTGAACTTTCAGTATGAAAAATCACAGGATCGTTCTAATGCGATGGAATCGATCACTTACCAGGTCTCTTTGGAGGCTCCGGTGGAAGTTCAGACCTTTAAGGACCACAGACAAAGATGGTGAATTCAGAGCCTTCCCGAAAGGTTCCTATTTCCTACATTCGTCGCTAAAAATAGCCTGCAACCTCACTACTATCTCATTCTCTTGCCAGAGCAAAAAAAAAAAACCCCTTACCATTAACTTGGGTTGTATTTTATTGGGTCAATTCAGTATGAAATTCATCTGGTTCTATCCGGTTTGGGTGAATCAGTAGTGCTGGCGGCAGGAGGCTCCGTCCACCCACCTAGATGTCATCACGTCCCGTTTTTAACCCTCTGTGCACGTGCAAAAGGCTCTGCACATGCCTGGAGGAGGCGCGTGCGCACTCACATTTGCAAACTACGGTAATAGCGAAGGATTTCACCCCTGGGTCAATTTATAACTGCAAGAGCTGAAGAAGAGACACACGGCACCTCCTTCTCCCTTGCCCCATTTGGTCTCCAACCTGCAGCAATGCTCAACTGGCTTCCATCAAGTTTTTAGAAAACCTACACATAGACATAGAACACTAGATAGCAACCAACATCTTATTCTATCGCGCAGAAAGAATTTTGGTTATGAAGCCTTCTTATAATAGCATCCTTTTTGGAATTAAGGCACGTCCTGCTTCAGAAGGTAAAAATCAGTGAATTAAGTATGGTCTTGTAGCTGTTAAGAGCTGTGGTGGCGCAGTGGTTAGAATACAGTACTGCAGGCTAATTGTGCTGACTGCCGGCTGCCTACAATTTGGCAGTTCGATTCTGACCGGCTCAAGGTTGACTCAGCTTTCCATCCTTCTGAGGTCAGTAAAATGAGGACCCAGATTGTTGGGGACAATACGCGGACTCTGTAAACCGCTTAGAGAGGGCTGTAAAAGCACTGTGAAGCGGTATGTAAGTCTAAGTGCTGTTGCTATTTTCCTTCCTCCCTCCCTCCCTCCCTCTCAGTGGTTAGAAGGCAGTATTGCAGGCTGACTCTGCCCACTGCCAGGAGTTCGATCCTGACTGGCTCAAGGTTGACTCAGCCTTCCATTCTTCCGAGGTGGGTAAAACGAAGACCAAGATTATTGGGGGCAAAAGGCTGACTCTGTAAACCGCTTAGAGAGGGCTGTGAAGCGGTATGTAAGTCTAAGTGCTATTGCTATTTTGTACAAGACCTTTTAAGACACCCTGTTCTTTCGTCTTATCTCGTCTTAAGAGATAAGAAGAGATAAAACCTCACCCTTAAATGTCCACAGCTTATCCCAGTTTATTATACTATATTTCTGGGTCTGACTTTAGGCTGTAAAATTCCATAGAGACTGTTACTCACGGAGCCTTACTCTTCCCAAATATATTCTGTAGAGAGAAAGAGAAATCAGAATGAAAATGTCATTGACATCTTCCTTAATTTTTTAACATTCCATTATCTCTCAATCATCAGAGAACTTTAGTAGCACTGACAGCCCGAGGATAAGTGGAGCTAATTCAAAAGTTCCCTAGTGCTCTTTTGTACACTCAGATGTTCCCAAATATGCAGAAGTATATGATCGTGTAAAGCAGTGGTGGGATTCAACCGGTTCGCACCACTTCAGCCGAACCGGTTGTTAAATTGCTGGCTGGCCCCTCCCGTCCCCACCCCTTCCAGAAGTCGTCACGTGCCCTGTGTTCGCTCCCAGGTAAGTTGCAGGGAGGCCTACTAGGCCCAAAATGGGGGTGGGGGTGGGGGTGCAGCGCAGGGCCCCCGCAGCCCGTTTTTGCTCCTACTAGGCCCAAAATGGGGTGCTTGGGGTGTGTGGTGTGGCCTCCCTGCAGCCCATTTTTGCTCCCAGGGGGTGCAGGAGGCCGAGTGCTGCCTCTCACACACCCCCTGGCCACGCCCACCATGGCCATGTCCACCCAGCTGGTCATTAGGGCAGAGAACCAGTTGCTAAATTATTTGAATCCCACCACTGGTGATGAGGAATATCTTTCCGGGTTGGGGACATGGCACAGGGGGGAAGGAGGTGGAAGAGGCAACGGTTTTGTGTGAGGGGCAGGCTCACACAGGCATATAGCTTCATTTGTGTGACATGGCCCTCCATGAAATCGAGTTTGAGACCCCTGCCTTGGGAGTTAATTCCCATCCATCCACCCTCAACCCTTCCCCCAGAAAATAACGCCACGATCTCTTACCATGCTGAAGCCAAGCAGGTTCTCCGTGCCCGGTTGAATCTCCAGCACTGGAGAGAGAGAGAGAGAGAGTGGGACTGTGTTTGCCCATTTGCATAAGCATGCTGCAGGTATCGACAGGGAAGGTGGGGAAGGGACTTGGTTTCAGCTAATGGCATGGCAGGTAGGGTTGGGTTGTCTCAGGTATTCTATTGTGAGCAGAGGAGTGAAGGACTCTTCTCGTGAAATATCTCTGGCCTCGCTCAATTGTATTAATGTCTGATATACAGTGCAGGTTCCAGGCAGATGAGCTGTATTCGAGAATTGGTCTAGCAAAGGTTTTGTATGCCCTAGTTTGCAGTACAATGTTAACGGAGAAGAAGCTTCGCAAGATTAGGTTAACAACTCTTAATGCCTTTTTGGCAATGTTGTTGCAGTGAGCTCTGGCACTTAGTGTCAGCATTCTAGTGCTGCCATAAAGAGAAGAAGAAGAGGCTTGACTTTTCACCTACTTATTTTCTCTGTAGATAATATCCCCTAGGAGATGGGATGGGAGGGGGGACATTCCTGTGAGTTGAAGTCAGGAGATGGGAAGACTGACTTGGAAGATGGCCAATGAGACGCTGAGAATTGGGGAACGGAAAGGGAAGGGTTTGGGGTCAGAGGGTTAGTGTCGGCTATGATGGAGTCGGGAACAGATTGTTGTACTCTATAAATGGAAAATTTCAGCAAATATTATTTGTTTGGAAATGCAATTTATTTGAGATGACATCGAAACCTGACACTTAGATCATTTGAGATGAGTACTCCAAGCTCCCTGACAGAGTGAGGGCCGTCTACGAGGCCGTATCTGCCCAGCTTGTATTTTATGTTCCTGATTTTTTTTGCCAATGTGCAAGACAGAGCATATGTTGGTTGATATTTTGAGTTGCCAATCGTTTGACCGTTCTGACAGAGAGTGAAGGTCTCTTTGTAAGGTAGCAGCATTGTCGGTGGTGTTGAATAGTTTTACATCGTCAGCGAAGAGAACGCAGTTGTGCCAAGGGCTACCTGTACAACTTAGAAAGGAGGCTGCCGGACACGTAGTTTTCGAGACGTTTCCATTGGCCTGAACTCTGCACTCAAGTTTGCTAGTCTTTATCCCCATTTTCCTTCTCGGTTCTCTTCAACCTGCCCCTTCAGGCACTTCCCCATCAACAGGTTTGTCGGTTGTAAATCATGCAAATGGACCTTTGACATGGGTGTAGGTTGGTGACAAATGATTACAAAGGAACTGACTTCTCTTCAAGGAAGTAAGGATTAGTTCCAGTGGTGGGTTCCTCCCGGTTCGGCCCAGTTCTCCCGAGCCGGTAGCGGTGACAATATGACGTCACCGAACCGGTTCTGCCCCCCTACCCCCGTGCCCCTCCACCTCTAGGTTCCCGCTGGTTTTACACCCAATTAAAAGTAAAACTTGGTCACTTCCCCCCCAGAGTCTCCAATCCCATGGTCCAATCAGCATGTAGGCCAGTTGCTAGGTGATCTCAGTCTCCACCTTTCAAACACCTGCATGAACGTCCTTGATTCCCAGGGGAAAGAATTTTGTTTTGGCTACAACATTCCAGTTAACTCTACACCCCCACCCCTCTCCCTGGCTCCTTAGCTCCAGACTGTGTCAGCCCTGAAGCAATGCGAAGAGAAGCCTCCTTAGAGGAAAACTACAAAAAGAAAATGGCCATAGTTAGGTCAGCTTCAGGGTTGACATCTACCTGCCTCGGAGTTATGCTTTCAATGGGTGTGTTACTCAGAACACTGACACCTAGTTAGGAGTCTGGTTCTCCATAGCAGGGACGACACAAATACGGAAGACCAGTTTTTCTAATTTTTAAAAAAATGCTTTATTCCATTTTTATTTTTTTTCACAGTATGAAGATAGCAACTGCAGTAACAACCACGGACTACACAAAAGGACCTGGTCAGAGAAGTCAAACCAGGCACAATGATCACTGCGGGGATATGCCGAGCCTCCAGGATTTCAGCCAGCACAAGAAAGGAAGGAGATGACCATGGAGGTAAACCATCCCAGGTTACTTCATGCTGTGTTCATCAACGACCAAACGGAAAGAATCCTCCCCATCCCTCACCCAACTAGAGCAGTGCAAGGTGGGATACGTCGTCCCAAAGGTGACAGTTGCTGCAGGATGCTGTAGTCCAAGAACATTTGGAAAGCTCCAGACTGAGAAGGTCAGCACTGACTGGGCCAGACATATTCTTCACTCTGAAGTGAGACCTCATTGGCCACTACCTGGCCAACAGATGAGACAAGGTGAGCAATGAAGGGAAATATAAGGCACTAGAATTCCATAGGGTGTATTTTAGAGTTGTTACCGCCAGGGGGGTACAACCTATTAGACTTGTGGACTTCAACTCCCAGAATCCCCCAGAATTCTGGGAGTCGAAGTCCACAAGTCTTAAAAAGTTGCCGAGGTTGGACACCCTTGGGTGAGAAGCTTTGCTCCTCACCCATATTTTCCCTTCTGCTCTACCCCGACCCTACTCCAGCACAGCAAATTTAATCCAAATTTGGGATTAAAGACTGAGCCATCCTAAATTAAAAGGCAGCATCACATGCACTTCGGTTTGGAGACAGGAGGAAACCAGGCCAGGAAATGGCGAGGAAAGGGAGAGGGGTCTTGGGTTCTTGGTCCCAGCCAAAATGTTCCAACCCTCAAGAACGGCAGCCAGCGCCGGAACAAGCTTGCAATTTTATCAGCTTCTGGTTCATCTGCACGAGCAGCGAAGGGTCGACACTCTTGGCTATATTGGAAAGCTGGTGTGGGTCTGCCGTTAGGTTGTAGACTTCCACAAAATTCTGCAAGAGAAAAGTAGGACGGGCAGTTAGGAGGCAGCCTCTCCGGAAGGAAATCCGTCCACAGAAGGGGGAGGTTTTCCACCCACAGCCTTCCTTGAGAAGCCAACGTCCATCCACACTGTCATCTTCTTACAAGGTGGTCCTAGTTGCCTTCATACCTGGAGGAAGGTTCCAACCCCTTGGCAGAACCAATTTGGGAGAATCATCCCTTAGAACAGGGGTCTCCAACCTTGGCAACTTTTAAGACTTGTGGACTTGCAACTCCCAGAATTCCTCAGCCAGCTAAGGTAAGGTAAGGTCAGCCAATCAAGGTAGAAAGGCCTTTTCCTGATATTAGAAGCTCCGATCATTCTTGAAGGCCACAGATCCGACTTTCTCAGCCCTAACATAGAACCGCCTGGCGCTAGAGAGGGCGAGACCAAAACCACAGCCGCTTACCTCTTTGTCGGCAAATTCACAGTATTGCATGTTCGCAGCACTCAGAGTGCGCACGCAGGCGTACGTGTTGTTGAAGGCATCTTCACACACGCAGTCAGGGAAACATTGCTGTGCAAAACAAGGTTGGGAAACTGTTCATGAACTGAAGATCTATTGAGCAACTTGCCAAGTACAAATGTAGCCAGTGAGGGTCAACCAGGGGTAGGATACAAAAAGGGTTGGGCGTGGCCCTGGTGGGTGTGGCCTACTCGGCCTCCTGCATCACAGTGGAGGCCAAGCTGCGGAGGCTCTCCTCGAGTCTCCAGGAGGGTGAAAATGGCTTCCCCTGAGCTCCGGAGGCCCTCCGGAGGCCGGAAATAGGCCTGTTTCCGGACTTCCAGGAGACCCGTTTTTCGACCTCCCAGAGCCTCCGCACAGGCCCTGCACCTACCTGGCACCCAAAATGGGCCACATGGAGACTCCTGGGAGGGGAGTAGTGGGGTGGGTGGGGCCAGCCAGTCTTTGCAAGTACTGGTTCAGTGAACCAGATGTAAAATTAGCATCTGGTTCTCCCAAACCGGTCTGAACCGGTTGAATCTCATCCCTGGGCCCAACTGATCCTCATCAAGCTAGAGCCACCAGAATCAAGGGTGATCAGAAGGCTGTAACCCTGTTTGAGCTTTGCAAAATTGCAAGGCCTTTTTCGGAACGATGAAAACTCTTAGCAGAGCAGGTAGATGTCAACGCAACCTCATGGGGGCTAAAATTCTTCCATGGTAAAGAGGGCATAGCTAGTTGGCTGGCTGGAGCAGATTTATTCCTTATTTATTCAATAATATTTATTGATTGAATAGCCCTTGGGCCATATCAAAGTGCAGATTTCCAGAAACAAATTATTACTGAAATTTGATAAAATACAATTTAAAATGGAATTGGATAAAATACAATTTAAAATGAAATTGGAATAAAGTACAATCTACGATGAAAATGGGATAAAATACAATAATTTAAGATATAAAATATGATAAAATTATATTTCGATGTCAACCCTACAATCTACCCCAATCAGTCCCCCATAGGCAGATCTCAACCGAACCATTTTGCTTAAGTACTGTGCTGTGTTAAGTGTTATATTTCCTTATTTATTGATCTAAGGCGGGGTGGTGGCTCAGCAGTTAAGATACTGGGCTTGTCAGCTGGAAAGCCAGCAGTCCAGGTTCGAGACCCGAACACCACGTGACAGTGTGAGCTCCCGTCCTCCCCTCCCGTTCCTGCCAACCTGGCAGTTCGAAAGCATGCAATGGCGAGTAGATAAATAGGTACCACTTTGGTGGGAAGATAACAGCGCTTTGTGACGTCAATGACTTTACCTTTTTATTGATCTAATCCAGGCATGTCAAACTCAAGACCCGGGGGCTAGATCGGTCTGTGGGGGTACTTGGCCTGCGGGGCTGTCCTGGAAACAGTGAAGGATTGGCCCGCGGTGCTTCTGCCAGCGAAAACAGGGTCCCGAGCTCAGTTTTCGGCTGCCAGGGCCTCCTCAACCCTCGGCCCTCCCGAGGACTGTTTTCGCTGGCAGAGGGTTGCAGGAGGCTGTGGCAGCTGAAAACGGAGCTCGGGAGCCCGTTTTCGCTGGCAGAAGCACTGGGGCCACCACAGGCGCCTCCGACACAAGTAACATTGAGCTGGCCACGCTCATCCCAGCCACGCTCACCCTGGCTTCCAGAGGTCAAACACAACCCTGATGCGGCCCTCAATGAAATTGAGTTTGACACCCCTGATCTAATTAATTGGTATAGCTGCTCATTTTTCAACAGCAACTCTTACTGGCTTGTATAGAATTAGAGACACAAATAGAGTTAAACTAGGGCAAATATGCATAATGGCAACCAAGAACAACTTCAATTATCATCACTAGCACAACCGTCTCACGGGCCCTATTTACCTCCAAGCTCCCATAAATAAGAGGGAAAGACGAAAATTCATTTCTCTTTCTTTCCCTTTATAGAACATCCGTTTCATTGTCCTACTGCCCTACTCCTGCTCTCACATGGTGAATTATGTGCCCAGGGATGGGAGACCATGCCAACGTAGGCATGTGAGAATGGAAGAAAGCCCCTCTCTCAATAGTGTTTTAGGATGCTAGTTAAGGCCTGTATCAGGTGCCACTTTATGCTCGCTTTGTCCTTTATGCGGTGACAGTCTGTCGTGAACTGTGGGGAATGAAGGGAGGGGGATGCTTGGGGGGAAAAGTAGAAACCACTGACGATGCCACTCCAAGGTCACCCAGCTGGAAGGAGGAGGGAGCTGCATACCACCCTGAGCTCAGACTGACCATTATGGAAACATCTTGCAGGACAGACCAAGGTATGTGTGTGTGTGTGTAGAACTTAGTGATTTGGGCACGCGAATCTCAGTTCCGGCTTCGCATTACTGCAATACGCTCGGTTTCTATTAAACTAGATCTTTCTCCACAAACGGAGCCAAGGATCGTTCTTACGGAGAGGTTCAAGCTGTAATAGCAGGTCTCACAGCGCGAGTCGGACTGTAGGGAAATGATGGGGAGGGCCAAAGCGAAGATCTGCTTTGCATAGGCAAATGTGCCAGCCTCGTCTGGAATAGAAATGCCATTCCTGATCGGAACTGCTTTAGGGAGGGTGAAAGAGCCTGTTTCTCGGAAGTCAAATGAGACAATGTTCATTTATTATGGATAAAATGAGGACCCAAATTGTTGGGGGCAATAGGCTGACTCTGTAAACAGCTTAGAGAGGGCTGGAAAGCACCATGAAGCAGTCTATAAGTCGAAGTGCTCTTGTTATTAGAAGTTTATCCCATCCTTCCTCCGTCAGTTTGCTCTGCTAAACACCTAAGTTATGGTTGGCCATTATGGGAACAGAGTACCAGGACAGACAGGGGTGCAATCAAACACAACAGGGTTTTTCTAAGAGCCGTCTTCTCTTTCACAGCGAGGGACTGAGGTTTTTTTTTTTTAATGACTACATTCCACTACCCAGAGGTTTTGCATCACAACTCCCATAATCCCTTGCCATTGGCCCTGCTGGCTAGATGGGTAGGAGACCTTTTAGACTTCTATAGAACTGCCTACCCTCTTTGTTGGGGTCTTCTTGCAGCTACCTATTAAACCAGAGCTACATCCTTGCCTAGGGACCCGGTGGCTCAGTGGCTAAGACACTGAGCTTGTCGATCGAAAGGTCGGCAGTTCGGCGGTTCGAATCCCTGGTGCCGCGTAATGGGGTGAGCTCCCGTGACTTGTCCCAGCTTCTGCCAACCTAGCAGTTTGAAAGCATGTAAAAAATGCAAGTAGAAAAATAGGGACCACCTTTGGTGGGAAGGGAACAGCGTTCTGTGCGCCTTTGGCGTTGAGTCATGCCGGCCACATGACCACAGAGACATCTTCAGACAGCACTTGCTCTTCGGCTTTGAAACGGAGATGAGCACCGCCCGCTAGAGTCGGGAACAACTAGCACATATGTGCGAGGGGAACCTTTACCTTTACCTTTATACTCTTGCCTCCTATTACTAGAAATGTTTTCTTTACATGCAAAACAAATGGAAATTTAGCCGGCTAAAATGACCCAGGTAGAAGTAAGCAGTATCTGAGCAGCTTTCAGAACTAAAATAAATATTTGCAAAGGAGGGAGCCGTCTTCTGGCCACGTGTCATGGATGCAAATGGCAGAATCAACGTTTTGTCATGAAATACGTGAAAATTAAGCCGGTACGGACACTTACGGACACTCCGGGTCCCAATTTCGGACACTTGGGGTCCCTGGTTGTGTAGCCTTCTCCAGTATATTGCACCAGGAAATCTGACCGCCATGCAGATTTCTGTACCTTGTTCACCTGCATGAAAGGGGATTTGTTTCAAGAAGCAGCCGTAAATAGAAAACTCCCTCTCCCTCCCCCTCTCTCTTTTTCCGTTAAGATTTCTAAATGTATTTTAGACACTTCCTTTGTGCCCGGTCAGGCTTCATTGCCCACCTAACGTACGAAAGAGAGAAAGATTAAAATGTTTTTTAATAAACTACCGGTAATTCTCATTCTCTCTCTCTCTCCCCTCCCTCCCTCCCTCCCCCTTCTTCTCTCCCTCTCTCTTCCCCCTCCTTCTCTCCCTACCACTCCTTCTCTCTCCCTCTCTCTTCTTCCCTATTTCCTTATCACTCCTCTCTCCCTCCCTCTCCCTCTCCCTCTCTCCCTCCCACTCCTCCTCTCTCTTTCCTTCCCTATTTCTTTATCAGTCTTTCTATCTCCCTCCCTTTCTCCCTTCCTCCCTCCCTCCCATTCCTTCTCTCTCCCACTCCTCCTCTCCCTATCACTCTCTCTCCTTCTCTCCTTCCCTATTTCCTTATCACTCCTCCTCTCTCTCTCCCTTTTTTTAAAATTTGATTTATATGCCGCCCTTCTCCGAAGACTCAGACTCCCTCTCCCACTTTCTCTCTCACTTCTCTCCCTCCCACTCCTCTCTTTCCTTCCCTATTTCTTTATCACTCTCTATCTCCCTCTCTCCCTCCCACTCCTTCTCTCTTTCCTTCCCTATTTCTTTATCACTCTTTCTCTCTCCTTCCCTATTTCTTTATCACTCTTTCTCTCTCCCTTTCTTACTTCTCTCCCTCCTTTCCCTATTTCTTTATTACTCTTTCTATCTCCCTCCCTCCCACTCCTTCTCTATCACTCCTTCTCTCTCTCTCCTTCCCTATTTCCTTATCACTCCTCTCTCCCTACCACTCATTCTCTATCTCCTTCCCTATTTCCTTATCACTCCTTCTCTCTATCTCCTTCCCTTTCTCTCTCTCCATCTCCGCCCCCACCCCCCTCTCTATGACAGTGAGCTCTATCCATGCAGGACTCTCAAGATTTCTTTATTTGAATTTCATTAGAGATCTGCTTAAACCCCATGAATCTCAAGTTTACATTCTCTGGTGTGATTCTGCAATGCATCAAAGTCCCATGTGCAGCTTCTGAGCAAAATCCTCCTTCCTAAACACCGCAAATGCTTTTTTTAAAAAACAAAACAAAACCCAACCCGCCTCTGTTCTTCAGAAGAGCTTTCTAACTGGACTCTTCCATCCACTGGACTATATACCCAGATTCAAGGCAATGTATTATTACCAAGAGGGGCAGGAAGGAGACTCCATCCATGTTGGTCTGAGAAGCGTTGACTCCTGCAATGTCCAAGAAAGTGGGTGCCAGGTCAATATTCAGGATGGGTTCCTGAGAGGAAGAGAAGAGAGGAGGCTGTCAGGATTCAGAGGGATGCCCTAGTTAAATCATGAGCCTCAAGAGCCAAGCTTCCAAAGAAATCCAGTTATTAGGAGCTTCATGCCTGCAAGTTCCAAGTGAAGCCAACTCTGACCCCACGTAATTTATGACTCAGTCTTGACCCTGTTTTCCCCCCTCCCCCCAGGATGTGACATCAGTCACATTCGCCAATGGAGCAATTTCACGGGTTGTAGAGATCACTCCCCTCCGGCTGCTGTGGGTAACCCTGGGAGACAGCCTTGAGAGAGATATGTCTGGAATGTGCTTTTGTTTTTGGCTGCCGTGCTGCTTTGCCGTTTTCTCATCCGCCTTGCCTATGGTAATTCGAAGACCAGGCCAGGGATGCTTTGCGAGTTGACAGAGACAGCGACTGAAAGCAACTCGGGATGATGGTTCCCTAACCAATAAGTCTCATCCTCATAGCCTGTAGGAAGCTAACATAGAGAGCCTCAACTTAAAATAATTCATTTAGTGACCGTTCAAAGTTACAACAGCACGGGAAAAAAGTGACCGGTTTTTCATACTTATGACCATTGCAAGCATCTCCATGGTCACATGATCAAAATCCAGGTCCTCGATCAGTTGATTCATCTTTATGATGGTCACAGTGTCCCGGGGGTCATGTGATTCCCCCTTTGAGACCTTCCGACGAGCAAAGTCCATGGGGAAGCCAGATTCACTTAACAACCAGGTTACTGACTTAATAACTGCAATGATTCACTATAATGATTAACAACACTAGCAAGAAAGGTCGTAAAATGGGACAAAAGTCACTTCATAAATGTCTCACTTAGCAACATAAATCTTGGGGGAAGGTCAATTGTGGTCGTAAATCGAGGACTACCTCGACTTTCCAAAACAGTGGCAGGAAAACTGCACAGGAGACGAATTCCCCCTACAAGTGCTTTTCCTTCACCTTTATGATTACACAAAGAAAGCCATTAAGATAGAAACTCAGGCCACACTATTGTCTATCTCATCCCAAGAAGATGCTCTCCAGCTTTTTGGTTCAGTTCCCCTGTTCTCCAGCCACACGTTGGCTGGGGAGAATGGAAGCTGTAGACCATCAACGGGCAACATGCAGTCAAGCCAAGAGCTACGGATGGCCTTCAAAACTTTTTTGTGTAGCTCTCAAGAGCTGCTCCCAAGTATATTGTCTGGACGCCTGCTCTTCATTTTGAAACAGGAAACGTATCAAAGCGGTTTTGGCCATGTAACCTCCAGACGAGGCCTACAACTGATGAAGCAATAAAGGAAAAGATGATAGGACGCTACCTTCTGCAAACTGCCCCACAGGACAATATGCTCTGGGGCTTCAGATCTTTTGCATCAGGACTGCAGGCTCTGTTGTTTTGAAATCATGGCGGGGCAGGGGCAGGAGAGCACAAATAAAGCCTGGGTAGCCTCCTCTTTTTCCCACACTCCAACTGACCTACTATCAGCTGGAGGATGTGGACAAAATTGCTGGGTTTACTCCAGCCAAGATTCTTTGTGACCATTAACAATGGGGGAACGGCAAGCAGCAATCTTGATTGGGATGGGACTTCAGGATGGAGAGACTTTAATTGCAGTCTAGCCAAGCAAGCTGATCTTTGGGTATCTTGGAGGCCGCCAATAGCCCTACCTTTGCCCAGCTCAATAGGGAGAACGTATGTCGTGGCCCACCAGCAGGCAGCAGACTCGGACAGTGAGGAGGTTGGGAAGGAACATGGGCCAGTCCTGGAGTCTGGGGAAGGCAGAGATGGGACCAGGGCCGTCTGACAGTTCTCAGCTGTCTTTGGAGTTGGACATCAGTGAGGCAGAAGAACAGCTGAAGCCTGATCCCAGTGTGAGCATGCGCAGATTTGCCAGACAAAGGGAACAGCTAAAGAACAAGGGTCGACTCAGGAGTAAAGCCACAGGTGGACGATGAATGGCCCCTCCCAGAGGGAATAAAAGAGGAGCGAAAGGGGAGTGGAGTTTGCAGGAGACAATTAGTTCGCTTAATTGCGTTGTGACTCTCAGAGACTTCTTGCCAAGTTTTGAAGATACCGTCCTGGCAGCTCTCTCCAAGCCAGATAAGGTCTGTGACTGTAAAATTCACCCTTGAAAGACTTTGCTGGATGTGAATGAGAGGAATTCACAAGTAACTTAATAAAAAGGGTTTTTTATCGGGACTTTTTATCTGCTTCGTGGTTTGGGAACAACGTATGCTCATCTCACTTATATCTCATCATGCCTCCATTTTAATTGAAGATGCCCTCAACAAATCCTGCGCTAGACTTTTCTTCTGGAGCAAGTAAACCTACCAGGTATGTTTTATTTCCTTTAACACCTGGGCCTCGTACCAGCAACGGCACCCGGATATCAAACTCGTAAAGTTGACGTTTGTCAACGGGCAGCGAGAATTGTCCTTGGAGGGAAAAAAAAAACAAAGACAGCAAAACAGACAAGAAAGGTAGAGAAAGTCAATAGGGATGATCAGCAAACACGAAAAGGACTCGTTCTTCAGCAAGTGCCAATATTCAGTCTGGAGATCGGATCCAAAGGCAATTCAGATCTAATCACCAAAATGAATTTCCAGATCAGGCTGACTGAGACAACAAATGATCAGATTGATCCAGATAACTCACATAAGAAAAGATTTGGACATTTTATTTGATGGTAGGGTTTCTTGCAGAATCATATTTTCTGCTGCTTTTCTGCCTCAATTAACTAACAGTTGTAATTCATGGCTTATTATTAAATCTAGTTTTGAATGTTGCTGCCTGTATTCATGATTTCTGGTAGTAGGGTTATATATTCCCAATATTCTCTGAAGACGTCTTTAAATTATTCCCTATCTCCGTTTGTCCCTTCACGAAGTTTCTTACAAACATCTACTTCTACTCACCTGTGTGGTAACCATGATCTGAGGTATAAAACACATATGTGCTGTCCAGCAATTTCAGGGACTTCAGCTGATCCAGCACTTTCTGTACCATATCATCTACTGACAGCAGAGTTTGCCACCTGAAGATCAAAGAGAAACCACGGGGTAAATGCTGATTTTTTTTCCCCCTTGAAAGTTTAACCACACGGAATGCTTGGTTGTACAAACAGAGGCATAGAATCAAAATCACGTAAAGTATTAATACTGCTTAATAAGGGCCACACCTGGAATTCTGCATCCAGTTTTGGTCATCACATTACGAAAAAAGATGTTCAGACTTTGGGGGAAAAAAGTGCAAAGAAGAGCAACTAAGATGATTAAAGGCCTGCAGGTTAAAAGATATGAAGAGAGTGGACAAATTAACGTTGAGTTTAAAAGATAAAGAGACATCGATATTTTACAATGTGTGGGAACAGTGGTATAACTGGGTAGAACGGAGATAGATTGAAGATAGATAGTTATTAAATATAAGTAATAGATAAAATAAGAATGTAAATACGCACAATTTAATTTTTGTAAATAATGCACGAATTATTGTCACAAGAAAAACACCAAAATTAGCTGTTGTTGAGTGAAATCATTTTTTATCTTTCTTTCTTTATCTTTATCTTTATTCAAATTTCTATACCGCCCTTCTCCTTTCAGACTCAGGGCGGTGTACAGCCAGAAATAAAACATTTTATATACAAAAGTTAAAATAAATTTAAAATAATTAAATAAATTTGGCCCATTAATTTAAAACATTCCAATTAAAAGCCATATCAAAGTTATTAAAACCAATCATAAAATCAGGACATGTTTTTAATGTAATAAAAGTTTAATAAAGTGTTTATAAAAAAAATAAAAGATATGAAGAGATATGAAGAGGGGTCGAAGGAACTGGGTATGGCTAGTCTAGAGAAAAGAAGGACTAAGGGAGACATGATAGCAGTGTTCCAATATTTGAGGGGCTGCCACAAAGAAGAAGGGGGTCAACTTATTCTTCAAAGCGCCTGAAGGCAGGACAAGAAACATTGGATGGAAAGTAATCAAAGAGAGAAGCAACCTGGAATTAAGGAGGAATTTCCTAAAAGTGAGGACAATTAGCCAGTGGAACAGCTTGCCACCAGAAGTAGCTGGTGCTCCATCACTGGAGGTTGATTTTAAGAACAGATTGGACAGCCACTAGTCTGAAATGGTATAGGGCAGTGATTGGCTAACCTTTTTCTCGTTGTGTGCTGAAAGTGTTCTGCTCTTTAGAAGGCCAGATCCTGAAGAGGAAACTCAAATACTTTGGCCACCTGATGAGAAGGAAGGACTCCCTGGAGAAGAGCCTAATGCTGGGAAAGATGGAGGGCAAAAGAAGGGGACGGCAGAGAACAAGGTGGCTGGATGGAGTCACTGAAGCAGTCAGCATGAGCTTCAATGGACTCCAGAGGATGGTAGAAGACAGGAAGACCTGGAGGGACGTTGTCCATGGGGTTGCGATGGGTCAGACACAACTGCGCAACTAACAAAAATATCTGGACTTTGATCAGTCCCAGAGATCAACCGGTCAGTCCTAGAGGAGATCAACCCTGGCTGCTCTTCAGAAGGCCAGATCCTGAAGTCAAACTCAAATACTTTGGCCATCTAATGAGAAGGAAGGACTCCCTGGAGAAGAGCCTAATGCTGGGAACGATGGAGGGCAAAAGAAGAAGAGGACGGCAGAGAATGAGGTGGCTGGATGGAGTCACTGAAGCAGTCGGCATGAGCTTAAATGGACTCCAGAGGATGGTAGAGGAAGGCCTGGAGGAACGTTGTCCATGGGGTATCACCACTTTTGGTAACAGTGAAGTCACATTTTCTTACCGGGCTCTATAAACGTGATCCAAGAACTGAATGGAGCTGTTGGACATTGGTGTCTTCGCTTGTTTTATCAGCCAGTGCTTGTCCTACAAAAGGAAGAAGATCCAGGAGACAACTTCCAGAGCTATCCAATGGTTCAAGGATGGATATTAGATAGGAAGGATTTATAAAAGGACACCCCTCCCCCATATACAAGTAGTCCTCGACTTATGACCACAACTGAGCCCAAAATTTCAGTAGCTAAATGAGACACTTGTTGAGTGAGCTTTGCCCTCCTTTACGACTTTCCTTTCCACTGTTTATAAGTGATGCCACAGGGATGCCACGATTGTCGTAAGTGTGAAAAACGGTTGTAAATCACTTTTACGACTTTGCTCCTAAAAGAGGAGCAAAGGCACATGTACCCTTTACAGGAAAGCAACGTTGTTAATTCTGTTCCCAGTCGGCATCTCTGTTTGATTCTGAACTCCGTGTTGCTTTGCCAAGTAGGTCTTTGGCAGCGTGTCAAGGGAGATAAAAGTGGGTGATTATCCCGAAGGACTTTTTGCAACTAAATGGGAATGAACGTAATTCACAGCTGTTGCAATCAAAGAGGCTCTTGGGACTAGTCATGTGTTTTAATGACTCAGCTTCAGCCTGCTTGAAGCCCACTGACCCGCCTGGCATGTGTTAGCAACTCACCTTCCCGTGCACATTGAAGCTGCCATTGCGAGGGGCTTTGAGGGTACTGTAGGTGGACTTGTAGTGAGGAGCCGCCGTCCAGGGCGAGTGTGCAGCAGGTGGAGCTAACACCATGAGGAAGGGAGGGCGCAAAAGCTTCCGTAGGAACTCCAGGCTCCGGTTGGTCTGCAACACCGAAAGGATTGGGAAAGGTAGAAGATGACACAAAAGGATACAAAAAAACATGAGTGAAGAAAGGCAGGGGCTGCTCCAGGCACTCACATGCCTTCCCCCTCACCCACCCCACCAAAGAAATTCCTCCTGGAATTTCTACACCTGGCTGAACCAAAGGTGCTTTTTTTTCAAAAGGCAATTGGGCTTTCTTGGGTTTTTTTCTTCTCCTTCTCAAAAACTGAAGAAGCTTCCTGGATGAGAAGCGAAAGGTCTTCAAGGAAAAAAACAACAAGAAATGAATTTGAATATTAGTAACTCAGGTTGGGTAGCTGGGCTGTTGGTTTGAGCTCCGAGTTTGGCGCAATCTGGTTGCAAATGTTTTGTCACCACTCGAGGAGACGCCGTCAGTGCGTTTGGAGTGGACGACTCGAAACACACTGACGATGTCTCCTTGAGTGGTAACGAAATGTTTGCAACCAGATTGCGCCAAGCTCGGAGCTCAAACCAACAGCCCCCAAAAAACCAGAAAGTCCAGTTGCCAATTGGAAAAAAAAACACCTTTGGGACAACTATGACCTGGATGACTGAGAATCTCTGTAGATTCTAGAGAGGAATGATTGAGTTTGTCATCTGCACTTCTATAACTGTCTGGTTTGGTTCTGCAACCCAACAAGACACACACAGACTTCAGAGGATCATTAGAACTGCAGAAAAAACAGTGGCTACCAACCTGCCTTCCATGGAGGACCTGTCTACTGCATGAGTCAAAAAGAGGGCTGTGGAAATATCTACAGACCCCTCACATCCTGGACATCAACTGTTTCAACTCCTACGTCCTCAAAATGACGCTATAGAGCATTGCACACCAGAACAACTAGACACAAGGACAGTTTTTTCCCAAATGCCATCACTCTGCTCAACAAATAATCCCCTCAACACTGTCAAACTAATTACTAAGTCTGCACTATTATTAATCTTCTCATCGTTCCCATCACGTATCTCCTTCCACTTATGACTGCATGACTGTAACTTTGTTCCTTGTATCCTTGTGATTTATGTTGATATTCTTTCCTAGTATGATTTGATTGCTTATTGTACCGTATGTCACTGGGTGTTGTGCCTTGTGATTCTCGACGAGTGTATCTTGTCTTTTTATGTACACTGAGAGCTTATGCACCGAAGACAAATACCTTGTGTGTCCAATCACACTTGGCCAATAAAGAATTCTATTCTATTCTATTCTACTCTACTCTTCATTCCAATATTCTATTCTATTCTATTCTATTCTATTCTATTCTATTCTATTCTATTCTATTCTATTCTATTCTACTCTACTCTACTCTACTCTACTCTACTCTATTCTACTCTTCATTCCAATATTCTATTCTATTCTATTCTATTCTATTCTATTCTATTCTATTCTACTCTACTCTACTTTTCATTCAAATATTCCATTCCATTCCATTCCATTCCATTCCATTCCATTCCATTCTATTATTCTATTCTATTCTATTCTAATTCTATTCTACTCTACTCTACTCTACTCCCAATTCCAATTCCAATTCCAATTCCTATTCCAATTCAATTCTATTATCAAGCTGTGACTGGAAAGGGCTATTGAACCTCAAGCAATCAACCATATCACCTAAACAAGAGCCTTGAAAGATTCCCAGCCACAGGCCATCCCCATTGGTCTTGGCGGATGACCCAAAACAGAAATATACTCTGAGCATTAAGCAAAGGGGGTTATCTCCTAGTGCCAGAACAGCTTAATTCGTTGAGAAGGGCAGCTGAAGCCGGTGGCACCAGTGCCATCTTCAGGGAGCCGGTGAAGAAAAAAATCAAGGTGGCAGCCGCCACGCTCCGGTCGAACTTCCACTTGTTCTGTTGATGCGCCATTGCGTATTGCGTTTTGGCCGCAGCTGCCATCTTGACTTTTTTGAGCCTACCTGGCGGCCAACCCTGCATGACACCACAGTGGAGGTGAAGCCCAGGAGGAAGCGGAGGAGTGACTCACGAGCAGATCCGTGAGGTAGTCCGCTTCGTAGTGGTCCCCGTGTTTCTCTTCGTGTCCGTTCAGTGAAAGGGTGTAGTTGTAGTACTTGGAATTGCCCACCTGTGGGAGGAGGCACATGGCCTGTTAGACACAGGGGTATTTATTTATTTATTTATTTACTTAAAATATTTTGCTTTAAAATGCACGGCTTGGTCTTAAAAAAAAAAACCCACAGCAGTTTACATGAGGTTCAAAACGCTGAAATGGCGGTTAGAACAAATTGATACAAAGCCTAGGTTAAAACATTTCAGAATAGGATAGGATAGGATAGGATAGGATAGGATAGGATAGGATAGGATAGGATAGGATAGAATAGAATAGAATAGAATAGAATAGAATAGAATTGGAACAGGAACAGGAACAGGAACAGGAACAGGAACAGGAACAGGACAGAATAGAAATATAGAATAGGATAAGGAATAGGATAAAATTAGAATAAGAATAGAACAGAATAGGAATAGAACAGAACAGAACAGAAATATAGACTAGAATAAGAAATAGGAGAATAGAATAGAATAGAATAGAATAGAATAGAATAGAATAGAATAGAATAAAGAAATAGGATAAAATAGAACAGACTAGAGTAGAGTAGACTAGGCTAGACTAGAATATGGAATAGGATAAAATTAGAATAAGGATAGGATAGGATAGGGACTTTGGAGGTCTTCTAGTCCAGCCCTCTGCTCAAGCAGGAGAACCCACACAATCTCAGACAAGTGACTGTCCAGTCTCTTCTTAAAAACCTCCGGTGATGGGAGCGCCCACGATTTCTGAAGGCAAGCCGTTTCACTGATTAATTGTCCTGCCGAGGCTGATGGGAGCTGGAGTCCAACACCATTTGTAGGATGGCAGCTGTTCACCCCAGTGGGTCTGTGCTGGAGAATCCTGGGAGTTGAAGTCCCACAAGTCTTAAAACTTGCCAAGGTTGGATACTCCTGACTTGGGAGGAAACCCGGTGTTGTTCTACTCACCAGACCTAGCCAATATGTCCATCCCATGGGAACGTGCTGAACGCCGCCGGCTTGGGGGTGCCCGTACTGTAAGAAAAGGAGAAATGTTGGTGAAAGCACAGCCGACGCATTTGCACAATCGATAAAAGGGAAGTGTTTAAAGCAGGGGTGAAATCCAGCAGGTTCTGACAGGTTCTGGAGAACCTGTAGCGGAAATTTTGAGCAGTTCGGAGAACCAGCAAACGCCACCTCTGGCTGGCCCCCGAATGGGGAGGGAATGGGGACTTTGCAATATCCTTCCCCCAGGAGTGGGGAGGGAATGGAGATTTTGCAGTATCCTTCCCCTGCCACGCCCACCAAGCCATGCCCACAGAACCGGTAGTAAAAAAAAAAATTGGATTTCACCACTGCTTTAGAGGGAAACAGGTAGCTCTACCTGATTGAGGTATTTGCCAGCGTAGAAAGTCTGGTACCCTTGCTTCTGCAGGTAAACCGGGTAGGTTAAGGGCTCCTGGAATTTCTGCCAGGCAGCATTGCTGCAATTCCCTTCCAAGGAATTATTCCTCACCAAGTGGTTGTGGGGATACAAGCCTGTCAGGATGCTGCTCCGGCTAGGACAACACAGTGGGGTCACTGCAAACTAAACACAGACAAATCAGTTGTGAGAAGGGATGGATTGTGTTCACCGTCTACTCCAAGGTAGCACAACTCCAGAGGTTCCCCCAAGTTTCTCTTCCTTAGATGCAGCCTTGAAGGCAGCCGGAGTTCACCGAGTTATTTCCAAGAGATGACAGAAGCTATTAAATTGGCGAACGGACAGCAGTTCAAATGCTTCTACCCAACTTCCTAACGGTGAGGATAATTAACCAGTGGAACGGCTCCAGAACCGGTAGCAGAAATTTTGAGCAGTTCAGAGAACCGGCAAATACCATCTCTGGCTGGCCCCCGAGTGGGTTGGGAATAGATTTTGCAGTATCCTTCCCCCAGGAATGGAGATTTTGCAGTATCCTTCCCCTGGAGTGGGGTGGGAATGGAGATTTTGCAATATCCTTCCCCCAGGAATGGGGATTTTGCAGTATCCTTCCCCCAGAAATGGGGTGGGAATGGGGATTTTGCAGAATCCTTCCCCTGCCACGCCCACAGAACCAGTAGTAAAAAAATTTAGATTTCACCACTGGCACGAGAAGTGCTCCTTTTTCGGCACTCGGTGCCGACAAAATTCGCCATCGCTGACCTATACCAAGTAATTCTCAACCCACATTTTGGGGATACTTACTGCATTAGCAAAGGTAGCTCCAAAGTGACCCATCAGAACTTGGGTCTTCTTCATCGGGCCCTGAAAATTGAAAGTCAAGAATCAGAAGGAAGCCTTCAAAACAAAACTACTAAACAGCCCCTTCCATTTGGAGAAACTCCACTCTTATATCCTTGCGTGCCGCGGGCGGCTCTCCCAAGCTCCGTTTTTGCTTGTAGCGGGTTGTAGGAGGCCATCACAGTCGAAAATGGAGCTCGGGAGCCAGGGCCGTCTTAACAGCATTATGGGCCCTGGATAAAGCAGGGTACTGGGGCCCCTACGACAACTACTCCCAGGAATGTAAATGGTCGATAAAATTAAACATCTATTTCTAATCAACATGATAAACATTGGAACAATACACGAGGCTTAAAAAACACAATAATACGCAGTAAGCCGTAGAGTTGCTGTATTTATATGATACAAGGTGCATTGAAGGGTTAACATACAGAGATTAGTATGGGGCCCCTATGCTCGTGGGGCCCACGGGCAAGTGCCCATCAAGCCTATGCGTTAAGACAGCCCTGTTCGGACTCCGGAGCCTCTAGAGTCGAATAGCAGAGAGGCAGAGGAACAGGAGGAGCCTGTTCCTAGTACACGCATGCGCAGAGCTGCCAGAAGGCAAGAACAGTTAAAACTGAAGGCACGACTCAGGAGTAAGGCCTGGAGATGACTGGCTCCTCCCATAAGGCTTAAAAGAGGAGCAAAGGCATGTGGGCCCTTTGCAGGAAAGCAAAGTTGTTAATTCTGTTCCCAGTCGGCATCTGTTTGATTCTGGACTCCGTGTGGCTTTGCCAAGTAGGTCTTTGGCAGCGTTGTCAAAGGAGATAAAGGTTGGCAATTATCCCAAAGGACTTTTTGCAACTAATTGGGACTCAGCTGTGAATGAACGTAATTCACAGCTGTTGCAATAAAAGAGGTTTTTGGGACTACTCGTGTGTTTTAATGACTCAGGAAGCCTAAGTGACAACAGTTCCTTCCATTTTTTTTATTATTCTGATCGGGCCATGAATCAGAAAAGGAACCAAACTGAGCTACGCTTTCAACATCAAGATGAAACATCCTTTATGACTGGGGAAAACCAGAACGGAAACTTCATACACAGCAACTTGTTTGTGGTTTCTTCTAAGCCACATGATCCACACTAAACATTTTCTTCCTTCATGTGCTGGAACTCTCACAGCATTGCCTTCCAAAATCCACAAGCAGCAGCGATCAGAGAAAACTTTCGGATTAGAATCGTTTTCCATCCTCTTGGAGTGAGGCTAAGCACCCATGGAGTTACTGTTGAAAAAGAGGGGGAATAATTTCCTCCTCTTCTGGAGCAGGGCGCGTGCACAAAAGTGGGTTTTAACACAAACAGCGTTAAAAGTGTAGACTGGTCTTCAAACCAGTCCCTTCCACCCGTTAAAGCAGGGGTGTCAAACTTGATTGCATTGAGGGCCGCATCAGGGTTGTGTTGGACCTTGGGGTGGTGGTGGAGTGGATGTGGCTAGCTCGACATTACTTGTGTTGGGGGCGGCTGTGGCGGCCCGAGAACTCTGCCAGCGAATACGGGCTCCTAAGCTCCGTTTTCAGCTGCGACGGCCTCCTGCAACCCTCTGCCAGCGAAAACGGCGGCCCTCCCGAGCTCCATTTTCACCGGCAGAGGCACTGCGGGCCGGTCCTTTGCTGTTTCCAGGGCAGCCCTGTGACCCGGATCTAAGGACCCTGCAGGCCACATAGGGCCCCCGGGCCTCGAGTTTGACACCCCTGTGTTAAAGCATTCTGTGACCAAAAATATATATATATTTGTCTTCTTAAGTTTTCGCGGGTGTGCATATGCAAAAAATTAAAATCTCGGGTGTTTTCCCGCGTCATTGTAAACTGTCGAAACGTTGCTATAAGAAAAATTTTTAAAGTCACTGGTAGGATTTTAGCTGAGGTTTTAAAGGACCTTGCAGAGAGCTCTGTAAGGATTTTTAGAAGATTTTAAGCTGGGATTTTAACCAGGATTTTAAATATTTTAACCAACTTATTTACAATGACGCGGGAAAACACCCGAGATTTTAATTTTTTGCATATATATATATATATATATATATATATATGTTAATTTGCAGAGTTTATTCATTCATTCATTATTTACTCTTTCCAAGTCAAACTGCATCGCCTTACTTAATCTTTATATTGCTGTGTTCATGTCCTTCCATTTATTAACATTCACAATATTAATAAGTAATAAATTATTTTTATGCAAGTTTGGGAGCCTCTCTTCTACCTGCTGAGCAGTGAGCGAGTTCTCCTTAAATTGCCCCCCACATATTAGATCTTAGGGAACTCCAATATAATCTATTACTTTTAAATAACCTTGACAGGCAAGTTGCCGATTAATATTATTCATTTGCACCGCTAGTAGACTATTTCTACACCGTTTCTGTGTAGAAACTGTGTTACATTCAGTTCTGCTTCCAACTCTTAAGGATGTTCCCTTGCAACGTGTCAGCCCTTCGAGGTAGGCCAGGTCAGGAAGGACTCGGCAAGAACTATAAATGCTAGGATGTTACTGTTGCGTGGTGCAATACCAAAATTTCCAAAGGCAGATAGATTGCCTCTCCTCCACCCGTTTATATCCGAGAAGAGCAGGAATCTCCAATCTTGGCCCCTTTCAAGACTTGTGCACTTCAAACTTTCATGTTTGGGGCTGGGGAATTGTTTTGAAGTCGAGGAGTCTTAAAAATGGCCAAGGTTGGAAATTTTTACGGAAGAGAATCAAGACAGGGCCATCTTGAGTCACTTTCTCACCCCTTCCCTCCCCTTTTCCAGAAGTTTTCAAGATTCTTCCTCTTCTTTTTCAGGCTTCCCTGCGAATCCTTTCTGCCAGAGGAATTTACACCCGGTAGCAACCGTGGGAACTCAGTCCCCCCACCTTCCTCCGCACCTGTTCGCTATCTGCGGGCCTTTCCCCCCCCCCCCACACCGCGGCCCTTCCCAAAACAACGCCCACCGTAGCCAGCAGGTAGGTTTCGGCTGGGCGTTGAGTGCGCGAGACGCTTGCTTCCAAGTGGGCGTCCCGCGTGGAGCAACTCCGCCACGGAGGTTCGAGTACCTTACCATTCCCCCCAGCACCAGATCCTGGTCGTCGGTCAGGATGAGAACGATGTTGGCTTTCTTGGCACCGCCGGTGTCTCCGCGTCCCGCACTCAGGAACAGCAGGAGGAGCAGCAAAGCCCCCGGGAGACCCTCCCGTCCCACCAAACCCCTCCCGGGACGCGTGGGTAGCATCCTCGCTCCGTGGAACGGCTCCTTTCCCAGCGCTGCGACTTTCAGGAAGCGCGCTGGTCCTCGTCTTATGACTGGCAAACGCTGCTCCAGCCTCCCACGCAGCCAGGATGCACAAACAGCCCCCCACGCACAAACACAAGTCACACACACACACACACACCCTGCAAAAGAACAAACAAACAAACTCCCGTGGCCCGACTGGGCTCCGCTTGGGCTGGAAGCGGGAGAAAGTGAATCACTTTCACTTTCGCTTCGCGCGGCTGGATTGCAAGCAGGGAGGCGCGGCGCTCTTTTAAGTCCTTCCCCCCCACGGGGAGGTTATTTGCATGAGTGGGCGGGGCCAGTGGGAGTGAGGGGGGCGGGGCCTGCTGCTTCCTTCGGACCGCAGCTGGAGCAGATCTCTGCACCTGGAGGGGGCTTCCTCCCTTCCCCCGTCTTGCATTTTGCAGGCACTTTTTTTCCGGCGGCGGATTGCGGGAGAAAACGACGCGTGGAAGCTTGTGCGGTAATCACTTTCTCTCCGGAGAGGGGGGTGGGGGAGGGGAGGGGAGGCTTTGGAGTTTTGTGTCCACCCCCCCTTCCCTCCCTCCGCCAGCATCCTTCTTCCCCCCACCCCCAAGCTGACCAAGAAGGTGTGGGAAGCCACCCCATCCCCCCCTAGAAGAATGAAAAGGGAAAGTGAAGGAGGGAACCTGAGTCCCGGCTGGGTATCTCACTTGGGGGGCTGAGCTGAATCTCGTTTTCCCTTCCTTCTCTCTTTTTTTTTTTTTAAAGTAATGTTGGGAATCCCAAACTCAGGAGGCAACTGGACTTTCTTTCTTTTTTTTAAGAAGTTTTTTATTTTGTTATTTTTTTACAAATATATCAATGCCTGGCATCTATTTATTTATTTATTTTATTTATTAATTTAATTTGTATACCGCCCTTCTCCCGGAAGGGACTCAGGGCGGTGAACAGCCAAAATTAAAAAACATACAAATGCAAAAGTTAAGATAATTAAAAGAATTAAATCATTGGCTACCCAAATTTAAAACCCCAAATCCATAAAATTTAAAATCCCAATTAAAAACCATTTAGGCTAGGCCGGGTGTCATACATCCTAATACACATAAAACTAGTAGAATTAATCATGGTTATTACATTGAATCAACTTCTATATTTCTAACAATAATACACACTTATATTAAGTTGCAATCTACCATTCTTCAATTATTCCACGTTATAAGGGAGCCTTGGTGGAGCAGCGGACTAACACACTGTTAACTAACACCAGCTGCCTGCAATTACTGCAAGTTCAAATCTCACCAGGCTCAAGGTTGACTCAGCCTTCCATCCTTCCGAGGTGGGTCAAATGAGGACCCGGATTGTGGGGGCAATAAGCTGACTTTGTATTAAAAAAAAGAACACCGCTTGGGGGGGCCGAAAGCCCTACTAAGCAGGTATATACAAAAGTATGAAGGCTATTGCTTAACGCATTGTAAGCCACCCTGAGTCTCCGGAGAAGGGTGGCATATAAATCGAACCAATAAATAAATAAATAAATAAATAAACTCCCAGAATTCCCTCGCTAGCACGCTGGCTGGGGAGGCACGGAGGCCTCCCCATACTGCTGTGGAATTTACACCTACCTAATTTGTTTCTTTAAGTAGGCTTCTTTGGAGAAGGAAGGGTGCGTCCCACCAGTGGGCAGATCATGGCCCAACTGCCGGTGAAAAAACGGCGCCCTCCGCGGGTTAAGCCAGGTCAACCAGCTAACTCCGAGTACCCGGTGCGTTTCCCCGAAGTGGTGGTCGGCCTGGTTGAGAAGAGGATGGGCACCAGCCGGAAAACGTTCCTCACCTCCTTGGCTCGCAGTAGAGGCTTCTGTGTAGATGATCCCTGCAGGTAAGTGTCCCCGTGGGAGTGGGCTGAAGGACCAGGAGGAGTGTAAGTAAGTAAGTAAGTAAGTAAGTAAGTAAGTAAGTAAGTAAGTAAGTAAATAAATAAATAAATAAATAATAAACAAACAAACAAACAAACAAACTCTTCTTAGCACGGTACAAGATAAACACGTTCCAGCCTCAACTTTTTCCTTTTACACATTAATATATAACTAGCCGTTCCTATAACACCAAATCTTTCTAATCAACAAAACCAAGTTCAAAGTTTCATTTTTTTTTTCTTCGTCAGCACAAATTCCAGAAATGATATCCAGATAAGAACATCGTCAGAGGCTTTTTTTTCTTTTAAAAGCATTTTTTTCTACAACCTCTTCGGCCGAAGAGGTTGTTTAAAAAATGCTTTTAAAAGCCTCTGACGATGTTCTTTGCTCGTGCGATCATCAGAGGCTCTTTTTTTTTTTTAATTTTAAAAGCATTTTTTTCGGCTGAAGACATTGTAGAAAAAATGCTTTAAAAAGTTAAAAAAAAAAAGCCTCTGATGAGCGCGTGGCTCAGCTGGGCATGGGGGGAGGCGCAGGGATTTTTGCTACTGGTTCTCCGAACCACCCACCACCATCGCTACCAATTTGGGTGATCCATTCCGAACTGGGAACATTTCCCCCCTGAACCATTCCTGCTTTATCTTCCTTGCTCTTGGAATAGTATGTATTTCTATTTGCACCTAAGTAATCTGACTCCCCCATCTTTGAAGCCAAGAGTGTGAAGCCAAGAGAGCTGACCTCATCTAAGCCTCAATCTGGGATTGACCCCCACCCCCACCCCCACAGCTCCATAAATCTTTGCTTTTTGGTCCTAGTGAGACAGTGACTCACATTGTGTCCGAAGGCAATTCTGGAGACGAGGTGGTTGAGTGGCTGAAGAAGAACGGGAGGCCACCTGCCGAAGCTGCAGGAGATGGGCCAGCTCTGCTGGACCTCAGCTGGTTCACCGAGAGCATGGGTGCCGGGCGGCCCGTTGAGATTGAACCCAGGCACCGTCTGAAGGTAGGGAAGCATCCTTACAGGTGGCACTTTGAGGTTGTCTTTTACGAGCAAGGCTGTAGCTTTTCACCTGTATGCCTTTTCACCTGGCTCTGCTCAACCGGAGTCCTTCAGGGATGGGCCAAGCTGCCTTTGGTATTGACCCCAAAGGAAACCATCCCTAAATTCAAGAAAAGATAGCGAGAAAAACTTATTGGTCGTCCTGGCTGAAGGTTTATTTCATTTGACTCGGTATTCTGTGTGAACCAGCCATTGTGATGAGTAAAGTATGACTTAGTGTACACTGTGTGTACTAATACTATGGCTTAAGCAACACAGCCTGTGGTGTTTTAAACCAGCCATGGTTGGTTGGTCTTAAGTCTTCCTCCCTCCTTCACTCACTCTTTCCTACCTTCTATCTATTCTCCTTTCCTGTTCCTTTCCTTTCCTTTCCTTTCCTTTCCTTTCCTTTCCTTTCCTTTCCTTTCTCTCCCCTCCCTCTCTTCCTTCTTTCTCTCCCTTCCCTATCTCTCTCCTTCCTTCCTTCCTTCCTTCTCTTTCTCTCTCTCTCCTTCCTTCTTTTCTTCCCTCTCCCTTCCTTCCTTCCTCCTTCCCTCTCCATCCCTTCCTTCTTTCTCTCCCTTCTCTTTCTCTCTCTCTCCTTCCTTCTTTCTCTCCTTTCTCTTTCTCTCTCTCTCTCTCCCTTCCTTCCTTCCCTCCCTCCCTCCCTCTCACTCCCTTCCTTCTTTCTCTCCCTTCTTTTTCTCTCTCTCTCCTTTCTTCTTTCTCTTCCTTCTCTTTCTCTCTCCCCTTCCTTCCTTCCCTAGCTCCCTCCCTCCCTCTCCCTCCCTTCCTTCTTTCTCTCCCTTCTCTTTCTCTCTCCTTCCTTCTTTCTCTCCCTTCTCTTTCTCTCTCTCTCTCTCCTTCCTTCCTTCCCTCCCTCCCTCCCTCTCCCTCCCTCCCTTCCTTCCTTCCTTCCTATGGTTTCTGAGACTTTGTTGGAAAAGCTTGCCGGTTTATTGTGGCTTTGCTTTCATTGAAGGATGACTTGGACACTTCTGAAGCATCTCACCTGTTCCCTTTTGTCCAGGTGGCCACTCCTGCAGAGCCACTAGAAGAAAAGGGCCAGGTGGCTCCCTACATCTGCCAGAGACGGACTCCCTTGCTGCACCACAACTCCGCACTTACGGTAACGTGACTTAATCTAAACCAGCCAACCTCAACAACTTAGAGAGGGTGTTGGACTTCAGTCCCCAGAATTCCCTAGCTCAGCAAGTTGCTGATGTGGAGAATAGGATCCCCGTTCCCAGCCACAAGATATAAACCATGTTGGGGATAGAGACTGAGCCGGGTTTAAGATAGTTTGATGTCTGAATCCTGGCGCTTTCCACCTTCGATGGAACATGTGGCACAGTCCTCACTGCGGTTTACCTGGAAGAGGCTGAACTAGATTTTTACAGGTAGTGTCAACTCGCAAAGCATTCCTGGCCTTCTCTCGAGTTGTCATAGGCCAGGGGGGAATGGTAAACCAGCGAAATTGCACAGTAGCCAAAGACAGATGCACATTTATTTTATTTATTTTTATTTTACTTTAGATTTATATACTGCCCTTCTCCCTAGGGACTCAGGGCGGTGTACAGCCAAGTAAAAACACGTAAATACATAATACATAATACATAGATTAAGAACAGATTAAAAGGAAATATCTCAATTTGGCCCAAAATTTAAAAAGATAAACGAATTTAAAATCATTTAAAATCATTTAAAAGGATTTGTTAGGCCAGCCCGGCTTGTTGAAAAAGGAAAGTTTTAAGGGAACGGCGGAAGGCACGAAGGTCTTGGATTCTCCTTATCTCTGGGGGCAGTTGATTCCAGAGTTGGTTCCATACATTCCACGCATATCTCTCTCAAGGCTGTATCCCAGGGTTACCTGCAGCAGCCAGAGGGGAGTGACCTCTACAACTCTGAAAATTTTGGTGAATGCGATTGATGACACACCCTGGGGGGGCAGGGGGAAACAGGGTCATAATAGGAGCGTAAATTACGTGGGGTCAGAGTTGGCCTCACTTGGGAACCTGCCAACATGAAGCTCCTAATAAATAACTGGATTTCTTTTGAAGCTTGGCTGGAGGTTCATGATTTAATTAGGGCATTCGTGGGAACCGTGACATAAAGTACATTCAGATAGGAGAGATAGACACTGATATTCTGGGCCAGGCTAAGCTCAAAAGAAGCCTCAGATTTCCTATGCTTGTTTCTTTTTTTTCCTTTTTTTTTTTTTGTAGTTCTTTTTACAGATAGTTCTCAACTTACAACCATCCGTTTAGTGACCATTTGGAGTTACGACGGCGCTGAAAAAAGAGACTTATAATCGTTTTTCACACTTTTAACTGTCGCGGCACCCCCAAGGTCTTGTGATCAAAATTCAGACGCTTGGCAGCTGACTCGTATTTACGACGGTTGCATTGCCCCGGGGTCCTCTGATCCCTTTTTGCGACCGTTCGACAAGCAAAAAAAGTCAACGGGGAAAATCAGATTCAATTAATAAATGTGTTACTACCTTAACACCTGCAGTGATTCACTTAACAACGGTGGCAAGGAAGGGCGTCAAACGGGGCAAAATTCGACTAGCAAATGTCTCGCTTAGCAACAGAAATGTTATGCTCCGTTGTGGTCGTAAATTGTGGAATACCTGTATTCCCCTTTCCATTTCAGTCTTTTTTAAGGGGTTACCTTAAATTTCAGCTACAGGGAGCAGCTGGATCAGAGATGGTATCCAGCAGGTTCTGACCAGTTCTGCAGAACTGGTAGCGGAAATTTTGAGTAGTTCGGAGAACCGGTAAATACCACCTCTGACTGGCCCCGCCCCCATCTATCCTCTGCCTCCCGAGTCCCAGCTGATCGGGAGGAAATGGGGATTTTGCAGTAACCTTCCCCTGCCACGCCCACCAAGCCGCGTCACGCCCACCAAGCCACGCCCACAGAACCGGTAGTAAAAAAAATGTGAATCCCACCACAGAGCTGGATGGTGGAGAGGTCTCAGCGTTATTATCTGCCTTTTCCTAGGATGCCCTCGAAATAATGGCGGAAGAGGCGAAATTCAGTGGCAGTGAAGTCCGCAGCTTGGCCTTTTCCCGGGCGGCTTCGGTGTTGAAGGCCCTGCCCTGGAAGGTCGAACGGATCCAGCAGCTCCACACCGTGCCCTGCATTGGAGAGCATTCGCGGAGAATCCTCCAGGTAGAGGAATCCTCACGTCATTCGAGCATCGTGACCTTCCTGCTCGTTTCGCATTCTGATGTCCCTTGTTTGTCATCTTGGTTGGCATTTCACCCTTTCCTTTAAAATGTTTCTCCTCCGCCTCCTCCTTCTATTACTACTTTTGCTTCCTCCTCTACTTCTCCTCCTCCTTCCTCCTCCTCCTTTTTCCTCTTCTTCCACTTCCTCTTCTTCTTCTTCTTCCTCTTCTTCTCTTCATCTTCTTCTTCCTCCTCTTCCTCTTTTTTCCTCTTCCTCTTCTTTTTCTTCCTCTTCTACTTCTTCTTCCTCTTCCTCTGCTTATTCTTCTTCCTCTTCCTCCTCTTCTTCCTCTTCCTCTTCTACTTCTTCCTCTTCCTCTGCTTATTCTTCTTTTTCTTCCTCGTTTTCTTCTTCCTTCTTCTTCCTCTTCCTCTTCTTATGCTTATTCTTCTTCTTCCTCCTCCTCCTCCTTTTCCTCGTAAAACAGGACGTAACTCAGTCAACAATGGCCTTGTTTAATAATGGAAATTTTAGACTCTATGATGGTTGAAGACCAGCTGTATTTCATACCTTCTCCAAGGTCACCTCCTCTTCTTCTTCTTCTTCCTCCTCCTCCTCTTCTTCTTTTCTTCTTCTTCCTCTTCTTCTTCTTCTTCTTCTTCTTCTTCTTCTTCTTCTTCTTCCTTCTTCTTCTTCTTCTTCTTCTTCTTCTTCCTCCTCTTCTTATGCTTATTCTTCCTCTTCCTCTTAATTCACTTAACAGCCGTGTTACTAACCTAATAACTGCAGTGATTCACTTAACAGCTGTAGCAAGAAAATCATAAAAGGGGGCCATACTCATTTGACAACTATCTCACTTAGTAACGGAAATGCCGGACTCAATTGTCAAGGACTACCTGTATTGTTTGTGTCCTCCAGGAAATGCTGGAAGATGGGATGTCTGCAGAGGTGGAGAAAGTCAGACAATCGGAGAGATACCGGACAATGAAGGTGCAGAGGCCCTGTTTGGCCAATGGCTGTTGTTGGAATTGGGGGAGCACACTGCATGGAATTGGGGGTGTGGCTTTTTATGCATCACTATTGTCAGAGATTCACTCCCTGAATCCTGGGTGCACTGCTGGTTTCGGGAGAATTTAGCTTCCTTAAGTTTTGGAGTGCCGTTGCAAGTTTCTAGTCCTCAGTGTACTCTAGGGTCAAGATATGTGCTGAAATTTCAATCCCCGAGTAAAAAAACCCCCGATTCCCACTGAATATTTTATATTCAGATCGATAGCTCAGGAAACTTACTTCTACATCTAGCGAAATCTCCCAAAATTATACAAAGTACATGGGAGCAAAGGTTTACCCACCTTCCGACTTTAGAAGGGCCCTGTCCCTGAATTTTATTTTTGTGAAAATTATTTCAGGAGTTTTAAATAACTTTTCCTTGGATTCAGCCTACTGCTATAAGCCACTTGGGCAGCCTAGAGATGTTAATTGGAGCCTGCGGATTATCGTTTATTGGGGGTTTTTTATATATAAAGTGAGATGTGATGTGTTTTTTGCTCCATTCTTGGTCTGTTACATGGTTTGTTTGTTTGTTTTTTTTTAATTTGATTTATATGCCGCCCTTCTCCAAAGACTCAGGGCGGCTTACAATGTGCTCAGCAATAGCCTTCATCCTTTTGTATATTTATACAAAGTCAGCTTATTGCCCCCACAAACTGGGTCCTCATTTCACCTACCTTAGAAAGGATGGAAGGCTGAGTCAACCTTGAGCCTTGGCGAGATTCGAACCCTGCAGTAATTGCAGGCAGCTGGTCTTAATAACCAGCTTAATAACAAGGGTGCCTTAAACCCCTGTACTACCAAGGCTCTTGGTTTGAATTACGGGCCTTTGGCTAACCCAGACAGGGAAGGAGTTTTAAGAAATTTCTTTTTTTCCATAGCTTTTCACAAAGATCTTTGGAATTGGGGTAAAGATAGCCAGCCAGTGGTACCAGGAAGGGCTCCGGACCCTCACGGACTTACAGCTGCACCAGATAAAACTGAACAAAGAACAACAAGCAGGTGGGTAATTCAGGCAAAAGAGAAGTAATTTTTATTTAGTTTACCGTATTTTGTAAGTGTAAGACGCACCTTTTTCCCCAAAAAAAGAGGGTGAAAATCTGGGTGCGTCTTATACTCCGAATGTAGCCCTTCCCAGCTTCTCAAACGGAGGTTTCAGAGGCTGAAAAAAGCATCAGCAACGAAGCTTCAGAAAAAAAAGCCTCCAAACCGAGCTTCAAAAAAGAAGCCTCCAAACCGAGCTTCAGAGGCTTTTTTTCTGAAGCTGTTTCAGAGGCTTTCAGAGGAAAAAAAGGGGAAAAAAAGGGGAAAAAAGCAAAGCACAGAGCTCACAACCAACGAACCTGTTGCTAAAATTCACCCTGGGAACAGTTGATTGGGGGTGTTCCGGGAGGCCATCCACCTGCCAATCAGCTTTTTTCTTTTCTCCGGTGCGTTTTATACTCCAAAAAATATGGTATTTCAAGGCTTCTTCTTCTTCTTCTTCTTCTTCTTCTTTTCTTCTTCTTCTTCTTCTTCTTCTTCTTCTTCTTCTTCTTCTTCTTCTTCTTCTTCTTCTTCTTCTTCTTCTTCTTCTTCTTCTTTTCTTCTTCTTCTTCTTTCTTCTCCCTCCTCCTCCTCCTCCCTCCTTTCCCTCTTCTCTTCTTCTTCTTCTCCTTCTCTCCTTTTCTCTGCAGGACTTCTTCATTACGAAGACCTCAATACCCCCGTGGAGCTCTGGGAAGCCGAGGCCATCAGCCAGGTAGTACGCCAGGTGATTGAGCAGATTTTGCCTGGAGCGACAGTCACGCTGACCGGAGGATTTAGGAGGTGAATAGATTTTGTAGGATTTGTTGTTTAGTTTTGAAATAAACAATCGTCCCCAGCCAAAACTCCGAGAGAAAACAAAGGTAATTTTATTTACTACTTTGCAAAGAGGGTGCACACACACAGTAGGTACAATGGACACACCTTAAATCATCAATGTGTTTTCAATATTCCCTATTGCAGTTGCAAATTACCTCCCACCTTTTCCTCTTGACTTATTATTACTAATTGTTGTTGTTAGTTGCGAAATTGTGTCCAACCCATCGCCCCCATGGACACGTTCCTCCAGGCCTTCCTGTCCTCTACCATCCTCTGGAGTCCATTTAAGCTCACGCCGACTGCTTCGTGACTCCATCCAGCCACCTCGTCCTCTGCGTTCCCTTCTTCTTTTGCCCTCCATCGTTCCCAGCATTAGGCTCTTCTCCAGGGAGTCCTTCCTTCTCCTTAGGTGGCCAAGTAGTATTTGAGTTTCTCTTCAGGATCTGGCCTTCTCAAGAGCAGTCAGGGTTGATCTCCTCTAGGACTGACCGGTTGGATCGCCTTGCAGTCCAAAAGACTTGCAGGAGCCTTCTCCAGCACCAGAGTTCAAAGAGTACTACTAACAATTAGTAATAATTTGATTATAATGTTTTTGTCTGAATCCAGACAATGGGGGTTGATGCAGCCACCTTTAGCACTGTTAACAATGTTAAATGCCAAAAAAAACCAAACTTGGCCAGAAATTTGTTGCGACCGTCTGTCTTTCCCCCCCAACAGAGGGAAGCCGTGTGGCCACGATGTGGACCTGCTCATCTCCCATCCTTCTGAAGGTGAAGAAATGGGACTCTTGCCCAAAGTCATCAGTATCCTGGATAGGCAGGTAGGCCAAGGGTTGAACGTAAAACGGGAGGGGAAGATCTGGCCAAACAGGCAGATCTGAACACGAGTGGAAGCAGCAAACGTAGGTTTGGTTTAAAACTTGCACTGAAGTCACAGATCTGCAGGGTAGGACTTGCCAACAGATACAGAACTGGAAGGGGTCCCGTAGGTCATCTAGTCCAACCCCGCCCCGCCCAAAACAGACCCTACGCCATTTCCGACAGATAGCAGTCCCGTCTCTTCTTCAAAGCCTCCAGTGATGAAGCTCCCACAACTTCCAAAGACAACTTCTGTTCCATGGGGTTGATTGTTCTCACTGTCAGAAAATTTCTTCTATTTCCAGGTTGAATCTCTCCTTGATCTGTTTCCATCCATTATTCCTTGTCTGGCCTTTGGGTGTTTTAGAAAATAATTGACCCCTTCTCCTCTCTGTGGCAGCCCCTCAAATATTGGAAGACTCCTATCGTGTCTCCCCTGGTCCTTCTCTTCACTAGACTAGCCAGGCCCAGTTCCTGCAACCGTTCATTGTATGCTTTAACCTCCAGGCCTTTGATCATCTTAGATAGAGTCAGATAACAGAGTTGGAAGGGACCTTGTAGGTCATCTAGTCCAACCCCCACCCAACAGGAGACCCTACACCATTTCCGACAGATAGCAGTCCAATCTCTTCTTGAAAGTCTCAGTGATAAAGCTCCCATGACTTCCGAAGGCAACTTCTGTTCCATGGGTTGATTGTTCTCATTACAGAAAAATTTCTCCTTATTTCCAGGTTGAATCTCTCTTTGTTCAGTTTCCATCATTATTCCTTATCTGGCCTTCAGGTGCTTTGGAAAACAGCTTCAAGGAAAGATTAACCTCTATAGGTATAGTCCTCAATGTACGACCACAATTGAGCCCAATAGTTATGTTGCTAAGTGAGGCTTTGGTTAAGGGAGATTTGCCCCATTTTACGACCTTTCTTGCCACAGGTGTTGACTGAATCACTGCGCTTTTTAAATTACTCACACGGTCGTAAGTGAATCTGGCTTCCCGGTTGAGTTTGTTTGTCCGAAGGTCGCAAAAGGGGATTATTATGTGACCCAGGCAGTGGTGGGTTGCTCCTACTACCTGCTTCACAAGAACCAGTAGTAAAAATTTTTTAGTAGTTCGGAGAACGGTAATAACATTGGCTGGCCACCCCCGAACTGGTCCCCGCTCACTTACCCCGCCCACCTCATCAGAGGCTTTTTTTTTTTTTACTTTTAAAAGCATTTTTTCTACAACCTCTTCAGCCGAAAAAATGCTTTTAAAAGTAAAAAAAAAAAAAGCCTCTGACGATCGGGCAACTCAGCTGGGATCGTCAGAGGCTTTTAAAAGCATTTTTTTCTACAGCCTCTTAAGGTTGTAGAAAAAATGCTTTTAAAAGTAAAAAAAAAAAAAAGGCCATGCCCACCCAGTCACATTACCCCCAAGCCACGCCCACAAAATAAGCCATGCCCACAGAACCGGTAGTAAAAAAAATTAGAACCCACCCCTGAACCCAGGGACACTGCACCCATCGTAACTATAATCTGTCGTAAATCCCTCCCAGTTGCCAAGTGCCCAAATTTTGGACATGTGACCATGGGGATGCCACAGCAGTCGTGAGTGTGTGAAAACTGGTCATGAGTCTATTTTGTTCCTTGCCGTTGTAACTTCGAACGGTCACTAAACGAACGGTCCTAAATCGAGGACTACCTGTAACCTGTGGGCGTGATTATCGTCTTTGGGATGCTCTCTTCTCAGGGCTTCTTGCTGTATCACAGTTTCCACCGAAGCAGCTTCCTCTCCCTCGAAGACGAAGAGCTGTGGGTTAGCGGCGGTTCGAGCACCATGGACCACTTCGAACGCTGCCTCTCCATCTTCCATCTCGGGGACCCTGCTGGAAGCCGTCCAGGTGCCACTGGGGTTCAGAAGCTTGGCGCCTTGGTGGGGTCTGGCACGTCGTCCTGTCCCCGAAAGCTGTGCGTGGGTGGATTTGGTTGTGACGCCCTCCAGCCAGTTCCCGTTTGCTTTGCTCGGCTGGACCGGCTCACGGGTGAGTTCCACGTGGGTTGGGTCCTGGGTTTGAGTTTGGGAGTGGTTTCGTGTTCATTTGGGCGTGATCTTTGGGGAAAGGTTGGTGGCAGAAGGTTCCTAAGGAGCTTTTCATGCAGGTATTTGGGATGTCAAGTTAAGTAGGAGTCCAGGGCCTATCTATCTATCTATCTATCTATCATCTATCTATCATCCATCCTCCATCCACTTATCTTCCTTCTTCCTCCCTCCCTCCCTCCCTCCCTCCCTACATACATACATACATACATACATACCTATCCATCAACTTATCTACCTACATATCTACATACATACCTATCCATCCGTCCGTTCGTCTGTCCATCCATTTATCTTATCTTATCTTATCTTATCTTATCTTATCTTATCTTATCATCTCTCTGTGTGTGTCTCTCTCTGTATCTATTTATAGTTGTGCCTATATATTGATTAAATTGTCTGTCTGTTTCTCTGTCTTATCTCTCTCTCTCTCATCTATCTATCTCTACCTATCTAATATCTAATCAACTATTATCTATCTATCTATCTATCCATCCATCCATCCACTTATCTTCCTTCCTTCCTTCCTACCTACCTACCCATCCACTTATCTACATACATATCTATCCATTCATCCATCCATCCATCCATCCACCTACATCATCTATCTTTCTTATCTTATCTTATCTTATCTTATCTTATCTTATCTTTCTTATCTTATCTTATCTTATCTTATCTTATCTTATCTCTCTCTCTGCATCTATTTATATCTGTCTGTCTGTATATCTAATTAACTATTGTCTGTCTGTCTGCCTGCCTGTCTGCCTGTCTATCTATCTATCTATCTATCTCCATCCAGCCATCCAGCCATCCATCATGTAGTTAAACTATGCAGGTATTTGGGATGTCAAATTGACTAGGACTCCAAATTTGGGGGCAGTCTCTCTGTCTCTCTCTCTTTCTCTCTGTCTTCTCTTTCTCTTTCTTTTCCTCCATCCCATCCAGAATTTCCAACAGGTGTTGTTGTTTTTTTGTTTGTTTGTTTTGGAGTTTACCGGAGATGCTAGGACGGTGCTCCTGCAGGCAAAGAGTTCGTTTTAACCTTTACACGCCAATCCTTCTGCAATCCTTGTGAGGGAAGGTCAAGTCCCTTCAACTGCAGAGTGGAAGAACAATTCATCCAGGCTTTCTTCTCGAAGGCGTCCCTAAGGATCAGAGCTTAGAGTACCAAATATTGGGACTGAAATAGGAACCCTCTGGGCCTCCATTGTTATTGAATTCTTGGCCAGGATCTCTTTGAAACGTTCGGCTTTCTTCTTCTGGAATGTTTGTACGAAGGATTAAGAGTCGATTCTATTTTATAAGCCTGTAATAGAATCTCCCGTCCTGTGCTTGTTTGCCTTCTGAGATATTTCCTTTCCTTTTCTCAAATTCAACACAATCTCCTACAGAAGGAAGAAACCGTAGGCATTTCCCTTCTGTAATACTGCAGAAGACTGAAATCAAATTCAGAACGGATAAATTAAGAACTAAGGTGGATTTAAAAAAAAAAAAAAGACATTTAATTCAGATAACTGTAAAAAAAAAATCCACCTAAGGCTGTTCTCATTTGTTCCAGATTGCATGGAATAATGGATTGCAATTTCAAGAAGGCAAAAGAGTTCTTCTAATTCTTTAATTACCTGGTTATCACCTTGTTAGTTTTCAAAGCTGCCTTACCTGGAGACTTGAAGTACTTGTTTGCGGCTTTATTCCTGCTCACTAGCAATCGGAATGGACCTCTAATTTGGGATGTTCAGTAGTCTGGCATTCCTAGAAATGCCAAATTCATTCCCCAGCCTGATTCAAAGTTTGGGAGGGAGCAGGTAACAACCTGTTTCTCTACTTCTGGTGGGCCCAGAAGGCCCAAAAATCAAGCTACGTGTGCCGGAGCTGAGCTCACATGCCCACTGATATGGCTACGCGTGCCACGAATTAGGGAGCAAAGCCTATCTATCTATCTATCTATCTATATCTATCTATCTATCTATCTATCTATCTATCCATCTCTCTCTCGCTCTCTATCCTCTATCTGTCTATCCTCTATCGTCTAACCTCTATCTGTCCATCTATCTATCTCACATTCGGAGGAGCCTTTATTAATAAATGGAATTCCTTTGGTGCTTCACTCGTGACTAAGTTCTTTTATTTCCTTCCCTTTTCCTTCCCAGAATTTTGAACGAGACCTCCGCCGTTTCTCTAAGCGGGAGAAGAAGATGACTCTCAACAGCCATGGCCTCTATCACCTGGAGCAGGTAAGGGGTCCCTGGAACAAGAATCTCAGGAAGGACGGACTTTGGATTTGGCACCCTTAGATAATAGACGTTTTTCTTTTCGTTCAAAGGTTCAGGGCAGATGGTGTCATTAGAAGAGATAGTGAGACCTGGATACAAATTCTGGTGTAAAAATGCCAAGAAAATCTTGCACTTAGATGGTATTAATTTATGTATGTCTGTGTGTGTAGAGATAGATAGACAGACGGACGGACGGACGGACGGATGGATGGATGACAGATGGACAGATGGACGGATAGAGGATAGATGGATAGAGGATAGACAGATAGAGGATAGAGGATATATGTATAGAGAGATGGATAGATAGATAGATAGATAGATAGATAGATAGATAGATAGATAGATAGATAGATAGGCTTTGCTCCCCAATTCGTGGCACGCGTAGCCATATCAGTGGGCACGCGAGCTCAGCTCTGGCACACGTAGCTTGATTTTTGGGCCTTCTGGGCCCACCAGAAGTAGAGAAACAGGTTGTTTCCTGCCTCCGGAGGGCCTCGGGGTGGGTGGGTGGGGAAGGCCCGTTTTTCTCTCTTACCTGGCTCCAGAGCCTTTCTAGGAGTCTGGGGAGGGCAAAAACAGCCTTCCCCACCCCCCTGGAGGCCCTCCGGAGGCCAGAAATGGCCCATTTGCCAACTTCTGGTAGAACCAGGATGCCCAGGATGTCAAAAAAAAAAAGAAAAGAAAAGAAAAAAAAAGAAGAGGTTTTCAATGATCGATTAATGTATATGTATTCCTTTCTTTTTTTGCCCGTCCTTCAGAAAATTTTCCTGCCTGCTGCCTCCGAGGAAGAGATTTTCCAGCATCTAGGACTGGAGTATATATTGCCTGAAGAGAGAAATGCTTGAGCCACTGTTGTGCAAAGTCCTATTTTCACCCTACGGAATTCACAAATGAATGAGAATCACCCAGGTTAACATTTCATATAACTTTCACTCGTGTGTGTGTGTGTGTGATACATAATTTATCTCTTTCTCAATGAAACTTTAGAAAATACATCACTTTTTTTCATACTAAGCTGGTTTTTGTTTTGATTTATTTTCCCCCTTAACAGATGGTCCTTGACTTACAATCAGAATTGGGACCAGAATTTCTGTTGCCGGGCAGTGTGGTTGTTAAGTGAATCGCGGCCAATTTTATGACCTTTTCACCATGGTTGTTAAGGAATCGTTGCAATTGTTAAGTAAATCCAGCTTGCCCCGTGGACTTTGCTGGTTGGAAGCTAGCTTGGAAGGCTACAAATAGCAATAGCCCTTAGATTTATATACCGCTTCACAGAGCTTTACAGCCGTCTCTAAGCAGTTTTACAGAGTGCTTGCCCCCAACCATCTGGGTCCTCATTTTATTAACCTCAGAAGGATGGAAGGCTGAGTCAATCTTGAGCTTGGTGAGATTTGAACTGCTGGCAGTGGGCAGAGTCAGCCTGCAATACTGCATTCTAACCACAGGGAGGGAGGGAGGGAGGGAGGGAGGGAGGGAGGAAGGAAGGAAGGAAGGAAGGAAGGAAGGAAGGAAGGAAGATAGCAATAGACTATATACCACTTCACAGTGCTTTCCAGCCCTCTCTAAGTGGTTTACAGAGTGAGCATCTTGCCTCCTCATTTTACCCATCTCAGAAGAATTGAAGGCTGAGTAAACCTCCTGAGGTCGGTAAAACGAAGACCCAGATTATTGGAGGCAACATGCTGACTCTCTAAACCGCTTAGAGATGGCTGGAAAGCACTGTGAAGTGGCATATAAGTCTAAGGGCTATTGCTATCCTGTAGAATTATCCAAATCTAAGATGAGACTCAACTCTAATGAACCTACAAGCCCTTTGACATACAAACAAAGCCACTTCCATTTTGCTGCCCTGAACCAAGATTTAAGCTCAATTTAAGGAAGTTTTACATTTTGCTCCCCACCCCACAAAATAATAATAATAATAATAATAATAATAATAATAATAATAATAATAATAATAATAATAATAATAATAATAATAATAATAATAATAATTGACAGCCAGCTTGTCCAGGGATACATTCCTGACCCATTACGTAATGCTAGTTGGTTGGGGCCATAGAGGAACCAGTGGTGAATCTAAAATTTGTTATTACCGGTTCTGTGGGCGTGGCTTGGTGGGGGGGTTAATGTGACTGCATGGCGTGGCCAATTTTTTTTTTTTAACTTTTAAAACCATTTTTCCTACAACCTCTTCAGCGAAGAGATTGTAAAAAAAATGCTTTCAAAAGGCTCTGACGATCCCAGCTGAGCCACGCGATCATCAAAGGCTTTTTTTTAAACTAAAAGCATTTTTTCAGCCAAAGAGGTTGTAGAAAAAATGCTTTTAAAAGTAAAAAAAAAAAAAGCCTCTGATGATTGTGCGGCTCAGCTGGGTAGGTGGGGGTGGCGGCAGGGATTTTTGCTACCGGTTCTCCAAATCACCCGCCTCCATCGCTACCGGATCAGGCGATTCGGTCCGAACCGGGAGCATTTCACCCCTGAGAGGAACATTTTGCAAGCTAGCCCAAAGTGGTAAGATTTGCCTGCAACCCACTCTTGGCATGAATTCGCTTCCTGATGCTTCGTTCAGCAAGGCAGGAGATACGCTTAGGTGAACCTCGACCAAAAAGCACATCACTGAACACCTGCTTCTTCATTTGGCTCTGAAAGTTTTGCCCTGGGGAACAGCTCACTAACACAGCATTTACAAGTGCAGGTGCTTCTAAAAGCATGAGACACAGTGGTGAAATCTGAACCGGTTTGTTACTGGTTTGCTGGTTGAGCATGTGCGCTACGCACCAAATGCACACCGTGTGCAGACACACGCAAGTGCCCATCATGCACCAAATGCGAGGTGTGTGTTTGTGCACCTGTGCACACTGTGCACACCAAAAGGAGGCATGGGGTAAGTAGAACAGCGCGCGCGGGGGGGTTGTGTGTGATCAGCTGTGGCGTGCGATCGTCAGAGCCTTTTGTTTACGTTTTAAAAGCATTTTTTTAACAACCTATTCTGGGAGTTGAAGTCCACAAGTCTTAAAAGTTGCCAAGGTTGGAGACCCCTGAGATGGACAGCTATACAAAGGTGATTGATTGATTGATAAATTAATAAAGAATAAAGAAAAGGACAGCTTTGCTTTGTGTTGTCGTAAATCAGGAATCGGCGAGTCCTTAAAAAAAGGCTTTTTTTCTGAAGCTTCATTTCCTAGGCCTTTTCCAGCCTCTGAAACCTCCGTTTGAGAGGCAGGGCGGGGCTATATTCGGAGTATAAGACGCACCCAGATTTTCACCCCTTTTTGGGGGGAAAAAGGTGCGTTCTTATACTCCGAAAAATATGGTAGTAACATGGTTGTTAATGAATTTGGCTTCCCCCATTGATGTCACTAAGTGAACTGTTGTAAGCCGAGGACCACCTGTGTATAAAGTCTTCAGTTATCTTCATAATTGCAACTCCTACCCCATCCCAGTAATCTAAATAAAGCCTCCTTATTTCCATTCTCCTTCCGGAACAGAAATCCATCTACATTACCAAAGAGAAAAGTTTGGAGGCCAGAGATCCTAAGCGTTTTCAGAGCTGGAGATAAGTGATCAATTAGTGCTGCCCCTGAATGTCAGGTAATGCTTCTCATTTACACGTCCATTCAGTGTGCAAAATGGGGCTTAGCCATAGCTAAGAAGCCTACTCCAAATTGCTTCTTCCTCGTACCTTGTTCTTGGCCACCACTCTGCTAAGAAAACGTTCTGGATCTGGAGAACTTGAGGGCTTTACATCCCTTTGCCAGGGGTGGGTTCTAATTTTTTTTACTACCTGTTCTGTGGGTGTGGCTTATTTTGTGGGTGTGCTTGGTGGGGGGGTAATGTGACGGTGGGTGTGACCAACTTTTTTATTTATTTATTTATTTTATGCAATTTATATGCCACCCTATCTCCGAGGGCTCAGGGTGGCTCACAACGGTAAAATGCATAATTCCTTATTAAAACGGTCCTGGTGGCTCAGCAGACTGATAGCATTGTGATTAACACCAGCTGTTAATCTCACAATTACTGTAAATTCGAATCTCTCCAAGGCTCAAGGTTGACTCAGCCTTCCATCCTTTCTAAGGTCGGTAAATTGAGGACCCAGTTTGTGGGGGTAATAAGCTGACTTTGTATAAATATACAAAAGAATGAAGGTTATTGCTTAACGCATTGTAAGCCGCCCTGAGTCCCCGGAGAAGGGCGGCATATAAATCAAATTAAAAAAAACGATATATAATTAAAACCCAATTTAAAACAGTTTAAAATTCATTAACACCCCCCCCCATCAAGCATTTTTTCTACAACCTTTAGAGGTTGCAGGGGGGAAAAAATGCTTTTAGGAGCCTCTGACGATCAGGCAACTCAGCTGGGATCGCCAGAGGCTTTTAAAGGCATTTTTTTTTTCCTACAACCTCTTCAGCCAAAGAGGTTGCAGGAAAAAATGCTTTCAGAAGCCTCGGACGATCCCAGCTGAACCGTGATCATCAGAGGCTTTTTTTTTTTTTTTTTACTTTTAAAAGCATTTTTTCCACCGAAGAGGTTGTAAGTTTTTTTTTTCCCCCCTGATGGATACCTGTGTTGGCTCCGAAGCTCAGCAGCTCTGCTCCTGCCTTCCTTGGCTGTTGCTCCGCTGTTTCAAACCACAGTTTGATTTGTTGTTGACAATCGCCTTGTCCCCTGAAGACTTCAGTAATTTCTTTCTTCCCCCCAAGGAAAGGGCAGAGCAGGATGGGATTAGTGGCAGAAAAGATTGCTGATGTTGTGGGCGGGCTGGAGACTTAGTGCAAAGACACGGCACACCTGGACAGAAGCAAAGTGGGCCCGGTAGCTGATTCCTTTCGTTGGGGGTGTCACTTGGATCCCTGACAGTTTACTTGCAAAAGGTAAGAATTTGGGATAAATTGGGGGGGAATAAGACAGGGAATCGGGAAGTCCTTTGACCTATGGAAGGAATATGGAAGGGTCGCTGGGATTTTTCAGTTTGCTTGTTGCTAGCAGGTTAAGAGCAGATTAAGTCCCTGTCCTTTAACGCCCTATAAAAAATGATAATGTTGAGTATTGTTAATGCAAACTGTATCCTTTGCTTCTCTCTTCTCTTTGATCTGCTTTTCAAAAGAAAAAAAAAAACTCTGCCAGTTCCAAGCCAGACTGGAAATGGAACAGGGTTAGATAAGTCTCAAAGAATTAAGAGTTCGGGGGAAAAGACAATTTTTTTCTTCTTCTTCTTCTTCTTTCTCCTCCTCCTTTTCCTTCCTCTTCTCCTTCCTCCTTTCTCCTTTCTCACTTCTCCTTCTTCTTTCTTCTTCTTTCTTCTTCTTCTTCTTCTCCTTCTCCTTCTTTTTCTTCTTCTCCTTCTTCTTTCTTCTTCTTCTTCTCCTTCTCCTTCTCCTTCTTCTCCTTCTCCTTCTTCTCTCCTTCTCCTCCTTCTCTTCTCCTTCTCCTTCTCCTCCTTCTTCTTCTTTTTCTTCTTATTTTTTAAAAAGTGAGATTATTAATCTTGAATTTGCATTTTTGTGTGTGTTCTAAATGAACGGGGTGGGTTGAAGATCATATTATACGCAGAATTCGTCTCCCCATAAATTAGGAAAAGGGAGTTTGCGACCTTAGTGATGCTATCACTAAGGTCGCAAACCTGATACCATGGGGTGATGATGGTCATAAGAGTTTGAGTCCAATATCCTCTTGGGGGCAGAGAGGAGGAATTTGAAACAGATTTTTTTTATTTGGAGTTGCTTCTAATTGATTTATTGCAAAAATGTATTGTCTGCTCTGCGGAGTTTGATTATTTATTTATTTAGCGTATGGGGTATCATACATGGACTAGCAATGGCATATTAACACTTCAACTAAGTTAAAATAAAAATGTTAAAAAGACCTGTCTTCAAATATCAACGTCTACTCTAGGGCCATCTAACCATGGAAGCACAGTGTCGTTAATCTAGGTAGTTCTCAATTTACGACCGCAGGTGAGCCCAAAATTTCTGTTGCTGAGCGAAACATTTCTTAAGTGAGTTTTGCCCCAGTTTTTGACCTTTCTTGCCACCGTTGTCAAGTGAATCACTGCAGTTGTTAAGCGAGTCACACTTAACAACTGGATCCGGCTTTCCCCATGGACTTTGCTTATCAGAAAGTCGCAAAAGCGGATCACATGAGTCATAAATATGAGTCCGTTGCCAAGTGTCTGAATTTTGATCTTCCTTGATCAAAAATTTTCAGTGCCGTTATAACTTCGGACGGTCGTTAAACGGACTGTTGCAAATTGTGGATTATCTGTATTTGATTGTTAGGTCCGTCTTTTCCCATTAGATCCTTCCTACTTTTTCTTTTGTCCTCCAGGTCATGGTTGTTTCGCAAAAGTGCTTCTTTTCAAGAGGCAACTGGACTTCCCGGTTTTTATTTGAAGATGTTTCGCTTCTCATCCAAGCAGCTTCTTCAGCTCTTGAAGAAGCTCTTCAGAGCTGAAGAAGCTTCTTGGATGAGAAGCGAAACGTCTTCAAAGAAAATCCAGAAAATCCAGCCGCCTCTTGAAAAAAAAGCACCTTTGGGACAGCTAACTGCAAATGAACGTTTACAGGAATTCTGGGAGTTAAAGTCCACAGGTCGTAAATGGGCCATAGGTGCCCATCCCTGTTTCATTGTCATCTATTGGTCATCTGATTTTCCGCAGCCCAAATTCGAGAGCCCTACTTAAGCCATTTTCAAGTGCTTCCACCCTTCAAGTCTTCCCCTGCCTTCCTGGAAAACACAGGCCTATCTCTCGTGCTGCCTTTGCAATATCTCGGCTGGGGTTACCTTGGTTACAATCCGCACACCTCCATGGCTCTGCTCTTGGGACCCCAAACGTGTCGTAGCCTGTCATTAGCCAGTGTTAGGAAGTGGAAAACTTTCCCCATAGGAGGATCTTTCTCATTAGATCAGAGCAAGCTTGAAAACAACTTCTAAGGAGGCCTCTGCAAAAGGGTTAAAGGTAAAAGTTCCCCTCGCACATATGTGCTAGTCGTTCCCGACTCTAGGGGGCGGTGCTCATCTCCGTTTCAAAGCCGAAGAGCCAGCGCTGTCCGAAGACATCTCCGTGGTCATGTGGCCGGCATGACTCAACACCAAAGGCGCACAGAACGCTGTTACCTTCCCACCAAAGGTGGTTCCTATTTTTCTACTTGCATTTTTTACGTGCTTTCGAACTGCTAGGTTGGCAGAAGCTGGGACAAATCACGGGAGCTCACCCCGTTACGCAGCGCTAGGGATTCAAACCGCTGAACTGCCGACCTTTCGATCGACAAGCTCAGCGTCTTAGCCACTGAGGGTTAGTAGCATCTTAGCCACTGGGAAGGGAACAGCGTTCCGTGCGCCTTTGGCGTTGAGTCATGCCAGCCACATGACCACGGAGACGTCTTCGGACAGCGCTGGCTCTTCGGCTTTGAAACGGAGATGAGCAGCGCTCCCTAGAGTCGGGAACGACTAGCACCAGTGGTGGGTTGCTCCCAGTTCGCACCGCACACCTGCCCGGAAGTCATCAAATACGGTCTGCACATGTAAGCAAACTGGTAGCAAAGCTAAGTAAAACCCACCACTGACTAGCACATATGTGCGAGGGGAACCTTTACCTTTACCTTTACCTTTATCTTTAGACAGGGTTGAAAAAGCCAGACGGGTGCATGGTTAATTCAAGGGCAGGCCAGTGTCCTTCATGTTTCATTGCCTTCTGCCATAACACTTTTCGTATTTACGAAGCCAACAAGTCACTGTTTTTCCCTAAGATCTGTTCCTGTTATTCGCTATCCTATTCCTACAGCAACAATAACAAGAACCCTGGAAAAGTCAAATATTAGTGCCGCTTTATACTGAGAGTGTACTTGGAATATTGCACCCAGTTCTGATCACCACCAGAGGTATTCAGCCGGTTCGGATCGGTTCAAGCGAACCAGTAGCAGAAATCACGGATGGGCCTGCCCAAATGCCCTGGCTCTATGCTGTCCTATTTAGGCACGTTTTTGAGGCTGGGCGCATGTGTGCGTGCACTCACATTTTTGGTGCCGGGCGAAGTAAATTATGTGAATCCCACGTCTGATCACTGCAATATAAAAAAGATTTTTTAAAATTTTGATTTATAGGCCGCCCTTCTCCGGAGACTCAAGGCGGCTTACAGTGTGTTAAGCAATAGCCTTCATACTTTTGTATATTTTATACAAAGTCAGTTTATTGCCCCCACAATCTGGGTCCTCATTTCACCTACCTTAGAAAGGATGGAAGGCTGAGTCAACCTTGAGCCTTGGAGAGATTCGAACCAGCAGAAATTGCAGGCAGCTGGTGTTAAATTACAGTGCTCTGTCTGTTGAGCTATCCAGGCTCCTAATTTTGGGACTCTGGCCAGAGTGGAGAGAAAAGCAACAAGATTAGAGGTTTGGAGGCTAAAACATACGAAAAACTGTTACAGGGGTTGGTTCAGGGGTGAAATGCTCCCGGTTCGGACCAGATCGCCCGATCCTGTAGTGATAGCGAGTGGTTCGGAGAACCGGTAGCAAAAATCCCTGCCCCCCCTCCACATGCCCAGCTGAGCCACACAATCATCAGGGGCTTTTTTTTTTTTTACTTTTTAAAGCATTTTTTCTACAACCTCTTCGCGGAAAAAAATGTTTTTAAAAGTAAAAAAAAAAAAAAGCCTCTGATGATCGCGCGGCTCAGCTGGGATCGTCAGAGGCTTTTAAAAGCATTTTTTTCTGCAACCTCTTCGGCCGAAGAGGTTGTAGAAAAAAAAAATGCTTTTAAAAGCCTCTGACGATCCCAGCTGAGTTGCCTGGGACCCTGAGGTCTTCTAATCCAACCCCCTATTCAAGCAAGAGACCTTACAGTATATTGGACTTAACCCAAACCCCTCCCATCAGCATTTTAGCAGCCGTGAAATTATGTAGAGCTCAGCAGACGCAACTTTCGTGAAACTGGACGGGCCTTGAGGGTCTCCCAGGCAAGTTCCTCAACGCATCCAAAGGCCCGCAGTGACGCCAAGCTGAGCTCTGGGGAGGAATTTCAGCAGGCAGATTCACGCAAGTGAGAAAGCTGGGTTGGTCCCTGGGGGTCTCATTTAACAGGAAAAGGAGGTGAGGCTCCCATGAATCTTGGGGGTGGGGGGGGGAGAGGAGAGAAAGCAGGGAGGGGGATCAGAACCCCTAGGAACTCTGCCGTATCGTTCGTTCTCCTGTTTGGGTGAAATTCACAGAGCCGGATTAACCAGCCCAAAGGTAGGTATTTCTCTCTTGTTTGAAATTGCTGCTGCTTTTTTTTTGTTTGTTTGTTTGCATAAACAGGTAAATAATTAAATACTGGCCGAAAGCCACAACTGAGCATCCTTCTGACTTACAAGGATGCGGTGAAAATAAACCTGCGTGTAGTTTGTTAGAGGGAAACACAGGAGGATGGCAGAGAATTGAGTCTCTCCGATGTTTTTATTTATGTGGGTACATATAGCCCTCGACTTAAAACAGATACAATCCAGAGCAACAGATTAACGGCGTTGGAAAGGACCTTGGAGGTCATCTAGTCCACCCCCCCGCCCAAACAGGAGACCCTACACCATTTCTGACAGATGGCAGTCCTGTCTCTTCTTGAAAGCTTCCAGCGATGAAGCTCCCACAACTTCTGAAGGCAAGCAAACGCTTCATTTAGTGATCGTTCAAAGTTACACCGGCGGTAAAAAAATGCACGGGTACAGTATATGCAGTACCTTGCTCAATAGTAGTAACTGTGAGGGGGATCTTGGAGTCCTAGTGGGCAACCGTTTAAATAGGAGCCAGCCGTGTGCAGCAGCTGCCAAAAAAGCCAACACAGTTCTGGGCTGCATCAACAGAGGGATAGACTCAAGATTACGTGAAGTGTTAATACCACTTTATAAGGCCTTGGTATCCTGCATCCAGTTTTGGTCGCCACGATGTAAAAAAGATGCGGAGACTCTAGAAAGAGTGCAGAGAAGAGCAACAAATATGATCAGGGGACTGGAGGCTAAAACATATGAAGAACGGTTGCAGGAACTGGGTATGTCTAGTTTAATGAAGAGGAGGACCAGGGGAGACAGGATAGCAGTCTTCCAATATCTCAGGGGCTGCCCCAAAGAAGAGGGAGTCAAGCTATTCTCCAAAGCACCTGAGGGCAGAACAAGAAGCAACGGGTGGAAACTAATCAAGGAGAGAAGCAACCTAGAACTAAGGAGAAACTTCCTGACCGTGAGAACAATTAATCAATGGAACGGCTTGCCACTAGAAGTTGTAAATGCTCCAACACTGGAAGTTTTTAAGAAGAGATTAGATAACCATTTGTCTGAAGTGGTTTACGGTTTCCTGCCAAGCAGGGGGTTGGACTAGAAGACCTCTAAGGGTCCCTTCCAAATCTGTTATTCTAATAAAGTGACTTATGACCATTTTTCACATGCACTGCAGCAATCCCAAAGTCAAGTGATTGGCAACTGACTCACATTTATGATAGTCGCACACGTGATTCCCCTTTTGCGACCTTCGGATGAGCAAAGTCAACGGGGAAGCCAGATTCCCTTAACAACCGCGTGACTAACTGAACAACTGCCGTGATTCGCTTAACAACCGTGGCAAGAGAGGTCATCCAACGGGACAAAGCTGAGTTAACAAAAGCCTCACGCAAATTTTGGGTTCAGTTGTGGGTCGTAAGTTGAGGACTGTCTATGGGCAGAAACTTGAGAACTGGAAGGCGAGTAGTTTTAGGTTCCACCCAAAGAAAGAAATTCAGCATTTTGCTGATGTTTTGTTTAGTTACGCAAGAGAAGTTGTGCAATTCCGCTCAGTTCATGCGGACCCAAGAATTCTCCTTGGCGCCGAATCTGGCAAGCCGGAGCCTCCGAGTGGAGGTCGGTTTGTCTTTGTTTGAAGGACAAAAAGTACAGCCAGCTAAGCTACGAGGCCTTGGAGCGTAAAAAAGAAAACATTGCAGCTCGAAAGCAGCAAGAGAGGAATTTCGGTTTACGGGGACAGCAGGGAGCAAAGTCCCACCTGAGGAAGGAAATCACAGGTAGGGCTGCTCTTGTTTTCAGATTTCTCTTAACAGTAACGATTGAGAGTGCGCCGTTTGTTTTAAGGTGAGCTTCCCGGCGATCCATTTCTCAATCGGAGATTCAAATTTTCTGGACGAGAGGTAGAATTATAGGTCTGGAAGGCACCTTGGAGGTTTTTAATAGATTAACAGAGTTGGAAAGGATCTCTGAGGTCATCTAGTCCAACCCCCACCCACCCAAGCAGGAGACCCTACAACCGTGATGGTTGCTGACGCCCGCCTTAACCGTTCATCATACGGTTGAGCTTCCAGAAGCCTTATCATCTTGGTTGCTCTTCTCTGCACTTGTTCTAGAGTCTCAGAATCTTTTTTTTTTTTTTGTATTGTGGCGAACAAAACTAGACTCGGTATTCCAATTGTGGTCTCACCAGTAAAGTCTAAAGTGGTGCTATTGCTTCTCGTGATCTTGATGAAGATGAAGCTCTTCCGAAGAAACCCAGGACTGCATTGGCTGTTTGGCCACTGCAGCACACGGCTGGCTCATACTCCAGTGGTTGTCCACGAGGACTCCTAGATCCCTTTCTCAGTGAATTACCGCTGAGCCCAGTACCGTCTATTCTATACCTGCATTTATTATTTATTTTCCTGCCTAAGTGCAGGATCTTGCTTCCCCCCCCCCCACTGAACCGCATCTTTTTTCTTTTTAAAAAAAATTTGATTTATATGCCGCCCTTCTCCGGAGACTCAGGGCAGCTTACAATGTGTTAAGCAATAGCCTTCATCCTTTTGTATATTTTATACAAAGTCAGCTTATTGCCCCCACAAACTGGGTCCTCATTTCACCTACCTTAGAAAGGATGGAAGGCTGAGTCAACCTTGAGCCTTGGAGAGATTCGAACCAGCAGAAATTGCAGGCAGCTGGTGTTAATCACAATGCTATCAGTCTGCTGAGCCACCGGGCATCTTGTTGGAGAGGGCCTATTGCTCAAGTCTGTCAAGAGCCTTCTGAATCTGGAGCCTATCTTCTAAATCTAAAGTGTTGGACCTAGTGTGATTTTTACACGTGCGCCCAATATAAGCCCTACCCCCAAAATAAGCCCGTTAAGACCCTGCCCACTCCATTGCACGAGGCGCACAGGTAAAAATCAAACTCAGTGGGGATGGGGGGTGGAGCTGCTCCACGTGCCCTGCACCCACTTACATTAAGACAGTTGCAGCAGGGCCTCCCACACCCCGACACCTGCCTCACCTTTGCTGGCCCACTTCTTCTGCGGCAGCCATTTATGCGCGTCACCCATGGCCTCTGTTTCACTGTCAGAGGCCTTCAGGAAAGGCCGCCGCAGTCAAGAAAAGCGCTCCAGATTGATGCATGCGTTTCCGTTTCACTATCAGGCATTTCCGAAGGCCTCTGACGGCAAAACGGAGGCCGCGGGGCACCATGCGCTAGCGGTGGCAAGCGGCTGCAGAAGTGGGCTAGACTGGCAGCAGCTACACGGGCTCCTGACTATACCTTGAATGCAGTGGGCCTGTCAACTGTGACTCCATCTGGTGGTGATGCTGCCTATTTCACATTCTTTTATCTTACCAAGAAGTAGATTGTGGTCTACTTTGTCAAATGCCTTACCGAAGTCCAAGGAAAAGAGCCTTGATAGTACAGTGGTCTACACACCCTGTTATTAACACAGCTGCCTGCAATTTCTGCTGGTTCGAATCTCTCCAAGGCTCAAGGTTGACTCAGCCTTCCATCCTTTCTAAGGTAGGTGAAATGAGGACCCAGTTTGTGGGGGCAATAAGCTGACTTTGTATAAAATATACAAAAGAATGAAGGCTATTGCTTAATGCATTGTAAGCTGCCCTGAGTCTCCGGAGAAGAGTGGCATATAAATCAAATTAATATATATATATATATATATTGTATCAATAGCAAACTAAGAGGAATCAAAGTTTTGGGATAAGTGTGTATCCAGGTTTACCCCAACCAACCTAAATCCATATTTTACAAGGTAGGCCACGGGGGTGGGGTGGGGAGGACTGCAAAACTCTAGATAACCCCAAAGATACTTAAAAGACAGAAAAAACGCTAACTCTGTGTGCAACAATCTAGATCGAGAGTTTTTCAAATTTGGCAATGTTAAAATGTGTGGACTTCAATTTCCACAATTTCCCAGCCATCTTGCTGAGTGCAGAATTCTGGCAATCGAAGTCCTCACATCTCAATGTTGCCAAATTTGAAGAGCACTGACCCGGGTCTAGTGTTCGGAGCCTTAAAGTCTTGATACAGAAATCCTTCCTGAGGTTTCCCGGACTCATTAAACCGGATGCCCTTCCTGTCGCCAATGCGGAGCTTTGTTCAGCAGATCTATTTTCATGGTGCCTCAGAGAAAGAAATATCTGCCTCTACCCTAGGATTGAACTCACAGCCTCCTGATGATGAGGCGAGAGCTCCACCTCTGGGCCACCGCACCACTCGCTAACACAATATGCTAAGACAAATATGTGATGGTTTAGCCCAAGAGGGGAACCTCCGTGGCTTAGGACCTGGTTATCTACGGGACCGCCTGCTACCACCAATAGCCTCCCACCGACCAGTACGCTCCCTTAGAGAGGGGCTCCTCCGGGTGCCGTCGGCCAAACAATGTCGACTGGCGGCCCCCAGGGGGAGAGCCTTCTCTGTGGGGGCACCTACGATCTGGAACGAGCTCCCCCCGGAGATACGGAGGATCTCGGATCTGCGCACCTTCCATCGCACGCTTAAAACGTTTTTATTTCATCAAGCTGGCCTGGCCTAAATCTTCTCCCCTTTTAAATATAAATTTTAAATATAAATTTTAAATACAAATTTTAATCTGTTTAAATTATGGGGTATTTTAAATTCAGCCAAATTATTTAATTCGTTTTTAATCTGCTTTAAATTTTTGTATCTCTGTGTTTTATCTTCTGGCTGTTCACCGCCCTGAGTCCTTCGGGAGAAGGGCGGTATAGAAATTTAATAAAATAAATAAATAAATATATCTGCCTGTTTAGATTTGCCGTGTATCATTGGCCTCTCAGTAACAGGATAACAGAGATTTGAGCTTTGTAGTAATATTTCTATCTTTTTCAGGTGACGACAACTTCCTTGAGCAAACGTCTTTCTGCTGAAGGCTTCATTTGCATTGCTGTGAGCCTGGGCATTGGAATGTGAAATACCAGCAGGCAGTAGACATTGTGAATGTGGCACATCGTTTTCTACAAAAGGATCCCTTCCTAGGTAGAAAGGAGGCGGGTAGAGGAGAGATCGAACTGTCAGCAAGTTCAGGTATGAAGGATTAAGAATTGCAGAGTTTACCTCTACCGTTATCTGTATACCGGTCGGTATCCCATCTCCAGAAAAGGTTCAGAAATGGCCAGAATTTGCCTCCTGCTTCTATGCCTCAAGATGTCTGAAATTTACACGCAAGAAGGACGCTGGGAGACCAACTGGAAAAGGAACGACTCCGAGGTCATGAATGACCTGCTGGACCAGTGGAAAAGGAACGACTCCGATGCCCTGGATGACGATTGGAAGCAGCGGCTACCCAAAGGCATAATTATTGGTGTGAGGAAAGGGGGCACGCGGGCTTTGCTGGAGATGCTGAATCTGCATCCCCAGGTGGCAGCGGCTCACTCCGAGATCCATTTCTTCAACGTGGAAGAGAATTACCAGAAGGGACTGGATTGGTACAGCCAACAGATGCCCAATTCTCACAGCACTCAGATCACGGTGGAAAAAACGCCAGGCTATTTTGCTTCCTTAGAGGCCCCGGAACGGATTTATACCATGGACAGATCCGTGAAGCTCCTTTTGATTGTGCGGGATCCTGTGGAAAGGTTGGTGTCCGATTACACCCAGGTCCTCTACAATCGCAAAGCGCGGCAGAAACCGTACCAGTCCTTGGAGGAAATCCTAAAAAGGGGCCAAGAGCTGAACACCGACTATAAGGCCATGCAACGCAGCCTCTACGCGCTACACTTGGCTCGGTGGCTGGAGTTCTTTCCTACAACACAAATTCATGTGGTAGACGGAGGCGGCCTAATACGGCAGCCGCTCTCGGAAATGCGTCACGTGGAGCAGTTTTTGGGGCTGGAGCCTTACCTAGGCCCGGACAACTTTTATTTCAACGAAACCAAGGGCTTCTTTTGCCTCCAGGCCGGAGGAGAACGGCACTGCCTTGACCCGTCGAAAGGCCGGCCTCACCCCACCGTGGATGAAATGCTGCTGGAGAGACTCTGCACCTATTTCAGTCAGCACAACGAGGACTTTTTTGCCATGGTGGGAAGGACTTTCAACTGGTGCTGAGTCTTGCGTCGAGGCCGAGTTGGGCGTTCCGTGAATGTTCCACCCAAAAAAATCTTCCCATTTTTCGTTCGAAATGGAAGTTCAACTCTACCACTGTATGGTAAATCGGTTTATCAGTGAAACAGCCAAGCCTGAAGTTGGAGGTTTTAAGAACCTTGGGGAACCCACTTGAGGCAAAAAGCGTTTTGATAAAAATGTTTTCACTTTTCTAGCAAGCCCAGCAGGTGAAATTATGCTCTTTATGGTTTTTTCCCCCCCACGGGGGAAAAAAACCAAAAATTTTAGTTTAAGCTATAGGATGTAGGTCCACTGTTTTTCCTGAAAATCTTGTATTTAATGAACCATGGGAAAAGCTCTGTTGTTGACCTGTGCCCCCATATTCCCACAAACAGCTTGCAAGAATTGAATTCAGCATCTCTTTTTTAGCCAACACTGTAAACTAAGCTATTTGCATCCCTATTTAGCTTATACAGTTCTTACTGTCAGGGACCCCAAGGTGCCAGGTAAGACTTTTGCCATGAGAAATAATTTAATTAGAGTTTAAAATCAGGCCTTTCTTCTCAGTGGCCTTTCTGTCCAAGAGACACACTGGCACTTTGATTGTGGGCCTTTAGTATTTCTTTCAATCAACATCTAAGAAATAATGAGTAAATTAAATTAATCCTAGGATTTACAGGTATTCCATTAAACTCACATCCATTTCAGCCATCTGCCTAAAACATAGCCAAGTAACAATAACATTTGGATCTTAGCAACAAGTGTATTAATTTTCTGCACTGTGATTAATGCATTAAACCGCCTGGAAATTAGTTGTCTTCAACTCCTGACAAAAATAACCTTTCACTCCAATCAATCCTTTCTCTTTTATTTATCTGTTAGAAAACAGCCTCTTTCATTAGCAAAGCATTGTTGACATTGTTAATCCATCATCAAAAATAAAAAGTTGCAGCATCTTCAGTATGGAAGTTCCAACTCCTGGAATGCTGAGCCTTTAGTAACAGAAGCCTTGTCTGTTCTGTAGCCGCCAGTCCAGGTTATCAATTACACAAGAGTGATATTGATTAATGTTCCTAAGAAAAGAAACACCCTATTCCTACTATAGCAGTGCTAATCTGCTACAACACTGTTACTGAAGGGACATCTGGGGGAAAAAAACTATGCCAAATTCAACGATCTACTTTATTATATAAATATCGCCTGTTAGGACAGTATTTTGTTAGATTACCAGTTACCATGGAATCAGCAAATGTAACGCAAAGTCCCTTCTGTATCCAAATTGGCCATTGCATCTAACTTCCCTAAATAATTTCACCTCACTCACTTTTACCATATGTAGCATTTTTGAAAGCTATTTTAATAAGGACAATGTTTAAAATTACTTACAATGCACAGGAATATAGTGAATAGTACTTAAAAATACAAATAGCCATCCACACGGATAGGAATGGAGAAACCACCGAAACCCTATTTGACCTCCTTCAATCCAAAATTCTTAACAATAATCTCCTTTAAAGACTGCAACTCCTTATAGTTTTAGATAAACTAATCTAAAATTACTAATCAGAGTAATTCTGGAATTATAACCAAGATAAAATTTTATACAAATTAATTTGATAACGACTATAGGTAAGCCAAGAATTTGGAGATTTGAGACCATTCTGCCATGATTATTTAATCAGCAACATGCCTATAATTCTAGTGTGTAAAGCAGTTCTGAAACTTAGTAGTGGAAAGAAACACTGGCTCTTCTCTTAGAGGGTTACCAAAGTGGTAACCTTTCCAGTTGTAATCAAGGCAACATTGCTTGTTTAGCATTTTGTTACAGATGAAATGTTTGTCAGAACAAAACAAAATAATACTGAAACAAAAGCAACTGAGCTGGTTCAATAATACAGCAGTATTCACTGCAAAGCCACCACCTTCAGTGAGATTATCAGCTGTGAGCAGCAAAATTCAGGATGGGCATCTTTGCTAATATGACACTGCGACACTTTCCATGTTTGTGCAGCACAGCAATTTAGAGAAAAGATTTTCGGCAAAAAGAATTTTTTTTAAAAAAAAAAGTTGTATTGTTAAAATTCATAGAAGTTATTTTAAGTGACATTAAAATCTGGACTTTGATTTCTATGTTAATAAGCAAGAGTAAACAAAGTTAACCATGATTGTGGCTATATCCAAGTTTAGAATGTGTGACTGTTCTAAACATTTCAATTCAATTTTACTGGATTTATCCCTTGTATACCAGAATGACACACAAGAATAGGTTTTGTAAAAAATGGTTTTATCAGTTCCATTTTTGTATAAAACACATGGGAGAAACCTAGCCAATCAACACACAAATTGCTGCCACATAACAGGGTACTTTTTTTTGTCAAACTTTAAATCTAGAACATACAAATGTTTTAAGTCTACAGTCAATTGTCTATGCTCTTCCATTTAACTATTCTTTTAAAAAAATTCCACATATCCCCATATTTCTTCTGTCCCAATTACAGTACAATGACAGGGAGGAAGCGGGCTGCCGAAAGCGCCTCTTTACGCAGTCTTCTGCTGTCCCTTCTTTCCAATCAAAGACTTGTGGATGTGAGGAATTACGCCTGCAGAGAGAGAGAGCAAAGGATGAGGAGACATAGCCACGATCCCATCAAGATTTAAGATACTGATCAATACTTATACAAATCCGTCAACATCTCTTCTTCCCTCCCCCATTCCAACTTCACATTTTCAAGCAACTACTATTCTTTTAATTGCATACTTCAACCAATATTTTGAGTGAAAAGGGTTTTCATGGAAGAGGAAAACGTCCTTATACTACTTGGAGGACCCTGAACAGGTTGAGAGTCGGAGTACCTAAACGTGAAACCAATGCGCACAAGTGGAGGCTCTTTGCGGATAACAACACACTTTGTGAAGGTGGAAAGACACAGAGTCCGGCCCATCTGCTGGTATGACAGCTACTACCAGAAACATGTACCGTAATGACTTATTTTTGGCTAATGGCAAAGTCAAGAAAGTGGTTTCGTTCTGGCAGTTTAAAGTTTGATCTAGACACGGAAAAAGAATAGAAGACGGAGTGTTCTTTCTTCAGGAAAGGCTACCCAATGTTTGCGCTTCAATTAAAATTAACCTGGGACTATAGCTCTGCTAAATAAATTGTCTTAATTTAATTAAGGACAAAAAGTGCAGAACTGATGTATATATATAAAGTAATACCCTGTACAAAAATATGAGCTGGAATATTTTTTAATAATATTTTTCACTTCAGGAATGTTGGGCAACTTCAAACTTGTACTGTGTTTATCAACTGTCCTGAAACATTAAAAGTTCCAGAAGTTTCACTGCTGCCAAACATTGTTTCCAACATTCAAATATTTCTCTCCATATATAATAGGCTGATTTTCATTTTTTTTACACTTCAAAGAATGTAGGCCAAATACCTGTACAGGTAGTCTTTGACTTACAAACACAACTGAGACAAAATTTAGGTTACCGAGTGAGAAATGTGTTGAGTTTTGCCCCATTTTATGACCTTTCTTGCCACATCTGTTAAGTGAATCATTGCAGTTGTTAAGTAACACGGTTAAGTGAATCTGGCGTCCCTGTTGACTGTGCCAGAGGGGTCGCAAAAGGGGATCACGTGACACTGCAATCGTCATAAATATGGACCAGTTGTCCAGCATCCGAATGCAAATCACACGGCCATGGGGATGCTGCAACGGTCGTATGAAAAAGAGTCATAAATCACCTTTTTCAGTGCCATTGTAACTTTGTTCACTAAATGAACTGTTGTTAAGTCGAGGACTACCTGTGTACTGAAATGGGAACTGAACTGCCTTGGATAAAGAGTTAAAGTTCAGAAGCTACGACGATACGTACCTCCACCAGCAATGGTTGCTTTAATAAGGGAGTCCAACTCCTCATCCCCACGAATGGCAAGCTGCAAGTGACGTGGAGTGATGCGTTTTACCTTCAGGTCCTTCGAAGCGTTGCCTGCCAACTCCAACACCTGTGGGAATAAATACAGCGGCATATTTTAGTCTCCTAGGGTTTTTTTTTTTATTTATAAAACAAGCTTAACTTGCATATTTTAATTTTTGCAAATAGCGGTAAACATTTCACTGTTCTATAGGAGGAGGAGGAGTGGCAGAGTCTAAAGAGGGATCAGCCTAGAATCCCCACAGCGCCTTGAATTCAGTTGTCCCGTATCTAACTCTTAAGCAGGTGCTGACCATTAGTTGAGAAGAGTCCTGTGCATAGACTTTTAGCAATAAATCAATTTAATTGCACTTTCTCATGTGGAGCTGGCCAACAAGTTCAGAGTAATGATGCAAAAGATTAATATCTCTTACAGCAGTGTTTCTCAACCTTGGAAGCTTGCTGGCTGGGGGATTCCGGGAGTTGAAGTCCACCCATCTTCAAGCTTCCAAGGTTGAGAAACACTGTCTTACAGGAACATCAGTTTGTGTTACATATATGATTGTTGCAAACTTGATAAACCCTTTCTTATGATAATTCTGATCTAACATGTTGGTAATATGAATATTACAATTATACTTAACGATAAGATCCACAATAGTGCTAAGGTGTTGCACGAAATTGGCACATAGAACTGTGTTGGTAGCTTTTTATGAAATTTTGAAGGCAAATACATAATTGGATATTCATATGTGATTGATACTTTTGGAACAATTGTAGCAAAAATGAATGCATATATATTTATAGCAGTATAATGTCTAAATATATCTATCTGGCTCATTCTTTTTTAGTTAGGGAAAATATTAATTTTCTTCAATTAAAAACATGCCTCCTGAAGTCCAGAACGTATACAATGATGAGCAATACCTTCATTATTAAATATTTTCTTTTCCTCAGAAATATTTGTAATGAATTACAATTTTAAATGTTTTAAAAACATAAGGGAGAACTAATGGGGACTTACTCAACCTCTTCTAATTGGAAAGAGTATACAACAGGGTTTGCTATTTCAATATTTTGTATTCTAAATTTTCTGGTGTGTTTATAATGGTGTTTATAAATCTAAACAGAAAGGTGTACAATAAAACAGCTTTTGCAAAAAAATGTGTAAGCTTGCAAACAACTATTAGAATAGATCAAATAAAATAAATGTTCGGGAAAATGAAGAAATGGTAGGTATAAAGAACTGGAGCATTCAATATCCAAGCGTTAGAGGAATATCATATTCCAGCAACCTACCTCAGCAGTGAGGTATTCAAGAATTGCAGCACTGTACACGGCAGCTGTAGCGCCAACTCTTCCATGGCTTGTGGTGCGAGTCTTCAAGTGTCTGTGGATACGGCCCACTGGGAACTAGAAGCAAAAGGACTGCTTTAGCACACATGCCCTTTCAAGAAACTTTAACTGACAGTCCATATCTGTCACCTGTTTCCAGAGAGGTAGAAGGCACTTGATCCAGTCATATCCTATAGTAATGTATAGTCTGGATATAAGCGGCTGTTTTTTTTACACCGGACAACCAAATGCCCAAGTACACAATTACTGGGATTGCAACTAAGAAAATGACATAATTTATTTGGCAGAGTTCAAGGTGTAGGCATAAAAATCTGGAGTTCTCTGGTATAAGATGTATTGATAATGTTGGCAAACTAGCATTGACTTATATAAGGTCATTCATTCGTTCACAAATAGATATAGTTTTATAACTTTAAAAATAATAATTTGTATTCAATAAACCTAAGACAATGTAGCAAATCTTGCAAGATGCACAGGATTAAAATCCCACATCAAAGTAATATGAGATATAAACACTACTGTATAATAAAACCAGAATGCTTTTACTATAGGAAAGAACATGATTCAGCAAACAATTTTTTTTACTAACATATTCTAATTTCCAAAGATAAGATGCCAGCCCGTGTTTATGGAAAGACGAGCTTCCTCCTTAATGCTACTTTGTTATGAGTCAATAAAAAAGAACAGAAACCTGTACAAAGTTCACAAATTTGGGGCTTTAACTATAAACAGCAAACAGCTGGTGCAAGAGAGTGGAAACATTCTTTGGGCAGTAGCTTCTGAAATATGACTAAAATATGGAATTAAGGAGCTTCCTCCTAGAAACTAATGTAACATTTTGGATAGGTAAACTTTAAATTTAGGAACCCAGAGCTCCGGAATGAGGGCAAGAGTAAGGAGAGGTCTTTTCTCTTAAAAGATGTAAGCCAATGAAACGGCTACATGTTAGACAGGACCAAAGCAGCCTCCTGAACTTCAAAGTTCTGCAGAAGGAAGGCCAAGGAATCAGCAAGGATGATGAGCTTCTTCTTACGCATGGCTGCAACTGCCAGAGAACAAGTATCTTCCTGAGAAATTCTTCTAAATACCCAGTTCAGTGAAGCATATTTCTCCCTCAGGCGCTGTTAGGCAGTACAAAGTACAGCCCTGCCTGCTTTTAAGGAGCCTATTCTTGTTGCAAGCATTCTGATCTGGGCTTCCTCCTCTGGCATCTGATCTGGAGTGTCTGCTAGCGCAAGGGTCTCCAACCTTGGCAACTTTAAGCCTGGCGGACTTCAACTCCCAGAATTCCCCACCAAAGCTGGCTGGGGAATTCTGGGAGTTGAAGTCCGCCAGGCTTAAAGTTGCCAAGGTTGGAGACCCCTGTGTTAGAGGAGACTTAGGAGATGGGGTATTTTTAATTTTCCTGGGTCACTAGTACATGGATAAAGGAATGTGGAATCCAGTCTCTAAAGAAAATCACTTGCCTTGGATGACTTTGGGTCACTGTTTTAGGGCAAGCGTCCCAATATATAAAACGGCTAAGCCTTAAATTCATTTGTTGGAAAGGAAAAGCACTGCTCACTTTATTCAGCATCTCCTAGTGTCTCAAGGCAGATCATCTTTACACAGCTGAAAATCAGACCGAGCCTTTGAATGGCACGAGGAAGAATCCAGTCAGGCCTGCATTTCACTTCTGTTGCATTAAAAATTATCATCAGTTCTTGGAGGGGGGGCAGGGGTGGGGGAGAGGATTGCATTTAAAGCTTCCACAGGTCAGACCTAAATCCCGTGGCCTGAAGTTGTCCACCACCACCACAAGTATGGAAATTCCCTCTAATTAACGACGAAATGAAAAGCCATACGAAGACTAGTTTTAGGCTCTCAAAATTCTGGGCAACCACCAGATGCTGCCATCTAGTGCCATTTGAATTTCTGCAGCTCAGATTCGATAGCTTTAAAAAAAGGCAACTTTGTTGACAGATTACAGCCAGATAGCACAAGGAAAACTGATTAAAAATAAAGGGCAAGAACTGGTTAAAAAGAAAGCCAAGTCACACTCCAATCACCTGGAAAAAATATCCACTAAGACTTGGTTTACTACAGACATAAAACCAACCAGAATGTTTTTTAAAAAAATATATATATATAAGTGGCTAGGACAATATAAGGCAAATCACAATAGGGCTTAATTTTATATGTCAGTCAACCTCGGAAAAGAGAAGGAGAAGCAGCTCCTTCTAAAGCAGTTCCAGCCTTCTTTTATCCAGGTAAACAGACTTTTAGAGTTGCTTAGAATTCTGTCTGACTGAAAAAGCAGTTAACAATCTATTACAAAATTAAATAAATTAAATCAGCATGGCTGGCTGAGGAATTCTGGGAGCTGAAGTCCACAGGTCTTGAAGTTGCCATGGTTGGACACCCCTGAACTAAATAATACATAATGAATGCTTCTATGCCCCAAACAGAGAAGGCTGTACTTCCCAAATTTAATTAGGACCGTGAGAAAATACAAATAAACGTGTCTGTGAAAGGCTGCCTGAAAACTTACCTGAAGCCCAGCTCTTTGCGAGCGAGATACTGCCTTTGCCTTGGCCTTTCCACTGTCTTTGCCAGCCTTGCCTCCAGCCTACAAAAAGCATAATAGGAGATCAATCTTCCATAATGCCCATTGTGTTACTACTTTTGAAATGCATGTCACATGTATCAAATTTAGCAATGACCTTTCTCCTGCTACCAACTCATATTTACAATCTTGATGGAATTCTTCAAAAGGAAGTCCATTCTTCAGACTTTTCCTGTCACAATGCAAACATGCAGACAAAAGTATTTTGAAGAAAAAAAAAAAACCACAAGATCAAACATTGGCCACAAGTAAATCTAGGCATATATCCAATTTAATACTATAAACATATGTAAGCATGTATATTTTGGGACAATTCATTCAAGAAAAAAGTTTTAGGACAGCAACATTAGCTTATGTTTACACCTACAGACAATGGCTGATTCTCTCAGACAACCAACCTTGCAGGTTGGTTTGGTTTTGTCCAAGACCAAGTCACAAAATTTGAAAATATAGTTCATCATTTGAACATACATAACTAGCCATATGTATATATACATATACTGTATATATATAACTTATATGTAAAAAAAGAAACTCTATAAAGTTAGATAGGATTCTTTTGCTAAACATTTGCTCAATTTTTTTCTAAATGTATATGGCTGTTATGAAACGCATGTAGGACAAGACTTAAAGCCAATACTCAGTGAAACTTTTTTCCATTTTCATCCTTTGTGCCCCAAAGAAGATACTATGACTTTCAAAAAACAGGTGTATTTAAAAGCAATTCATTCTCAAAAGCTGTTGGTTACTTCGTGTGCTTACTCAGTGTGAGCATAAAGCATAGATACAACTTGCGGCTGTTCTCAATAGCTGTTGGCTGTACAGAGAGATAAATCTATGGTATGAGTTATGAACATATTAACCTATTTATTTACATATATGTAAAATGGTCCATATTGACTTTTTATTTATGTCTAGTACTGCATTGTTTATTTACTTGATTTCTGTAGCCACTCAATTAAACAAGTGACTCTTATGACCCCAAATCCTCTTATTATTGCATCGCAATGTTCCAACCAAGCACAGAATATTTAATAGTCTCTTTGCCTTGGATCTGGGGAAATTTAAAACATATTTACCAATCCCAGTTAGGTTCTTTTTTCATCACTCTCACATATACTTTTCCAAAAACCTCCTCCCCAGATCTGCTAAGCAAACATCTACTACAATTATTGGATGAAAAGCTTATTATTTCATTGCTAACAAAAACAAAGAAGAAAGCCTCCACCTTTAGCTTATATAAAGCTGACTGCTTTTTCTATACTATTTATCCTTCCAAACTCAAACTAAATATAGGTAGTTCTCCACTTACGTCATTTAACAGCATTCAGAGTTTTTTTAAATATTATATAGACAATTAAAAGTGTGCACACTCCTATTTTTAATGACCAAATTTGTCTCACAACAACACTCCTGTTGCAATACTGGGTATTATTCATAAACGTCTGCCATGAAATACTTTTTAAGAATGTTCAGATCACAAAACTTTTTAAGTTTCCATGGTACAATAGTAGGGACTCTGATACTCATCCACAATTTCTTTGATAGTAGGAATTGTTCCTCAATAGCCTTAATGCAGAAGTGGTGTGATTGAAACTATAATTCAGTACATGAAGATGCTATTTGGACATTTAAAAAGGATCAATATCCTAGAATCTAATACCAAAAAGGTCATTCAAAAACAACTAAGATATTCAAATACTTCATAACCACTTGCTTCCAACTCTCAGATATAGATTGTTGTAGCACACACGTGCTCCAGAGACAAGGTCTTATCTCATTTTGACATTTGAGCTTTCCTAAGTTAAGTTTGCCTTTTTTAAACAGATATTAGCATGTAAATTAAACTAAATTAGAGAGCTGTTCAGCCTGAATACTCTCCTATATATAATCAACAATTTATGTTATAGAGACTAATTTATGATAATGCTGCCTACTTAAGAACTTTTGAGGATATTCTTCTCTTTCATCAGCTTAGGCAGGTGGTGATTGCAAAAAGGGAATTTGAATTATGACTACTTTCCAAAGAGTCCTTTTACCCTGGAGATTTGTTTAGAACCAAGTACATCAGAATTGAGTTTAGGAGATTTTGCTCTTTTAATTACAATGTCTACCTGGCTGATTCTAACCCTATCAACCTTTTCCAGAAGTCTAGCAATGCAGAAGCTTATCAGTTAACAGCAACTATGTCTAAAAAGGAGGTCCTATATCAGACATCAACTTTTCCCAGGCTCCTAGAATTGCCTGAAGACCACTCAGCATCAGAGGCTTCAGCAATATTGTCAAAATGACAAATTCATGCATAAATTCCACTCTTTTTATTCACGCAACACCAAAATGCACATATAAAAGTGGGGGAGCTCATTTCCTACTTTGTACACTTGGAACTGCAACCTTGTATAACTTTCTCTAAAATTATTCTTGCACCACCCAACTTTTTCATATCTTGCCCCTTTACACTTCCCACAGTTGTTACATGCGCAAATATTACTCACTTTTGCAAAATGCTACAAGAAACCCTTTTTCTGGTTATGCAATTTTTTCATCATATGGGGAAAAAAGAGTTTTATTAATAAATACAAGTGACAGTGAATTATCAAAACATCAGTTCTTTAAGCCTCAGACTAGATCCTTTACATCAAATAAGGACATGAATGTCAAAACTCCTGTTCAGAACTAAAGCAGGTGGTCAGCTTTAGTTTTCCCTAATCAGCCTTCCCTCCATCCATTCTAGATAAGCTTTAATGGTAAAAGATATTTAATTCATGTGCAGATAAAAATGTATCCAAAGTTAGATTTTGGGCTACAATATCCTTAATTGCTGTCAGCCATTAGTATCAGTACAGCAATTGTTATAATTAGTTTATTAATCTGCAATAGTGTTCTAACACTGAAATTGTGAGATTCTATCCTCTAAAATACAATCCCAGACCAGACTCCCTAAATACATTCCTAAAGTCAATTTACTCTAATATGCAATGCTAATTCTAAATATCAACAGGCAATTGCCAAGTTATTTATTTTTGTAACACTATTATTGAGCCTACTCTAATTTTAGTCATTTTAAGCAGAGCTACAAGACAGATGACAAGGCATAAACTGACTTGTAAAACAAGATTTAAATATATTTATTTTCAAACAATACTGTGTGTGTATGTATGTATGTATGTGTGTGTATATATATATATATTCTTATCTATCTATCTATCTATCTATCTATCTATCTATCTATCTATCTATCTCAAATTAAGGGGCATGGTATAAAAGGTCCCATTTCAGTACTATCTCACAGTGATAGTTACGATTGAAAGTTTGTTTAAAAATACGATGAAAACAGCTTTCTAATGGGCATTCTACTATTAGGTACATCCTATTCTAAACTTATTGGATAAATTAGCTACAACCCAAGCGCATGCAGTGGGATGCAGGCAACAGTATATTGTTTTTGCAAGATAGGCTCTAGATTCAAGGTCTTAGCTTCCAAAAATAATAGTGTAAATGTTCTTGGCATAAAACAGGAATTTATTTCATGCATCATACTGGCTAAAATACCCAAATCAGCAGTATTATTCTTATCATTAACAGAGAATGCTCCAAGCAATGCTGATATAACTTAAGTGGGTAACTTAGTCTAATTTTTTACATTCCTAAAAATATAAAGTAAAAATCTTGATTAACCAACACAAGTCTTAATTTTTCATATGTTGTGGTGGTTACTATATAGGACCATGGATATTAACCTAGGGGCCTATATAGTACCTGTATAACATGGACTTGGAAAGCAAATGGACTAAATGATAAACAGCATGAATTAGCAAATGAAAAGAATGAAAGCAAAATAGATATATTGTGTACTTTTGAAACTAAGAGAACGGAGAGGGGTATAATCAATGTGAATGAGGATAGTCTAATGTTCTTGAGTGGAATTGATGAATGAAGGCTGGGAAGTAAAAATATAGGTTTCGTTATGAATGAAAGTGTTAAAAATATATCAATAAGTATGAGTAAGTGGCATCTACACTATGGATGCCTATGAAACAGGAATTCTTATTGGGGAAAAACACAGTTGCATGCAGCATTCTAATGAACAGTGATAATGAAAGAACCAAAGATGAATTTTGGAAAAAGTGCACAACATTTTGAATAAATGCGCTCATGGTGGGAAAAAAAACAAAACCCTAGATTTTGATGACATAAAATGGATAGTTGGGAACAAGTTCAAGACAGTACAGATTGGACTATCTGGAAATCCAAGAATGAATGAAAGTAATTACTGTTTTAGCATTTGATTAAAAAAAGATGTTTGTTTTAAATACATGATTGAAGAACTGTATTCATAAGTACACACAGAAGGATGAATATAAACCTAGAAGTATTTTTGATTATTCATGAAAGACTAAAAAAGTAATGAAAGCTACAATGTTGACAAGAACTTCTGAACATGAGACATTGTATTAAGAATGGATTTTGGAAAAAATGGATATGAAAGAAAAAGGAGATCTAAAAGAAAGAAGATGGCCACATGAAAAGAAAGCATGGGTCCTGTATGTAAGAAAACAGATTAATTTCCCAACTGAATGTATAAAGTGAGTTTAAGGAAAGAGGATGTGGAAGCAGCTTGTAACAGAGTAGAAATATTATAAATTGCCTCATAAGCATGTAAAGTTATAGTAATGAGAAATATGAAAAATGCTTGGTGGAATTATGAAAAAATGCAAAAAAGAGAATAATTGTTGTGAAAAATGAAGGTGATAGAAGGATATTGTGTAAAGCATATAATATAATAACAAAACATATTGCTGCAAATAATATAGTTAGAGAAAGGAATTATTTTCAAAATGCACAGTAATAAAAAACATATATATATTTAAAGTGTCAACGACAGAACTGAAAGGAATGGTGTATTTTATGGGAGTGTTATTGTTATGTCAAAGTGTGGAGTTGAACCAAAGCTGTAACTGTTACTGTCAAAGAAAAAAATGGTTGAGAAGAAATTCACAAATGCTGTCCGGATGTTGAAAAATGATAAGACTGCAGCTGTTGATGGCATAATTGGGAAAATCTTAAAATGTGGCAGTGGTTTATTTATGGAATGGCCTTGCAATTTTTTTTTAATATGTGAAGACTATATCTATGCCTGATAACTGGAAGAATGCTGTTAATTTTCTTCTATTATATACAGGAAAAGGTAAAAACAAAACTAATGGAGATTAGTTGAGGTGATAATGGACAAAACTTGGGAATGTGATGCAGCTTTATGCCAAGCATGTGTAGACTCTTTAGCAGGTTTTCAAGAAATGAATGAATGTGAGAAATAAACTATATTCCATGTTTGTTGGTTTTAGGGGGGGAAATATGATAGTGTGGATAGATTTGAATTAAGGAATGTTTCATACCGGTATGGGATTGAAGACTGCTGAATGTGATAAGAACAATACATTACAGAAGTAAAGCATGTGTGAAAATAGATGGAATGCTTAATGAAAGATTAAGTATAAAATGAAAATGTGATATTTCCATGGTGAACATATTTATACATAAACGTATGATACACTTATGGTCATAGCAGAGATGCTTTAACTGCATGCACAAACAAGCACGCACTTTTCTCTGGGTGATGGCATGTCATTAGCTGAGAGTCAAAATTATTCTCAACCATTGACAGAAAGACTATGTGATGTAACAAATAATGTTATCTCAAAATGAAATATCAAAGATAAAATGTAAACTTGAATGGAGAAAGTTTAAGATGTGCACATATTGGCAGAAATATAATGGATAGCAATACATGGCTTGTTGTAATGAATATTTGTCAAAAACCAAAAACAGCCTTGCAAGAATGTGGTCATATTACTATCTAGAAATGAGAACTGAGCCTGCAGAAATGTTGAGCAAAAATGGAGTGTAAAGCAGGGTATAAACTACCCTGTTTTCCCCAAAATAAGACATCCCCTGATAATAAGCCCAATTGGGCTTTTGAGCGCATGCACTACAATAAGCCCTCCCCAAAAATATTTAAACGCAGAGCTTGAAATCAGATAAGACGGCAAGAGGAGTCCCATCTTGCTCCATTTACCCCAAAATAATAAGACCTCCCCGAAAATAAGGCCAAGCGCTTATTTCGGGGTTAAAAACAATAAACTTTCGGGGAAACATGGTAAAATGAGAAGAGATTAGAAAATGTACTGGTGCTGAATGAATCAGAACGATGAGCTGCCAGTATAAACATTAAGCTGGCATGGTCAAACAGACCAAATGTATGAAGTTCAAATCCCAAAGCAAATGTATAAGAGTGACTGAATGGATAAAATTGAAAAAGTTGCGATTGGTTGGATGGGGTTGATGAAACCCACGTGAGGGAGATGTGAGACAAGCTAAAGGACAAAGAGAATGTATGAAAGTGAAGTGGTAGAAGGAGTAAGGATGGTTTAAAAAGTTACAGAGAATGCAGTTCACGAGGGTATAAGTTTATTTTGCCGTACCTTTTTCCTTTTCTCACATCCTTCGCCAATCGTCAAAACAATCTATTTCTCACTCCCCTTCTGCACTTTGCAAGTAATGGAGAAGACCATTATTGTACATATTATCCACACCCGGGCTTGTCCAACTTTGGCAACTTGCGCCCTTCAACGCCCCCCCACAAGCTGGGGAATTCTGGGAGACGAAGTCCACAAGTCTTAAAAGTGGCCAAAGCCGGACACCCCAGATCCCAGATGTTTTCCCTTGCTGCAAGTTATTACCCGGGAAAGAAAGAAAAGAAGAAGAAAAAAAAAAAAGGCCATCTTGAGCCTTCTAGCCAAAAGCAACCTCTCCTTAAACAGCAGCAGCAAAAAAAGAAAGAAGGAAGGAAGGAAGGAAGGAAGGAAGGAAGGAAGGAAGGAAGGAAGGAAGGAAGGAAGGAAGGAAGGAAGGAAGGAAAGAAAGAAAGAAAGAAAGAAAGAAAGAAAGAAAGAAAGAAAGAAAGAAAGAGAGAAAGAAGCACTTCAGAGAAATCATTCAAACCTCAAGCTGGAAAAAGTACAAAAAAAAAAAAAAACCAACTGCAGCTGCGGCTTTTCCTGACCCTATTGGGAACTTATATTTGGAACAGAATGCAAGACACCCCCCCCCCCAAAAAAAAAAACCCACAAACTTTCCCCCCCACCACCCCACCACGCCCCCCCCCCCGGGGGGGGGGGGGGGACGGGACGGATGGCTTCGGTCAGCTCAGCCAAAGCGGACGAATATAAATTACCCGGGATGATTGGGGGAAGAAAACCCGCCCCGTCTCACGTCCCGTTGAGGAAAAATAATATTAAAATAATAATAATAATAATAATAATAAAGCGGGGAGGGGAGGGGGGAGAAGAGAAGGAAGGAACCGCCGCCGTGCCACTTCCCTCAGCGGCAGATAGGGGCTGCCAGCGTGCCAGGCTGTCACCGCCGGAGCTGGGCCCGTCAGCCGGGCTCGGGAAAGCGACACCCGTCCCGGCCAGCGCCGCGTTTGGATGGGGGGGGAGGGGAAGGGAGGCGCCGTGCGCGGGAAACCGAGAAGCGCCGGCCAAGCGCCGTGGCTCGGACCCGGGGGACGGACGGACGGACGGACGGGCCGAGGCTCTTTCGGCGGGGCGCTAACTGACACCCCAAGTCGGGGTAGGGGGGAAGGGAGGAGAAGGCGGGTTCGGTAAGTCTGAGGAGAACCGCCGAGTCCTCCTTTCTCTTTTTCTCTCTCTCTCTCTCTCCGCTCCGGAGACCGGCGCCGGGATGAGGCGCTCCCGGAGCCAAAGGGGAAAGAAAAGCAGGGAGAAATCTTTCCCCGCGCGGCGCGGTAACCGAGAGGCGGGGCTTTCCCTGGGCCGCTCGCCAAACGGAAGAGGGAACCGCTTCACCCTCCGCCGCCCCAATGAGAAAAGACGGCTCGGCCCGCCGCTCGCTTACCGGAACGACTCCTACGGAGCGGCGGCGGCGGCGACGACTCGAAGCATCCCCCCCCCCCCCCCCCCCCCCCGCGGGAGGCGCCCCTCACACACGGCCGCCGTGAGGGAATCCCCTCACGAGCTTCCCGCCGAACGGGAGCGGTTTTTTTTTTTTTTTCCCTCACACGCTTCGCTCCGGCCCGCTCGTCGCGCGGCTTTTTCGGCCTTCCTTACCATGTTTGCGTCGCTCCTGGGCGAAGTCCGGTCCCGATTCCGCGCGAGAGCCGCCTGCGAAAGTCGAGAGACAATAACCCGCCTGGGCGCGAGGAGGGAGCCTGGCCTGCCGCGGCCACCCCGGGCCAATCAGGGCCGCCCGTGCTAGTTTGAACCTCCCGCCTTGACCAATCCAATTAAGGCTTCTTACTTCCTCGCGGAGGCCCCGCCCCGCGGCCCGTTTAACGGCTGTTTTTTTTTTCCACCAAACACCAACCTCCCCCCCCACTCTTCCTTTGCACACGGCACGTCAGCGAGAGCGAAAGGGAGAGGCGGGACGAGAGGTGGTCCCGCCGCCGAAGGAAAAGGGTGGAGTGACAGGCTTGAGCTCCAGTAAGCGTCAGGAGCCGTCGTTTTTCGAGGGCGGCACCGATTGAAGGGCGGCGCCAAGAACCAATCGGCAGCAAGCCGAGTTTCCCGCCCATATTGTGACTTTTCCCTAACTCTCCCCCCCCCCTTGTTTGTTTGCGCGGAGAGGGTTAAAAATGGATCCCGGAGGCTGTTGACAGTTATATTCCTCACACTCGCAGGACGGGGCGCTCCAGCCGGGGCTGCCCCGTAAACTGATCCCTGCGTGTGGGGACAACAGTCCCGTCGCTGACAGGAATCCCTTCGGAAGGCGGAGCTTCCATTTCTTTTTCCCCGCCAAAAACGGGGAACCTGAGGCGAAAGCATCTGACGTTGTGAGGGGGGGAGACCCCGCGGGATCCCTCCCCTCGCCGCCTTTTCGTGGAAGGGAGCCCCATCGAGTCCACCGGGGGCTCTTCTGAGGGAGACGCGGCTAAAAATTGAAGGGGGTCGCGCGGGGGGTTCCCGATGCCCTCGGGTGGGGGTTGAACTTCAACTCCCATCATCCCCAGCGCCTCCCTGAACCCGATGCCTTGGAAGTGCCTGCCTGGTATATCCTCACTCGCTCCTTGGAAGGGCAGAAAGCGGCGAGGCGCGACGTCTGGGGGTCCCGGGGCTTCGCACGACCGGCAGGGTCGGTGTCCGAACTGGCCTTGGGTCTCTTCTTTGATGGGGGTCGGACTAGAAGACCTTCCAAGGTCCCTTCCCAGCCCTGCGATTCTGTATTCATGTGATAGTAAAAAAGGATGGGACGACTTTGTTGTTGCTTTTAAAGTTATACAGGTAGTCCTCGACTTACGACCACAGCGGAGCCCAACATTTGTGTTGCTAAGTGAAACGTTTGCTAAGAGAGTTTTGCCCCAAAGTTTTGCCACCTTTCTTGCCATAGTTGTTAAGGGAATCGCTTCATGTGTTCATTTAGTAACAGGGTTGTTAAGTGAATCTGGCTTCTGCTAGTCAGAAGGTTGCAAAAGGGGATCCCCGGGTTATGACCACCCCTCCACCCCTCCGGGATGCTGCAACTGTCATATATATGAGTCGGTTGGCAAGCGTCTGAATTTCGATTATGTGACCATGGGGATAGGTTAGGGTAGGGTAGAATAGAATTAGAATAGAATAGAATTAGAATTAGAATAGAAATAGAAATAGAAATAGAATAGAATAGAATAATGGAATGAAGAATAGAATAATAACTTTATTGTCACTTTGAATGTACACTAATTGACATATATTAAAATGAAATTTCATTGCACACAGCTCTCAACTGCTGCAATTTTCATGTGAAAAACAATCATAAGTCATTTTTTTTGAGCGCCGTTACACCTTCGAATGTTCACTAACTGTTGTAAGTCAAGGACAACCTGTATTTGGTTAACTGATCCTCTTTTATCCCAGGCAATCCTGTGAGGTGGTTTGGATGAGCAAGAGGGTTTGGCCCCAAGTCATCTAAGGAAGGCCTAAAATCACAGCCTCCTTAGTTCATGGGGCGGATGTGGAAAATAGTTTAAATGTTGAGTATATTAGTTTTATTTCATCAATGAAATGAGAGGTTTCAGTCCTGGAAGAAGTCAGCTTTGAATGACTGGAGTCAAATAGGGCTTTGGATAGAAAAAGTCTTATGCATTGGGCTATAAAGTATGGCGGAGTTACTGATCAAGCACTATTTTAATGCTTGCTCCAAAGTACCAAAGATTTGCTGCAGAAAGTGTCAAAATCCCACATATTTTAGCCTATTTAGGGGAGGAGGAGTAATTTATTGTTTTTAAACTATACAGTCATTAAAAATTTAAAAATCTGACTTCCCATACGCATGCATTTTATTTAATTTGGCATATGGGTTGAATTAAATGTTCTTAAACTATGTTCTTAGGTTACTATGTGATCGGAACCCAGCCATTTTGGTCTTCCTACTTAAATTAAGCATGCAAAAATTTGCATCAGTGTGTGAATCCTATGTGTCTAATTTTATATGCCTATTTTAAAGAAACACCCACATATCTGGAAGTTACAATGTTATGACTCAACTACACTAAGCCATTGCTTTGTTAACTATGATTTATTGAATAAACCAAAACATTGGATTCACAATGCAAAGCCACATGTTTTGGCTTAGAACTCAGTCAATGCAGTATGTTCATCAAAGCCTGGTTTCATTTAACCACAACTTAGTGTGATATGTGAACCTTAAGCAATCAAGATAGTCAATTTAAGCCATTTAAAGCCATCAGACCACACGCAAAAAAATCTTGGGGAAGAAAGGTTATTTTGATTGTATAAGAAGTTATATATATAATCAAACCATATTTAAAATTAATTGTGAGGTTAAAAAAGGTGTCACTAATGTCATAAGTCCTTTACTGTAGATTTAGTCCTTGTTGCAGAGAAAAATAAAATTTTGCATCTTGTTGGTATATAAAGTCCTTTGTATTCTGTTCTTTTGGTGCTGACTTTTTTAAACAGTTATTCTTTTATCACCAACAATAAAATACAAAACAAAGAAAGAAAATAGACTAAAAACATCCAACACTAACAACAAAGAAAAAAGTGTACAAAAATAAATATCCCAAATATATTGGTGCTAACTTTTAAATTATTTCCAATTTGCTTATATCTACAAGTGCAGCACTCCAAAACAGATAGTACTTAAGTAAAATGATTACTTCTTATTTTGATTGTATAAGAATATGATTGTATAACCATAGTTTTGGTAATACAGCCATATTTATATTTTTTTGAAACTACCTTACACTGAATTCTTGTGGTCAGTTTGTAGTCAATCACAATTTTGTTGCCTTTTGTATCTTTGACAGGCCCAGGAGTCCTTCATCCTAAACAGTCTTCTGTAAGTTTATTCAATGAGTCTAAATGTAAAACTTTATATTTTTCTTGGCTGAATTCAGTTTTCATAACGCCATCTAGCGTATTCTGTCATGGTGATTGTGAATTTTATTCCCTGCATCATCTACAGATTTGTTCCATAATTTCCATCAGATGCAGTAAAATTCACTGGCCATGAGAGGGCACACCAGACCACTGCAAATGTTTAATGTGGCTGCCATAATATTATATTAGTTACTTTAAACAGGCTTGTAAACCACTTAGATGTTCATTAAAGCAAAATGTGTGAGTGAATGAATGAATGAATGAAATAGATACCATCTGAAAAGATATAAGTGTGAAAAATGATCATAAGTCATGTTTTCAGTGCCATTGTAACTGAATGGTCACTAAACGAACATGTAAGTTGGCTACCTGTATTTTGCGGGCTCTCTCTGGATATGTATGGATGGAGGACTGGGATATTTGCAATTAAATGTATTTTGGTGTAGCAGTCTATATGAGTACAGCCATTATGACATGTCTAACATGCCATGGTTAAAACATGGTTTACCATATATGACATGGGTAATGATTGCACTTTTACTGCCATCTAGTGGTTACCCAAATATCTGCAGCCCATGCGGGTAATCCAAGCCTGAACCGTTTTATAGCGCAAATGCAAACTGATTTGCCTTGCCTGAAATTCCTCTTCTAGGAACCTCAGGCCTGAGTTTGTATAAAATAAAACAAAATATCACCACAATGCTCCAAAGATCACAGTATCATTAGCTTGATTGCATATATTGATTCAGTGCCACAAAAGCTGACTTAGTATAAGGCAGGGAATGTATGGGTCAAGCTGACCCCTCCCAGTCTACTCCAGTCCGTCCCAAAACTATTTCCTTGCAGCTGGCATGGGCCCATTGGGTGAAACCCGCCTACATAAGCTGGTACTTGTTCCATGTGCAACCCCTCTAGTCCTCATACCAGAGACTCGCACAATAGGCTGTGTTTGGTGGATCATCGCGCACCTGCCCTTCTGGGAGAAGAGCCAGCATCTGTGACCACCCCACCCCACCATCAGAGGTCACGGCCAGGATGGGCTCAGCCCTGGCAGGAGTAGCACCCGTTACTCAACAGGCATCCTGGCACCTGTTGCACATTATTCTCTGCTTTGGCATCTGAAGGCTATAAAGGGCGGGGGTGGAGTAAAGGTATATTAAAAGCACGGAGGGGGGGAGTCACCCTACATTGTGGAGAAGGCAAGTGGGAAGACAGCTGCCCTTTGCTGGTGAGATGGCCGAGTCAGCTTCTTTTTGTCCAAGATCCAAAATCTCTGCACAATTGCTCAGAATTTAATTCCTGCTGTGGGTCTCAATCAAGTCCCGGAAGTGGATACAAATAGCATTTTGAAATGTGACTTTGTCAACATTAAAAAAAGAAGAAGCCCCTTTCACCCCTGATTTGCAAGGAACGAGGAAAATCTCTGATATTGGCTGGGAATGACAGCAGCAGCGCTACCAATTTAGAACATTTTCTCTCCCCCATCCCAAGAGTTGTCTTTCCCTGCAGTTTGAAGGAAGTGTGAGAAGCCCCAAAGATGCTGATAAAACGAAAGAAAGAACATTCACATACATTTCTCAATCGTCTTGTGATTAAAAAACAAGACGATTTCCACCTATTAGAAAAGTGCAGTGTTTTTCCTCCTTTGAAAGAGGCTCTGGAAGTCGATCTTCTGTTCTCAAATTGGACAGAGAAAAAGGGACTGGCTTGAGGTGCAAGAATGCAACCATCAAATATTAAAACTGATTTGCTACTTGCCTGGTAGGGGAGATATTTTGATCCCCTTGATCTCTTCCATTCCCTCCCAAGTGCCATTGGTGCAGCTGGCATGCATCGGATCATCTGTGGGTTACTGAGAAGATTTTGTTCTAATCTAACATAA